TAACCCAGTGTCCATAAAAAAATGTATTATGACTGCATTTGTAATTTCAGTATTCTGTATGGAGCTGCTGAATAATCAAGAATTGCGTGCCTCATGAAGATGGGAGAATTTTATGCTTCATGAAGGAATGACATGAGCTCAAGTTGGAAACTTGTGCAGTTAATTAACTGCAACTATGGTGATGTAATGCTGGTCTCTTCCTCCACTAATAATGATCTGTAAACAAAAGCAAAAATATGGAAGCAAGTCTCAGGAAAACCAAAGAACTGACCCATCGAAACACAAAACATCCAATTCAGAATTAGTCTCGTTTTCAGAATTGTCCGGTCCACCTGGAATAGATTTATCTTTTGTTCTAAACCAGAAAAACTCTGATCAAAGCACACAAGGCATGAATCAATGTAAATTATGCACATTAGGTTACATCAAAAATAAGGGGAAGAAGCGAAATACATTAGACATCTTAAGTTATGCGATTATGTGGGAGGCACGATGAGGCACAAATTCCTTTTATAGGCACACTCCAGACTCAACTGGTACGCAAAAGAAGTTACTATTTCAGTTTGTTGCTTAATTTCATCCTCAACTATGTAAAAGGGATATTTTCCACGAACAGTTGATCAACATGGTTGGATTGATAAGCCACCTTTCACTCAAGGTCAAGCCCTTGCTTATTCATGGTTCACATTCCACAGATATCCAGGGATTTATTTTGAAGCGCAGAATAGTAGTTTATATAACAATTACATTTTTTTTTAAAAAAATGTTTGAAACAAGAGCCATTTGCTGACATTTACAGTTTACTCCACATTTCAGGCAGCTGAATGATCTCATGATCTAGGGACAAAAATCTACTGACGCTTTCCAAAACAGAGAATGTTTGTACACAGCAAGTGGAAATCATTCACTTTGAAACTTATTTTCCTCTGTAAATGAAAAATGAAGGAATGTTAAGAGATGGATACTGAAGAAGCACTTGAAGTACAAAGTATGTGTTATTTGGAGAATATTTTTCCCTTGAAGTAAATGCCTTAATGGCAACAACTTTGTTCCCTGAAGTTGAAAACTGCCAAAAAAAAATCTAAAGAATCTCAAGTGCACTTCCCGGCCAGTTCAATTGATAAACTGACAAAAGCGTGCAGAACAGATGTTGTGACGTTTCATCTCAAGGAAGGCTTAAACATATTTAGTTCACTGTCTATTACAAGTCATAAACTGGGAGGAATTCATTAAGATTGTGAGGCCTTAACATCGGGATCTGCTACAAAATATACAATCAAGTCACTGGTAGCAAACGTTTACAAACAACTAAACAAGAAATAATCCCTGTATTTGAAAATTTAAAAAAAGTGTTTTCAGTAATAGTTTAAAGATAGAGAAAGAGCAGAAGCTTTTAAGTCACAAAAATGATTAGTAGATATTATTAGAGGTATATTAAGATAATGATTCAATTATAGTAACTCATTAATGTTGAAACTTTAGTAACTTTTCATTTGCAGTACAGTATTAATTTTAAAAATTATAACCGTCTCCAAAGTATATTTTTATCTTTGATTCTTTAAATTAATTAGTGCAGCGGTTTTAGTTTTAAGTCTAGATGAGTTATTTCTGGCATTTCAACTCTTAAGAGGCACAAACTACAATGACCAGGAAATTAATTTCAAGCATTTCTTGAAGAGTAGAACATTTGAATCATAATACTACTTACATTTGATATAGTATCTCATTGAATCGTCAAAACATCTCAAAGCACTAGAGAATTTTAAAGTAAAATGCAGACTTGTAGGCAGCCAATTTGCACAAAATAGTCTTCAAATAGCTTTGAAGAGAATGCTTCATTTTATCTGGAGGACACCAGGAGAAACTCTTCTCTTCCCTTGTTGAATAGTGTCATGGCATCTCCAACTAAACAGGCAGATGAGACCACAGTTCAACATCTCATCAAAAGGACAGTACCTCTGCATTGCAGGATTCCCAGCACCGTCCTAGAGTGTCAGCCTGGTCTCACATTCCCGAAATGGGGCTTGAACTCACAGTTTTCTGATTCAAAGGTGAGAGTGCAACCTTGGTGAGCTAGGTTGACACTTAGCAACCACAAGATTGCATTTGTATAGCTCCTTTCACGTCGGGAGGACGTTCCAAGGCACTGGGAAGATACATTTAATCTTTTTGAACTGTATTCTCTGAGATGCTGCCCCACACAAAGGCACTATATAAATCCAAGTTATTATTGTAACCTGGAAGGAGAATATCAAAACCAAAATATTCAGAAGGGTAAATTTGTACATTATTAACCTTGATAAGATGTAATAGATACTTATTCCACAAGCCAGTAATGATTAGAACCTAAACTACAACATGAATCTTGGAATCCTGCAGAATGTTTTCACAGTCAGTGTAAATCTTTAAGAGGATGCCTTTTGATGCAACATCCCTCATGGAATAGAGCTACAGGTGACTTCTAGATCATGGATACATACCTACAGCGGAAACCACTCAACATTAGGAAGTTTCAAAATTGAGGCAAAACAATTACAAAATCAATGCAGTACGTTTTATGATGGGGCGGGGGGGCGGGGGGGCATAATAATAATAATAATCCTTGCATTTAATATAGCGCTTTTTACGTCGGGAGGACGTCACAAAGCGCTTCACAGAACACACTGTAAAGTGAATTGACTGTATATTCGTGGGCGAACGCGGCAGCCAATTGCGCACAGCAATGTCCCACAAACAGTCGTAGATTGAAAATGACCAATTTATTATTGTTTTTTGGAGGGATTATTATTAGGCTCTGTGTGGAGTAAGGAAACTTGCCCAAGGCTTCGCCCTCTGCCTGGAATTGAACTCAGGTCTCTCACTTGCAAAGCGAGTGCTCTAACCACTGAGCTACAGGACTCCTGTACATGGGATTCATCTACAATTTTGATAAGGGGACGGAAATTACAAAGGGTTCACCTAAAAATGTTATGGCTATCATTAAAGGTCATGTAGTACAGGTCAACATAGGGTGTTAAAGACTTACACCTGCCAATGCTTAAGACTGGATTGCTTGGTGAGTGCAGTACTGAGCTTTATTTTTGGTGTCTGGCCTTTCTTTCACAGGAATGCAATAAAGAAAGGGCTTGCATTTTTATAGCATCTTATCACATCAAACCATCTCAAGGAGTAATTTAAGTCAACTGTAGTTTCTGATTTTCTGTTTTGTACACAAACACTGCAGAGCCCTAAATAATAATCCTTGCATTTGATATAGCGCTCTTCACATCTTCTCAACGTCTCAAAGCCTTCACAGAATAGACTGTAAAGTGAATCGACTGTATATTTGTGGGTGAAACGCGGCAGCCAATTGTACACAGCAATGTCCCACAAACGTGGGACAGTTGTGGATTGAAACTAACCAATTTATTATTGTTTTTGTTTTGGAGGGATTATTATTAGGTGTGTGGAGTAAGGAAACTTGCCCAAAGTTTCGCCCTCTGCCTGGAATTGAACCCAATTGTCTCGCTTGCAAGGCGAATGCTCTAACCACTGCGCTACAGGACTCCACCTGTAAATGCACAAGTTCATCCAGAACCTTGAATAGATTTGATTGTACCATTTGCCAAAAATGCAAAAAAAAAGGCAGAAATACCTGCGGCACCAATAGCTTTCTCATTAATCAAGTTATTGCATAGAGCATAGATGTGAAGCACACGACCACTGACGTTATAAACTGGCATGAAAAAGTTGGCAGTAGATTTTGTTTCATCCACTACATATTGGTCATAATCATAAGGACGCCTGCAGCATTGGGAAACATACCCCATCCTTTGAAATAGGACCATAACCCCAAGACTGGAATTTCAACTATTCCGTTAAAGTCCATAGGAATTCCTGCCTTCGATCCAAATCTGAATTGACAGGTTAAACTATGACCTAATGATGAGTTTATCCCATTGCACACCAGTAGCTTTACACTAGTCATTTGTAACGACAGAAATGTTAAGGGAGAAGGTGGGGAAACCCAATTTATTATTCACAATAATGTTAAGCAGACTTCGGGGCCAGTCAAATGGACATCAGCATTAAATCACTGCAAGATTATGCTGCAAGATTATTAACGTTAGAAAGAAATGATCCCTTTCAAAGTCCCCCGACCTTTCAGTAGACCACAAAAAAATAGTTGTGAAGGGAGCACTGAGGTTTAATTGAGATCAGACACATCCCTGCACATCAAGCATCCTTTTTCACAAACACCTGATAAAAATCTACTTTCACCAAAGGAACCTGCCCTTCAAGAAGAGAAATCAGCTACAGCTGTTATCCAGATCACAAGGATTTTTTTTGGGGGGGTGGGGAGAGCCTTACATAAAAGAAAACTAAGCTGGTTATGGATTCATACGTCTAGAATAATAGTACAGGACCAGGTAGCACTTGTCCTGGTTTATTATGCAGGAACAGGTGCATTTCTTGTAGCAATGTCCAGTCGAATTCTATGTGACCAATGAAGAGTTCAATTGCAAAACGTTATTGGAAATAATTCACCTGCGATTACACCAAAATATTCACCAAGAAAAACCAAACCTGACCTGGCAGTTCAGAATCATTGCAAGACAGAACCTACCTCTCCCAAATGGAGCAAACATTCCTATTGCAAGGTTTACTCCAAACCAAGTATTTGCTGGAAACCAGGACAGCTGAACTATATAGGTCACTTAAACATCCATCCAAGTCCAACTACTCAAGCCCTCCTCGCGGAATGCAAGATTTGCACAGTTAAAAGAGTTTTTTCTAGGTGCAATAATCTTAGATGTTACATAAAAAGTACAGCAATGAATTGAACAGGTAGACAAGTTTCTTTCCATTACAGATGTGGCAATAGCACAGCTGTAAACTCAGAGAAAAATAATCTCTGCAGACAGTGATCTGGAAATGGAAGTGAATAGATTTGTTCTCCCCCTAAAATTGACATTTTTGGTTTTTAAAAAAAAGAAAGTGCCAGCACAGCCACCACTCACTGTTTGAACATCCTCTCCATGTCCTTAATCTGTTTCCTGGTGAACTCCTTGAATTCTGTGTAAGGGTTAAATATTTTAGCCTGTTTGGATTCTGTAGTCCCATCGTTGATGTTGAGTCTCCTGGTCAGTTTGGCAGAGAGCTCAGTGTCTGCATTGGCTGTGATTGGTTTCTCCTCTGCTTCCACCCCTACATCAATATAGTTGTTGTTCTGTAATAATTCACCATTTGCCTCCTCTATGGACCCCTCCAGCAGCAGCCTGCGCTGGAGCTTTTGTGCAAGCTCCTCTGATGCCATTGCCTTTGCTCTTGAATGCTTTTTTTTTAATTAAAGAAAAAGAGCCTCCTCACACTCCACTGACACAGGACCAAGCTGGGAAACTTACACACAGTTATTGAAACTCAGAGCTGCTGCTGCTGCTGCTTTATAACACATGGAGGTGGAGCAACTGGCGACTGGCAGCTCCTTACACCAATACACAACTGGGGTGTAATCAACAGTGCCTTAACATAGTCAATCAGCAAAGACTTGGCTGCCTGGGATGGAGATGCTCACACATTTGACCTCAAAGGTTTGGACAGGGTGACCCAAAAGTCGTGATAGCATCACAATGTCTAATCAGTCTTAAAGACATGATCATATTTTTGTTTGTTTTTAGATAATACGGGAGATATCATAACTTTTTAGTCCCTCCACGACCCTCCGCACTTTAAAAAGTGCAATCGGTCCCGAATGATCTCACTTAACTTTCTGGCAACTCAACTGTTTTAAGTTCTACTTTGTTTTTCTTCAAACTTCTTCACTTTGACCTGAATTAACACTGAATAGCGAGAGCTCAGGGATTGTAAGCCCATACAGTATAATCTATTGACCGTGCCTCCAGGACAAATGAAGCATTTGAACTTGATTAACATTCTCCAGCACAGTGCATATGTCAGCGAGGAAGATTTAAGAGAAAGTGGGTGTTTTCACAGCTCCAGTTTTATAAACAAGAACTTACAACTTGCATTTATACAATCAGACTTTTATAATGAAATAATAATCCTTGCATTTGATATAGCACCTTTCACATCTTCTTGACGTCTCAAAGCGCTTCACATAATAATAATAATAATCCTTGCATTTGATATAGCGCTTTTCACGTCGGGAGGACGTCCCAAAGCGCTTCACAGAATATACTGTAAAGTGAATTGACTGTATATTTGTGGGTGACACATGGCAGCCAATTGCACACAGCAGCGTCCCACAAACAGTCGTGAATTGAGTGACCAAATTATTATTGTTTTTTTAAAGAATAAAACGATCCACCAATCGACTAACAACTGGGTTCCTATTTACTGCTAGATAAACAGAGGCATGTGGAGTAAGGAAACTTGACCAACATTTTGCCCTGGCGGGAATCAAATCCAGGTTTCTCGCTTGCTATGCCAGTGTTCTAACCACTGAGCTACAGGATGAGCTACTGTATTAATGTTAATTAATTTTATTAATTGTATTAATATTAATTAATCTTAATGCTTCTGTTTACCTAGGGGTAAGTAGGAACCTGATTGTTAGTCGATTGGTGAATCACTTTCCAGGGCTATTAATCCCTCAAAAAAAATGTGGTCATTCAATCCAAGATTGTTTGTGGGATGCAATTGGCTGCGATGTTCTGCCCACAACATACACAGTCAAATCCACTTTACAATATATTCTGTGAAGCGTTTCGAGATGTTTCAATGGCGTGATAAGGTGCTATATCAAATGCAGAGATTATTATTATTGTTCTTATTCCAATATTAAAAAAAATCAAATGGTTACCAAAATTTTCTTTCTATGTTCTCAAAAAAGTGTTTGCACTGATAAAATAGAGCAGCTGTAAAGCTTACTAAATAATATTAATTGTCGGTGTGTTTTATCTTTTCAATGCAGATTTCACTCCAACAAGGAAGGTAACAGTTATCAATGATATCACAAAAGTTAGTCGCAATTCAGAGTCTGATCCAGATGTGCCAGAAGCTGAGGGTTCCCTGTTATTTGTTCAGTGCTACAGTGTGTGAAAAGGACCAGATGTGAAGGAGTGCACTGTTAGATAATACTGGATTACTTCTAACTTATGGAAGTGGTGCACAAATTGCATTGTTGTCATCCATACTATAACGATACCAGAACATGTAAGTCAGAAAATATTAGAAAAAAAGAGCACATTCTACAGATTTAATGGGCCTGATGTGGAACCAACCCTTACTAAGCCTCAATTATGTAAGACAATTTTGTAGTTTCAGGTGATTTTCTAAATACTAATACAGTTGATGAATACAGTCAATACACTTGAGAGTGTATGAATCACTTTGAGCAGTGTCCATATGAAAAGGTGCTATAAACTGTTTGTGGGACGTTGCTGTGCGCAATTGGCTGTTGCGTTTCACCCACAAAATATACAGTCAATTCAGTTTAGAGTATATTCTGTGAAGCACTTGGAGAAGACATGATAAGGAGCTATATCAAATCATAGAATTACACAGCACAGAAGGAGGTAATTCAGCTCATCCAGTTTGTGTCAGCTCTTTGAAAAGAGCTATCCAAATCAATCCCACTCCCCCGCTATCTCCCCATAGCCTTGCAAACTTCTCCTCCCCAAATGCAAGGAATATTATTTTTATTCTTTAAGTCTAATGTGGTAAACTTGGAGTAAACAGCAATGTGAATTGACATTTCATGGCAAATCTGTGCAGCAATGCACTGGAATACCACCATACACCATCACTTTACAGACAGGAAGATTAAAGACAAGTTTGTGTACTGCAAGGCTCCCCAGTCCACCAAGAGTTAACAAATGGAATCTACATAATAATAGGAGATGGATGTTTTTAATTTTATCTTTTCCCAGAAACGTGGAGCAGGTGAAATCCAACTCATCATCTTTCTCCACCAAGGATCTGTGCTCCACCTGGTGGCCCACAGACTGAAAGACATATTGACACAGGCTGCTCCAGTGTAAGAACTCTTGACTACTGCATCTACAAAAAAGCAATAGTGTTATCAGATGTCATTACAGATTATGAGACTAGTTCTTAGGGTATTTCTAGTTGTTCGGTTATTCCTCTTCAACCGTGTTTACAGTCATCTCCTCTCTTCTTCCGGCTCGGTGTCAGGCTCTGCCACTGTAATATTTTTTTAACACTGCTTTTGAAGAGATAAAAACAGGGAGATCGAAAGCGTCGTCGTAGAGGAGGGTCTTAAGATGGGTCTTGAAGGAGGCAAGGGAGGAGGTGAGGCCGAGGACAACCACAACAACAAAATTACATTTGTATAGCACCTTTCACGTGGGGAGGATGTGCCATGGCACTGGACAGGCAGAGTTTCAAACAAGACAGAGATTCCTTGATATCCAGGCCTCGGGGGGTGGGGGCTGATATGAGGAGTGTACCAATGTTTGTGATAAACACATAACCAATGTGAAGAACTTAAGCTAAAGTAGAGAATGAACACTTTGTATCTTTATATTCAAAATGCAGTAGGAAAAGTTTTTACAAGCTATTTACTGTCCATGCTTCCTTACTAATGTTGGATGAGAAATGTCCAATCTGTAGCTGCAATTTGCTTATGACCCTAATTGCAGCGGCAAGAAATTAGCTGAGTTATTAGGTAAAGAGGGTGAGACGTAATACTTCCCTGATTGGGTGAGCAAAGTGTGTCCATCACTCTGGGGAGCGAGTACGACTCTATGCCAAACAAATGAAAATTTCTATGCATATGGTATATTTGGTAGTTTAGTTTGAATACGCACTTAAGAACAGTGATGGGGTTCAGACAAGTGACTGACAAAAGTCTTTGACTCGTACTAGTTTCAACATTGGAATTAAATAAGAGTGAACCATAAATTCAGGAAGAAAATAATTGCTTTTTATTAACCTCATAATAATTAAAATTATGAAGGCAATCCCAGTAACATTTTAAACTGGCAATTAAATACATAGGTGACTATTCTTTGTGACATTATCTGAACAATTGCAGCCCGGAAAAGTACATTCCTCGGATTTATACTCTGGTGAATATTTAATATAACCAAATATAAACATGAATTAGCAACATCAACAACTTACATTTACATAGCGCCCTTCATGCCGGACAGCACCTCGGAGCGCTTAATCACCATAACCGCAGAGAATTAAACTTCACATAGGAATGAAATCTGTGTATGAGTGTGTGTGGTGGGGGTTAAAACATGTTCATGCAGATTTTTACAAAACGGTTCATATTTATATTCCCATGCAAACACTCTCCCAACATTGTGAGTGCAATGTCAGGGCAAAGTGGTTTAACCAGAAAGTCCCACCACCAGAGTAATGAAAATAAAGTGTAGCCATTCATCAAAAAGCACTACATTTGTATCATTCTGGTTCAATTGCGAGCAGTGTGAAGCACTTTAAGATGTCTTCATGATGCCGACAAAGCCACTACATCAAACGTGATTATTATTGTAATTTATCAAAAACAGGAACTCCTTAATCGTGTTTCATTTTCTATGTAAGTTTGCTCTTCTAGCTCATCCCTCCACCTCCAGGAAGACGTAGAACCATCATGATTTGAGACATGTCCTTAATCTGGTGATCAGAGAATTTATCTGCATCTTCCAGTTGAGTTTTGACAAAAATCAAACGCATCTCATCAGGATCACCTAATCATTCAAAACAAGTACATACATTAACAAAAAATCTATACCAAACTGAACTGCACACTTTCTGATCGATTGTACACTGCTTCTGTGTTACTCATATACCTGAATAACCTGGAAGTTTTGAGATCAATTTCTTCTTGAACTCCAGAACAGTCATTTCATTAAATTCCTTCTGGTCTTTTGCAACATCAACAATAATCTTTTCTCCTTTATAACCCAATACTGCTACACGGAAGATTTTCCCCATTGTGGCGTCGTGGAGATTTTACAGAAGTTGCAGTTTGCCGACGACACTGTTGCACTATGAACCTCAGAAGAAGTTGGATTTCGGTTTCTCTTTTATTTCAAGCGGCAAAACAAAACTTAAATCCCTCTACTGGCCAACTTCTAGAGTACAGGTTGAGCTGTTGATGGCCATTGATGCCACTGAATTATAAATTTTCAAAGGGCAATATTAGAAACTAAATTTAAGGTTGAAATTGCTAAAGAGTGCACAGCGATCGTTCTCTCAGCGCTAATGGATGATCCGGTTGGCTGATTTCTTCCAGTCCTTGTATTTACTCCCGTGACATTCCTCGGCTTTATAAACTCTGTAACATTCCATTCTGTTTTGAGCTCGGAGTTCGGGATTTTTGATGTCCTCGGTCATGCTATTTGGAAACCAGCCTCTCTCTCTATCGTGTAAACGTTCTCCAAATATCCAGCCTGAAAAATAAAATGGGAAAACCGAGACTTACTAACCAACGACCATTCTACCAACACCAATTCAGTTTTACATTTTTAGCTACTTCCACGTACGTATGCTTCCTACCGTTACATAGGTGAATAAAATATAACTTACTTTTATTTGCTGCTATATAACTGAATACAAGTCACTGTCACTGTGAATGAATAGGATATTTTTCCATTTCAGGTGCTATTGTCAAATTCAAGGGCTTCCACATTACAGCACATTCAGATAAATTCTTTATAATGTCCCAAAATGTATCTTATAACAGCAATTCTTACACCTCTAAATAACATTAGTATGTTAATAATAATAATCCTTGCATTTGATGTAGCGGCTTATCAAGTCACCAAGACGTCTCAAAGCGCTTTACAGAATATATTGTAAAGTGAATCAACTGTATATTTTGTGACTGAAACACGGCAGCCAATTGCGCACAGCAGTGCCCCACAACAGTCATGGGTTGAGTGACCAAATTATTATTATTTTTTTTTAAAAATTATTTATTTATTTTGAAGGGATTATTACCCCCGGAAAAGTAATCCGCCAATTGACTAACAACATCATGATAATCCACGGCACCATTTGTTTTCTCACAATGCTGAAACACACAAGGATTCGGTACTGCAGATAACCAACAATGCAATAATTTGTGACCGAAATGAAGGCTTACCATCTGGTGTTGAATCTACAACACTGAGGATATCTGCGGGTTCTAACGTGAGCTCATCAGGCTGCCGTGCTGCGTATCGCTGGATGCACTGTACCTGGGCACAATCTAGTGAAGAGCAAATAACAATTCATCCATTTGCATCGAAAAAGCAACACTTGAAGTATTAATGGTTGACGACTGCATTCTTACAGAATTCAGCTTGTCCCCCCCCAAAGAAGCATAATACAAACAACTCCCGTTAACCTGCTCTGTGTGTTCCACGTAACAAATCTGTTGCTCTGGGGTAAGTGGTGTTCTGCACATTCAGATTTTTTTTTCCAAATTTGTCCCTGTACACTTAACAATAATTGTAGTTGATAAATACGATCAGATTATAGCAAGATTATGTGCGGCAAATTTGTGAAATTTTGGAATGAATAATAATAATCCTTGCAATTGATATAGCGCCTTATCACGTCTTTGAGACGTCTCAAAGTGGTTCACAGAACATACTGTGAAGTGAATTGACCATATATTTTGTGGATGAAACGAATAGCTGTAATCGGACATCCTCCCGACCTGAAAGGTGCTATACAAGTGTAATTTGTTGTTGTTGTAATCAATGTATTTGCTATATGGACCACATTGAGCAGAAAAATCCACGCTTTCAATAATAATAGATTTTATCTACAAGTACCCACAGTCAGAGTTTGATGTGAGGGAGGAGGACTCAAGTTAAGTTTACATATATTTTTATTTTGTTACGAGGCCTTAATCTAACTGCCAAAAACAAATCTCAGAAAGTGAGCCGCTATCAGATAACTGAATCAACATCAAGGAATGACCAGCAATGCTGTCACTGCAGAATAATACAGATAATGTTTTCCACCATGTTATTTTCTTGAAACAGCCTTATGGAAATATGTCATTATTTGTCCATTACTGCACTGGACAATTATGCTAAAAATCGAGTTTTTGACTTCCAGGTGAAGACTAGATGTTTGTCTGGAGGATTGGAAAGGAAGAATTTTTGTGCACCCTTTTTACTTGTTTCCCCAAGTGCTATTGATCTGAGAGCTCAAGCAGGCGAGTGAAACAGTGGGGATTTACATGGAGAAAAGAATAGATGGACAGAATAATTCTAGTTAAGAAGACCTCCACCGATGCCGCACTATTTATGGGATTGGAATAAATGAGTGTATAAGATCTTACCTTCATGCAGGGAACTGGGAGATAAATACTTCATCCTCGGATTTGGTTCAAGCACCTTGATCCAACGTTTCTTCTCCGTCCTTCAAAATAAGTACATTCAATGTTAAAATAAATGAAGCAACTTGAGAAGCAAGACAGTGCTTCATTTAAGGACTTGAAATAATATTTCACTTTGCCGAATGAATCATCTTTGCGTTCTTGGTGCAATAATAAACACCTTTTTAGGCAATGCGACCTCTATATTTCAGGACCAACTTCTTTACAAAGGCCAATCGCCATTCATTTGTTGTTTAACTGGTTCTTATAGTAACTCATAGATTTGACAAAATACTTACACTGATTTTGCTCTCAACATATACTGGATCTCTTTCTCACGGTAGTTTTCTAAGATCCGCAGTGTGAACATATTAGCAAGTGTCTGACCCTGGTCCTCCAGATCTTGGGTGCGGAGGAGTCCTCGACGAGCATGGTCAAAGACTTGGTATTTACTAAAACGGAAATGTCACAGTCAGCAACCACCACACTATAGTGCGATGGTCGCTGACCATCACTACTCAATGTAAATCTGCTGCATTTTAGTTTAGAATATACTTCCTTCATATCACCAATGGCTTCCACAAAGACTCACTCAGATATCTTCTTGGTTATTAGAAAAAGATCATTGAACAGAAACAGGTAGACTGGTGTGAACAGCTTCTTGGTCCGAAACGTTCGTGTTTTCCTTCTTCCTGACATGTGCTCCACTTCACCTTCTTTCAGTAGCCACCGGCATCGGGTGATGATTGGCACAGCCTAGGATAAGGACTGGGTTAATGCAATCTCTCACATCACATTAGAACCAAAATCGCCAATCAATCTTTCGATAAATCTTTAATGACACTATCTTTCCAGAAGCCATGGAACTTCCTAGTGACAACGGTATTCAAAGCTGTGAACCACTGTGCCCTTTGTAATACCTTTCTATATGCTGAAATGTGAATGGATTTTTTTAAAATTATAATTTTCAGTATTTCTTTTGTTCATTTCTCCTGGTCTAAAAGTGTATATTTCAGTTCTTAGCAGCTTTCTGACTGTGATATACGGCACTGTAAAAGGTGCCTTATTTACAGATTTATCTATGCAGCCATAAAATTGACAAGCATCGGGTGTTTCTATTCGCACCTCGACTTTAAACGTTACTGTCTTCTCAAAGCTGATCAGATCCTCAGTTCTTCTCATTTTTTTCACACGTTCGTTACACTCTTTGATAATCTACAATATGGAGAAATTATTATTATTAATAAACCAATTCTTGGAAGCAATGATCGGTCAAAACACAGAAAGTTAAAAGTGTAATTTAGCTCTTCCCTTGTTGCATCTCTATGTAGCATGGCATTTAACCTATAGTTCTGCATAATAGGGATTTTATTTGGATACCAAGTAGTAGCACTCTCGCCTCTGGGTTTGACTCCCACGTTCACAATTGAAATCACGTAGTTTAAGCTGACACTCCAATGCAATGCTGTGTTACATTGTTGGAGGCGCCGTCCTTCATATGAGACATTAAACCGAGGTTCCATTGGTCTGTTCTGGTGGACGTTAAAGATCCCATGGCACTACTCGAAAAGAGAAGGCAGTTTCTCCCGGTGTCCTGGCCAACAATCCCCCAAATAAAATTGATCACTCACTCCAAGACTACTTGTGGGACACTGCTGTGTGCAAAACTGTCTACCGCATTTCACTCAAAAAATACAGTCAATCAACTTTACATCCTGTGAAGGGTTTTGAGACTGACGACCTGATAAGGCGCTTTATCAAATGCAAGGATTATTATTATCAAGTCTAGTAAGGAATGTTTACTAACAATAACTGAATATAGCATGTTTCTGACAGTTTTTATAGTTAAGATTTTGTGGGAGTTTCATTCCTCTACAACTTGAAGCATCACAGAGGCCGCTGAATAATTGCAATGCATTGAAAGCTCACTTTCAAAAGCTCACTTCACAACACCAGATGGCTTTTCAGTCTAAAAAAAAGCCGGCTTCTGGGTCACTAGGTCACAGCGTTTGCACTATGTACAGAAAGTGATGTTGCTAGTGATATGATGACCCTGAATTTGGCCAAATTTTTAGCACTCGAAATATTGGGTAACATTTTGAAACAATCTGCCATTCTGCTGGGTGCATTTTAGTTTTAGTGTTAGGACATTCTATCACCTTGTTAAAAGGTCCACCTATTTGCAGTATAGATGGTGGCAAAAAATGGCAATGAAAGAACAAGTATATCAAACATAAATGTGATACCTTTTCAAGTTCTCTGTGTGCTTTAATGGATGTCAATTCCATCACTGATCCTTCCTTGGCTTTTTTCAAGATATTCTGTAGAATGAAATGTAAAGACTCAAATGTCACACAGACACTTTCATCATACATAAGTGATCGCATAGCTAACAATGAAAGATTGAAAAGTTTGTCTGAAATAATACATTACCTGTACCAGCAGCTTCAAGCGTGTTATTCTTTGAAACGGCAGAATAATAAAGGAAGGGAATAATAATCCTTTACACTTGGGGTCTTGCTCCAACTCAGCCATCACTGTACTTAACGCAGGATTGTTCTCACTTTTTAAAAAAACAGGAAAGTTAACAGTTGAGAAACAGTTCTGAAGAATCTCAATTGAACTCGGACTTGAAGTTCAAATTATCCTTTACTTTCTTCCTTTCGATGCTGTTAAAATCGTATGAATATCAGGCTGGGCTTGATGTCTATATACTTCAAGCACTACGTTGATGTTTATCACTAGGAGTGTTTGAGTACACTTTCTCTAATTGCCATTCTGTTGACTCTTTTGGACTTTTACTCCAATCACAGTAAGTAATTGCCTTTGATTACCCTCCTTCCCCCCTGCCCTCCACCTTCCCGATCCCCAGCTTGAATCCGAAACAATGACCGAGTCAGAAGCACCTTGGGACATCCTCCCGACGTGAAAGGTGCTATACAAATGTAGTGTTGTTGTTGTTGTAATAGACTGGTTTCAGAGAGCGAACGAGGTTGGAATAAGCCTATTTGAGTCATTCCAGGCAGGGAGTAAGGGGAATTCAAGGCATAGGCACATAAAATGTATATTGCAAGGAGTTCTGTCCCGGGTGATAACATCTTCTGATGCTATTAAATTGTACTCCAGATAACTCAGGCATGGCATAATTTACCTACTACTGTACCAGCCAATTCAGAAAGAGAAATGTAAAGCAAACCTACATGGCTCGTCTGTAAGCGGTCTCCTGATAGCTCTGATTTGTGACATATGAAATATACACATGGAAGTAATTGTTGGTATGCTCATATACAATATCACAGACATCGTTGATGACAATGTTCTCTTCGAAACGCTGCTCCAGGGACTGAAGGAATCTGCAAATAAAATAACTGGAGAATGATTCAGTTGTGTTTGTCGTTTCAAAATAATGCAATGGTCTATAAAGTGTCTATTTTTTTCCCTTTGCAGCAATATAAAGAATTTGGATATTTCTTTACAAAAAATGCGGCATAACTGGGAGTAAGTGAGAGGCGTACATGACTATACAGAGATTTGTTTATACATCATGATATACTCTGAAGTGAAACTAAGTAAGATTAACTCTAAATGAGAAGAATGATCCCAAACCGCAAGTTTGACAACACGTTTGTTTTAAAATGAACAGGTTTGAATTTCCACCCCTTACCTTTCACTAGCTGCCTTGATTTCAAGGATGTTGGAGAAAATATGATGTTTGTCAGTGCCGCTGAGCATGCTATTCAACTTCTGTGATTCCATGAAGTGAGATATCAGGATCCCCAGACTCTTGTAGTAAGATGCCTCAGAGGTGCAGAGTTCAAACATTAACTTGAAGAAAACATATTGAGTGATTAAGAAAACACTGCTCCACAACTAAATCACTTAGAATTGGCAATGAACAACAACAAAATTACATTGGTTTCAGTGGTTTCAGACCCGAGCTGGGGGTCGGGATCGTGGAGGGTTGGGGGGCAGGGGGGAAAGGAGGATGACTGAAGGCACGGTCAAAGTGGAGGATCTTGAGACGGGTCTTGAAGGAGGCAAGGGATAATATAAAATACATTATATACAGTATTAGGACTTCTACATTAATTTGTCGTTGGAATATTAGATGTTCCATCTTTTCTTGTTTGAACACATTTCGGTACACAAACCCAATAAGGTGCCATATTGAATTTACATTGGGCTTTGGGAGTCTCAGTGTTAAACAGGAATATTTCTAAGAAAGCACTAAGATGTGCTTTACTTCTGGCAATAAGTATGCCTGGAATTACATCAACCAAAAGGTCTCCAATTCAGACAGCATGAAGCTGCTTCTCTGAGACCATCAGGACCACGCTACTTTGGGAATCAAACTGCAGTGGAAACCTCTTCTGCGAACAGTACAACTATGAACGTTTGGTAAAGAAGAACATCTATAGTATGTAACCAATAGAAGCCATTTATAGAACCACATAATTGCCCCTTTAATGGGAGCAGGAAAGGAATGAATTGCGCACAGGACTATAAAAGATACATCTCTTTCCTTTGTTCCTCCTTCTTACCTCCTGGAGTTTAATTTCATTCGGACTGAGGCTGCTCAATATCTTGCTGTTCCTTACTTTTTCTGTATACTGCCATAAGTTCATACCCTGGCCATTAGTTCTCTGGTTGAGGTTGTCTGGCTGCTTTGCTGCTGCAGTGATGGTGCCAGTGTCAACTTTCGGAGGCTTATCTTCATTTGTAAACTCTCCTGTGTCCTGCATTCGTCTCGTCTGAATTTCCTGAAACGTACTTTTTTCGCAATATTCCTGGTACAGCAGTTCTAGGACAACACAATTTTTTTAAGAAACATTTCACAGATAATATGAATGAATCTGATCATTTAAAAGAGAGAAATCTATCACAAAGCTCTTTGACGTACCCATGCTATTTCAAAAAGATGAACAGAACCTGGCTGTTTTTTCCCCCTCCCTAGCCCAAAGCACTGAAGCTAATCTTAGCTTACTTATCATCCTTACTGATGTCCATCTGAGATCAACTAACTCAATCTATTTTAGACAATATTAATGATCACGCTCCTTTAAATTACATTGGAGATAACAGTGATTCAAAGAGAGTGATTATCTCAGTACCGTACCTATGTGTTGGATTGTACTCTTCCTATTCATTAATTCAAATCGGGAAATAATTGATGAAGAATCTCCATTCTGTTTTGATCTTGTTGGAGAAAATCTAAAATAAGAGAAACAGATGTTCAGTAGATCACATGGAAATTATATCCAGATAGTTGCTATTTAAATAACAGTGTGATGATGTGCTCATTCTCACTTTGGGAGTAAAATTCCTTTTGCCATTAGAAATGATAAAGTAAACTTATAGCAGCAAGAGGAATTGCTCACTCGATAGATTCTAAAAAACATATTCCTGCAAACTATACTTTCATTTCTCAGATTAAGTTTCTGTAATGTTGCATCTCCAAGGTTTGATGTCTTTCATTCTCTTCCAACATTTTTGCACCAATCTGTGTCACTAATGCCTTCCACGTGGGCAGGTTTTATGAAATAATAAATCACAGGTGCAAAATTTAATTTGTGCTTTAAAGCAACTTTCAGCATTCTATTAGCCAATATTTGTAGAATATGTGTAGAATCCACACTGTACAGTGGGTGAATGTTTTACGATGGAACATTTGTCACATGGTGCACCCATTGTGAGGATCACATATTATGGAATAGTATAAAATAGGACAGATAGCATAAAACTCTCTTTACAGTGAATCTTTCTCCCACCTTCAGAAAAACACCCATAACTGTAAGTGGAGCAGCACATTTCAAACTTCAGTCATCCTTATGTTTTTGCTCATTAAGATGCATAATTTGGGGAAGTTAATGGTAGTCATTACTACCATTAATAGTGTAATGGTTACACTATTAACCATAATAGTGGTTATGGTTGAATGCTGTGGAATCAACACACTTAGGAAAGAGATGCAAGCTCCCTAAATAATATTAATTTTGCAGTTTTCTAGCCACAAACTCACCCGTCTGAGCTGTCCTTGTCTTGAACATACAATCTGGAGTTTCTCTCAAAATTGACAATACTAGCATCCGGATTCTTACAGCGAGTTTCCTCTTTGAGAGAACAGGATCCAAGATCACTAGCCAGAGATCCCGCATCAGCAACATGGCTTGGAGATAGAAGGGAACTGGTTGCTTTTTTCAGAACATATGCTGAATTATTTGCCGGCTGACCACCATATTGCCTTTGTGAGTGATTCTCCTTTTGCACCACCCTCTGTCCTGAAACTTGTACGGAGCCTTGCTGACTGGCCTGTCTAACACTGACTCCGCTGCTCCAGTGCTCAAGTCCTGTGTTCTGTGCCATCGCTGATCTGTCCCTAAGAAAACAAAACCACAAATCTTAAAAGTTTAAAATTTTTCCACAAATCTTAAAAAATCTTAAAAGTGCCTTTTTAAACTTCTGCCATAACAACTCACGCTTACACAACACTTACACATTGTTAGGCACCTCAAAGGGATTCACAGATGCAGAGTAGAAGCCGTACAATTTAAAGTAAATCTTAGGTTTCAACAGTAAAAATACTTTTCATTTTGAAATAATTTTTAATTCCTTGTTATCTTGTTCTAAAACACCAACTGGAAGGACGTACTTGTGACTCACCTATTGGGAAAAATACTTGTTCTTGTTTTGTCAAAGCGCTCCAGGACGCAACCCAGCATGAAGGGCGCTATATAAATGCAAGTTGTTGTTGTTGTTACAGCTGATCAGTGGGTTTCATGGGTTCTGGGGCTGGAGCTAGATACTGTACATTCAAACAGTCGTTCTACTTGTCTGAAATGGGGAAGCTTCAGGAAAGCCAACTACAATCTGCAGTTTGTTGAACTCCGAAGACCTCTCACACAGAATTGCAGTCAGTGTGCTGCAAGCTGTTATCAACAGTGTTTAACATAGTCTTAACCAGAGAACTATTTTACACATTGCTTTCTTCGATCCAAGCCATCTCTCCACTGTCAAACTGGGTTGCCAATCGATGGAAAATCTGCTCAACTTTAAATCCGTCACGGTTAATGCAACAGATTAAAAGTATGAACTGCTCAGCAAACCACTGCATTATTGTTAAGGTAAAAATAGACACATTAGCTATGTACAACATCTTAAGTCATTTTGTGGCAATCTCTCTCTCTCTCTCAGTCAAAGGCGCCATCATACACTTAGGAAGATGTTATCACATAACTACCAACTGTTGATGAACAAAATGACTTATTCTGAAATCCACAATGACTTATTCTGTTGGTTAACAGAGTCCGCCAATTCCCCTCCCAGAGGCGTTATCAATATTCAATAAGACACAGTTGCTTCTACAAAAGTTATTTAGGACATTGATTATTTAGGACAACTTTGCTCAGACCTGCTCCCTCAGCATGATTTACTTGTTCCGCTTAAGGTAGTGCTCTGCACGGCAGCAAGTTTAGCTGCTTTGATGACTTGTGTGGATAATGGATTACCTATTATGTCCATTTTATCAAAGTTCACTAAACTTGGCAGCGCATGAATCACTAACTTCAAAAGTACAATGGGGACATATTCAAAATATAAAATAAGAAGTTACGGTTAGCTTCCTCTGTTTGCTATCAAGCCTTTAGCAGCTAAGAAACCTTCCTTGCAAATTGAACATTTCTGATTATAACAATGATAACCCAGTGAAGAGTTAAATCACGCTTTACAGAAAATTTATGATTGGAGGTTGATATTAATATTTTGATATTAATGATTAAAACAGAAAGTGCGATATATAGCATAAACTGCAATGGTTCAAATAATCAAACTTTATGGTTTGATAGATGTCGTACTAACAGCGAAAGCTCTCCTCTGTTAATAAACATTAAATATTTGAAACGCAGCATGGGTTTTTATATTTGTCAATATCAAGAAACATTTGCAGGGGATTACCTGCACCACCAGAAAAAAATATCTTTTTTTGAAACCATTCTGGTAAGATCCTTAAGTTGGAAGATTTGTGGATTTCAGAACATATCATTTTGCTAAACATTTAATTTTGAAAAACACAGCACTCACATCACAACTAGACGCAGTCAAACACGAGCCTTTTAATCTTCTGATAGATTGGTCATTTGTTCTATAATTGCCTGAATTTTCTTCTTGCACATTTCACATTCAAGTGTTTTATTGTTCTTACCATACATTCTTGTTGGGTAATGAAGATCTCTGATGGAGCAGTCGAGATTCATGGGGGACTTTCCAGCAGGGCCCTGATGTTTTAGTATCAAAATCCACATCTATTGCTCTTTCTCGTGTCCCATCATTTCTTATGATGCTGTTGCTAACTAATAGAAGAAAGCACAGAAGAACATAGGAACATAGGAAGAGGAGGAGGCCATTCAGCTCTTTGAGCCTGTTCCACCATTTAATCAGATCATGGCTGATCTGCATCTCAACTAATCCTTTCAATTCCAATTTCCTGCTTTCTCCCCATAGCTCTTAATACCTCCACCAGAGAAAATAGCTTCTCTGTATCTATCCTTTCAAATCCCTTTATCATCTTAAATACCTCAATCACCCCTCAACCTTCTAAACTCAAGGGAATACAATCCAAGTTTACGCAGCCTTTCTTCGTGACTTAACCTTTTCAGGGCCAATATATCTTTCCTGAGGTGTGGTGCCCAAAACTGAACGCAGTCTCCAGATGGGGTCTGACTAACTCTCTAATACAGCTGAAGCATAAATTCTTCCCCTTTGTATTCCAGCCCTTTGAGATAAAGACCAATATTCAATTTGCCTTTATGATTACTTTAAGAGATTGAACACATCTTTTATATGGAGCTGGTAACTGAAGCAGATACTAACTCCATCAAGTACCGTTTAGTGCAATGTCACTTTTCTTTACAATACCGTTCCCATCAGGACATTCACAGGGAGGCTACAAATGACAAGTTGTGCTTAAGAGACATTTTCGCCCACAAAATACACAGTCAATCCACTTTACAGTAGCACTTTGAGATGTCTCGTTGACATGATTAAGCGCTTTATCAAATGCAAGGATTATTATTATTAATAATCATAAAACTTCTCATCACTTAATAAAGGTTAGCACCAAGAAAGCTAATACTTTAAATGGTTTTGCCATCATTAACTGTATTCTTTTTATGGTAATTGGCAAAGCAATATCCTCAGAACTATCCTAATTATCCTTATCCACAGAATTTTTCTAATCATTTCCTCAAGCTTATTCCTGTCGCTACTCCATTTATGTTTCATTGTCATTTCTGTTTCCATTGTATGCCTTCGTGCCCTTTCCCCATTCGCTCTGGATACATGTCCATTTAATTGAAGCCTCAGCCAATCTACCTCACCTTCTCCCAAGTGTGTCACATATTTGTTTTTATACTTTTACTGACTCATTCTGTACTGTATATATCGAGACTTCTTTAAGCACTTGTTTTCTCCGGACGTGAAAGGTGCCATACTAATTTAATTTGTTCTTGTTTCCAGCAGCGCCCCAACACACACTCTGAAATCCCCAAGCCTTGGCTCTTGCCAACCTGTACCTAAAACTTTCCAGAATTAGGTAAGCAGGATGCATCCCTCCAGGGAGAGAGTACACATTCCACTGTAGGTTGGCTGTATAGAATTCTCAGTTTGATTTGGATACTCTGCTTCAAGTCATTTTTGTCCAGATCCTTTCTACATTTAGCTCTCAGTGCTGCACGTCAGTGTTGCCATAAGAACTGCGTTATGCAGTGCTATTATATATTTTTCTTGCCCAGAATAATCAGGTACCTTTCCAGACTAATCAATTTTCCAATCTATTTTTCTAAATCTGTTGGCCTATTTAGGTGGAAGTTAAAGATTATTTGATAAGAGGAGCTTCTCCCAGTGACCTGGACAACCGACCCCCAGATAAAATTGGATCCTTCTCTCATGGCTGTGCACAAATTCACTGCTGCAGTTAGCACAAAAATACACAATCGGTACAATCTGCAGTAAATCGCGTAAACACTTAGAGACGACTCAAAGATGTGATAAGGAGCTATAAGAAGCGCAAAGGATCATTATTTTATTAATGCAGAATCCAGACCTGGATGTAACTTTTACAAGTGCATGTGTTATATTATCGTATTTCTTCCTGTCATATTCCTAATGTATAAAGCCAAAGATCACCGATAAAGTGTAAAATTGTCTTGTGACAAACTCTGACATTCCCTCTGGAAGCTGTTTTTTTTCACATTTGTGAGGGGTAAAACAGCAAATTAAGACAAAATGCAAAGATTTTCCAAAATCATACAGCATCATATACTTTTTAAGACCTGGATTTTTAGGCTACAATCATGAGATATTATGGGCCCCCAATGCTGATTTCTCTGAATGGTCCCCAATTAATGCTCAAATAATATGTAGATAAAGCTGTAAAAAGGGCATATGGGATACTAGACTTTATAAATAGGGGCATAGAGTACAAGAGTCAGGAGGTTATGATTAACCTATATAAAATACTGGTTTGGCCTCAGTTAGAATACTGCGCCCAGTTCTGGGCACCACACTATAGGAAGGATGTTAAGGCATTGGAAAGGGTGCAAAGGAGATTTACAAGAATGGTACCAGGAATGAGGGACCGTGATTATGAGGAAAGGCTAGAGAGGCGAGGATTATTTTCATTGGAGCAGAGAAGGTTACGAGACCTGATAGAGGTTTTCAAAATCATGAGGGCATTTGATAGATTCGAAAGGGAAAAACTGTTTCCACTGGTGGGTGTGTCGGTGACTCGAGGTCACAGATTCAAAATAGTATCTAAAAGAAGCCGAGGGGAGGTGAGAAGAAATGCTGCAGTATAAAATATCAATGTCAAATATCCCCATTACAACTTGAATACTTTTCAACTGAATAACCAAATCATAATCTTAAGAGCTGAATTGTTTTTAAATTGCATGAAAACAAAAATGTTTATTCAGTTGGTTAGGTAGCATTACTAACCAGAATAAGTTGAATCCCGTTAACCCATCCAAGACCTGAGCAGCAGATGAATTTTTTATTCAATCTTATAGACACATAGCCTAGAGTGACCAACAAAATCATTTGCATTTCTTGGAATATTATCTGATAGTATGTTATCAGAGATCATTTCCACTGAGCTTTAGATTGAAGATACAGATTCAGGGCATTAAAACGTTGTTTGAGGTCAAAATGTTGTCAAGTCTTTTTCTATGCTTGCAAATTTGGCAAAACAGAAGCACGAACATCAACGCATGCATTTGTATCACAAAATAATTATTTCATTTCATGTATATATGGCATTGTCACAGTGACAACCAAATATAGCTGTTCTACTTTGACCAGAGACTAAGAGAGTGACTCTAAACACTGTCAACTTTTGACAACAAGAAATAGACCACATAGACCACACGATCAGTGTCCATTTTTTACTTTTAACTACTAAGCCGACTACATAATTGTTATTAACAGGTTGATCATCAGGGTATATCCATCAGATACCTATGTACATCTCAGTGACTTACTGCCTGTCTTTCTTGGTGCTGATTCAGACTGACCCTGCCTCAGTCGCTTTCTCCTCATCGAACGGTAGAAGAAAGAGTTCCTTCGTATCGGAATCTGCTGATTTCCTTCCTGCTCTGAATCATTGGTGTCGCACTGATTGGGATCAGAATGCTGATTTGCATTATGAGCATCATCCATTTTCACTGCTCCACTCTGCTGCACACTGCTCCTACTGCCTGACGTCCTGTCAAGTTGATGCTTCTCTTTGCTCTGTCACACCATACTGGGTCCTCTTATTAAACAGAAAGAGATCTGTAATCCACCGGATGTTCCAGAATCTTTTATTCCAAGAATGCTCACATTGCTACTACTTTACCTGAAATGAAAAGAATTGTCAGAAACAGCTATTGAAACAGTTTTGCTAACCAGACATTAATTCATCACCATGGTAACTATTGGTACGATTACAAAAGAGGTATGATAAGTAGGGTTGAGTTTCAATCCAATGGCAGTTTCTGAAGCTGCTCCTTTGCCCAGTTTCCTTCAATCACTCTACATTTTCAAGTTTGCTTTTGAATTCAGGAAATTCAGCACATATTTCAGCTTTTTTTTAAAGTATTACATATATCTTCAAGTACTTAGTCTTCAAATTTTGTTCACTCTAGCGTCAAATGTTTCCCATACATCATATATTTGTTTAAATGGATTTTAAACAATTTTGCGATCAACTTAAGTAGAGGTGGTGTCACTCAGTCCTTCGCTCTTGTTTAGAGATCTCCAGGTTCAGCAATTTCCATGTACACTTGGAAATTGAATATCAAAAAAAAATTGGTCACTTCAATCCATGACTCTTTGTGGGACACTGCTGTGCGCAATTGGCTGCCACGTTTCGCCCACAAAAATGCAGTCAATTCTCTTTACAGTATATTCTGTGAGACGTCAAGAAGAAGTGAAAAGCACTCCATCAAATGCAAGGATTATTATTATATTATCAGCATCAAAGTCAAGCACTGTTTGCTTTCAAAATTGAGATACAACTCCACACCTGATTTTCACTCAGTAGATTTAACTCACGAAGGACTCTAAGATAGAACTACAGGGTTGTATATTGAGTGGTGATTGCTTTAGTACTCTGCCATCTCAGTAATTTTTTTTAAAAAAAACAAGTTTTAGTTTTCATTAATAATGCACCACCATTCAAATGAATACACTTCTTCCATTACCTAGACAGCTGATATTAAGCCAATTCAACATGACAGTTTCCTCGAGGGCTTTTAGGCCACTTCATCGAATGAAAAGTACATTGGAAACATTCCGTTGTAATGTATGCATTTTGACATCACTACCCCACCCATATATTTACAACCTGTAGAGTTGTTAGGCTAACAGTCAAGACAAGGTCAGGAGCGATGCCTTTCAAATGACACAACATACCCAGATTGGGAGTGCTACAAATATGGATAATGAACAGACTGTGCCATTACTTGCATTACTTTCACTACCACTATTGATTGAAGTCATTTGGTGAATGCAAATTATTTGTCACTACGCTGGCGGATCACTGAAATTATAGGTTATTCAATGAAACCTGACAAAAAGTTGATTTGGAAAGCTCCATTGAAAGGCCCAGTAAAACTAAGGGTGCTTGGAAACAATAAGTTGATTTTAATTTTACACAACGACGCAAAGAGTAAATTGATTCACATTACATAACTAGAGGTGCTACAGCTTATACCATTTTAACTGTAAAGTTGTTATAGACCAGGTGGTCCACAATGGGTTCAAAGTGATTTTTAAATCTTAACAAATGTCAATTATTCTGATCTATTTGAATTGTAAATGATTTTTTTGGATTGATCTGGTCTGCTGATGCTACTTCTGCCCCTTACAAGTTAGTATAGCTGTAGATAACTCTAAACTCTATTGCATTTCCAAACGAAATAGAATTTGCATCTAATCATTCGATGGTACAGAAATATTAGTCCACCGATGAGATCCACCAAAGACAGCACCTCCAACAATACAACACCCTCCCACTACGCTTGATCAAGATTGGTTTTGTAAGAACTACTATGTAAAACGACTCAAACATTTTAGTCTGGGTTATCTAAGCGTTCCAAACATGCCTGGCTCTGCAAATTCACTACATACTTGCAGTGTTTGTATTGCCACACCTGCATGAGGAAAGGTATTCTAGTTGCAGCTGAAAGAAATCCGTGTCAATGTGCAAAAGAAATACAATGATGGGGAGTATTTCCTCCCTGGAAAAGATTAGAAAGAAGCAAAATTAGGAATGATTTATACGACGCAAAAATGTTCACATTAGAATATAGAATGAGGCAGGAAGGAGATAACTAGGAATTAGTTAGGAATTAACCAGGAACAGTTGTTCCCATACAATCAGGCCCTGCCCAGCAACCATAGCTTGAAAATATTTGTTGTGGGTTCGTCCAAAATAAATGCTTTTTTCTTGTGCTTAATAGCCCACCCTTTCTACCACCACATATAAAAATCTGAAAGTAACTTGGGAACTTGCTGTTTGTTACAAGTATATATTTAGCTAATAGTAACAGTTATAAATGTACCTTTTTACTGAAGCAAATTTTACAGGCCATCTACCTGACTATTGCTACATAAATTCTCACATAAAATAAATCAAGTTTGACATGCAGATAAAAAAGTGAAAAACTTACATTACAGTTGACAATAACCAGACACCTATCTGCATTGTTAAGATAACACATAATTCAGNTTTTTTTAAATAACTGTTACACATATCTATCTGCAAGTACTTACACAGTCTTCAAATATTCACTCCAGTAAGAAATACGTTTTCCATACACAAGGTAATTGTTTAAATAGATTTTAAACTGTTTTTGATCAACTTAAGTACAGGTGGTGTCACTCAGTCCTTTGCCCTTGTTAAGAGATCTCGAGGTAGGTAAGTCAATTCCGTGTGCACTTCCTGGCCTCATTGAATATCAAAGTCCAGCAATGTTTACCTTCACTGGCAAAGTATTAACCCCTTGCGATCACTTCACTTGTAATGTTTGTGCGCTCATTTATAAAAATAACAAAACTATCAGCATAATTTTTCCTGAAATTGTACACTGCGTTTGTACAGATTTGTAGCGGAGAAGGGCATTTGTTGTTGGTTCCTCCAAAAAAGTGTGGCCTCACTTTTTTGTGAGCCCAGGCTGTAACTTAATTGGGAGACTGGACAGTTGACTAAGGGGTTATCTAGAACTGCATTTGCTTTTTGTGATATACTTACTGCATTAATGCCCGTAATTCTGAGGCCCAGAATAGCTGGTTTTATTTCTGTCGAGGTATGGTATCGTAGGCTCATTTCTCAGCAACTTTGGGAGAGGTTTCCACCGATCAGGTTTCAGCAATTTCAGAACGTCTGGAGCTTAGAATTAAAGGGGACTTCAAGGTTACCCGACAACTCAAGTTTAAAACACTGCTGTAATTGTTCTGCAGTACACAAATGAACCAGAAAATAGTGCACTCGCAGGGTTCAAGCCCCACTCTGGAAGGCAGAAATCAGTCTAAGATGCCATTCCAATGATGTCCTGGGGTGTGTGGCATTGTTGGAAGTGCCATCCTTTGGAAAAGGCACCATTTGCCACTTCAGAACATTGGAGTCTGTGGCATTATTCGAAAAAGGTGTTTCTCTCGCAGCACTGCATTGGGAGTGTCAATCTAGAATACGATGCTAAAGTGGCAATATTGGTTTAATGTGTGCAGTTTTCTTTATTAGATGCGTTCTCAAAATGATTCATTGTAAATTCCTTTATTGATTTCCAAACCGTCATTAAGCATTCATTGAATTAGTTAAAGCCCATATTAAAATGCCAGGAAACTGATATCTAGGAATACAAATGAAAGCATTGCACTCTGTACTCAAGGTGGTCACACACCCCGCTGCGCTTTATTCAGGGAGGTCTGTAGAAATTCAAAACACACACGTTATAATGTCCCCAAGATTATATCTCCACAACAGGAGCAGATAAATGATCCCGAAAAAGGAAGGTACATCTTTAATACTGGATTTTATTGAATATACATGCTTGAATATATGTAGTTTTCCTCTGCTGTATTAGAGAATAAAAAACATTCACTCAAGCTTTTTTTTAAGAATTTTTATTTAATAGTATCCAGACACCATTAACTAATGGTTTTACAAAGAGAATCTGCTGTGTCCATCCCAGATTTTCCATCCTAACAGCCACCTGATGTAAGGCATTCGATCACCATAGTTAGTTTCCATATCATTCTCTGTACTTCACTCCGGATGCAGTCCTTGCTGCTGCTGTTGTCATACAGCATTCCTAAATGTCTTCATGATTAGATCTAAAGAAAAAAAAGCAGCTTTCAAAATCAACAGAAAGATATGTTCGCAGGATTGCTGCTCAACAAGTATATCTGCCAGTTACTAGACAAATAGAAACAAGTCCAATTACCTTTACGTTGCACAGAAAATGCTTCAGGTGATGTGATCAGAGACTATTACTCAACATGGATAAATCTGACGGTAATTCCAGCTGTTTTGAGTTTGGTTTCATCATCCACATTCCCATCACACAATAACCACTATCCATCTCCATTTAGCACTAAGTAAGATTAGTGTCCAAAGATTTAAATCCTGATAAGTTCTTTCTGCTACTCCAGTTAAGCCCTTGGCTACATATTTGCACTAAACCAGAGCGCCCGTTTGTGCCAAAATACAATCTTGAGATGGATTGCCAACAATTATATACTTACCAACCTGAGACATCCATTTGAAGATTTCTGCTCCAATCACTGAATAAAAAATATAGAATATTCAGTCAATCACGTTTTTTCATAACAGAAAATGGGAGTTTTCCCATCTAACAAATCAGAAACTAAAAACAGATCGTCAGTTATCGCATCTGACGGCACTTCCTATTCAGGTTTTCATCATTTACAACTTGCAAAGTTGCCTCTAAATCTTTCCTAGCCTGGACAAGACACAAAACTGATAAATTACCTGCCAACATTCCCTTTTGAGACAACCCAGGTTTCCCTGTATGATCACTGTAAAACAGGTAAAAGGAAAATTAGCAGTTAGCATGGAACTCACTTTAGTAAATTTATAACCTGTCATTATTATGTGATCAGAGAACCACTACTCAACACTGTCAATCTGACGGTAATTCCAGCTATTTGAGTTTGGTGTCATCATCCACTAAGCCACACAAAAATTGCCAACATTAAGCATACTAACTTAAAACAAATAGCCCATCAAGCACTCATTTTAGTTACTGCAAAGTCACAAACCACTTGTTCTTGACTAGCCGACACAATACCTTAGGTTATGAACTAAGCATTTCAAAGGCTACTGCATATTCCATAAGAACCTATTACATACACATTAAAAAAAACCTTACCATATCTTTAAGGCTAATCCAACGAATATATTGCTTCCATATCAGTTTTCAGCTGAGAAAAAAAAATCATATTCAACAATCTCACAATACATGTGAAAATCCCATTTATTTATTTTCACCCATCTGAACAGTCAGAATTAAATAGATTATCGTCAGTTCTCGCATCTGACGGCACTTCCTATTCAAGTTTTCATCATCAAAAGGGTGCAGAAATATCTAGATCAAAATAGTCTGAAAGATACTAGAATAAATAGTAAATCTCTTGGTAATTCTAGAGAATTGAGTTTGGACCCACCACTCACCACTAAACCACCTAAAAATTTTAAGCAAACTAACTTAAAATAACCTACAATGGACTAGTTTCATAGTTACCACAAAGTCACAGGCCATTTTCTCTAACCTAGCCGACAAAATATTTTATAAAGGTATAATTCCAATAGCCTGGACAAGCAAGAACCCACAGGAGGATGTGCCCGAACCATAAACAAAGTAGTTCAAAGGCTACTGCACATTCTACAAGAACTTATTATAGATTTTTTTTACCATATTCATAAGACCAATCGAAGGAATTTATTGCTTCCATGGCAGTTTTCAGCTGAAAAAGAAAAAATTGCATTCAACAATCTCTCAATACATGTGAAAATCCCATGTATTTATTTTCACCCATCTGAAGTCAGAATTAAATAGATTATCGTCAGTTCTCGCATCTGACGGCACTTCCTATTCAAGTTTTCATCATCAAAAGGGTGCAGAGATAGCTACATCAAGTTAGTCAGGAAGATATTAATCAATACTGGCAATAATTCCATTTGAGTTGGTTTCATCATCCACATTGTTCTTTAGCTCAAAAATTAAACCCCATTCCCTATCCCAGGCATTTAAACTGTAATAAGCCGGCCAAACTAATCTCGAAAAAAGCCTTCTAAATTCATGCAGTTAAATTGGACATAAGCAAAATAAATCACCTTTCACCAACTTCCCTTGCATCCATGTTGCCGAAGATGGAAGCTTTACCTGCAACATAGAGATAAGTCAGAACTGACAATCCACTTTCAATATTCATTCGAAGTAAGCTATTATAATATGGTCAGAATATCATTACTCAACACTGTACAATCTGACGGTAATTCCAGCTATTTGAGTTGGTTTCATCATCCACATTGTTAAATAGCTCACGTTAAACCCCACCCCAAGCATTTAAACCGTAACAAGTCAAGGACACAGAGCTGGTCAAACTAATCTCGACAAGACTTCTATGTTCATAGACTTACAATAGCAAAATAAATCACCTTTCACCAATCTTCACTTGCATCCACGCTGCCAAAGATGAAAGCTTTACCTGCAACATTGAGATAAATTAGAACTGACCATTCCCATTTACTTTCAATATTCATTTAAAGTAAGCTATTAAAGTATGATCAGAAAATCATTACTCAACACTGTACAATCTGACGGTAATTCCAGCTATTTGAGTTGGTTTCATCATTCACACTGTTCAATAGCTCAAGTGCTAAGCTCCATCCCAAGCATTTAAACAGTAACAAGTCGAGGACACAAAGCTGGTCAAACTAATCTCGACAAAAGACTCCTACGGTCATGGACTTAAATAGCAAAATAAATCACCTTTCACCGAGCCTCACTTGAATCCGTGTCGCCAAAGATGAATGCTTTACCTGCAACACAGAGATAAGTTAGAACTGAACACCTACTTTCAATATCCATTCAAAGTAAGCTTTTTCAGTATGATCAGAAAATTGTTACTCAGCACTGTACAATCTGACTGGAATTCCTGCGATTTTAACTGTATTCATCATTCATAGGGTTGTTTAACGAACAGCCACCTACCCCCCCCCCCCCCAACTTCCCATCAAGTGAGCTTCCACTGCACTATATATTGTACGAGAGAGCATGTGAAACCTGAACCTACATTTAGGGAGCCCAGGGCACAATGCTTCAAGATCAAACACCTTTCATGGGACTTCACCTGCATCCAGATCTCCAAAGATGAACGTTTGCCCCTGTTAACGAGAGGGGAAAAAGTTAGGACCAACAGCACCCACTTTCAGCACGTGCACAAAGGCGACAAGCAGCTTGGTCAGGAATGGTCGGAAGCCATTGCTCAAGACCGTCCAACCTGATGGCAATTCTAAGTTTACCTTAGTGTGCAGATGTATTTGCACTGAAATGCTGCACCGCCGCTCTACGGGAATAGTATTGCATTCCCAACAAAAAAAAAATCACCTCTTGGTATCACGGTCTCATACAATCACATGGGACGTGAAGATGAATAATTTTACATGTTAGGAAAAAGTATATATACACATATATATATAGAGAGAGAGAGAGATTCCTTACACGGGGCGGGGGTCTGAATACTGTGGTTTGAGACAAAGATGAATCATTTTTTCACATGTAAATACATATAGATATTATATACATTCACACACGCGATTGATTCTTTAAATCTGTACCGGGAGGGGAGGGGGCTGAGTGCTGTGGCTTGAGATAAGGTTTGAGAAGCCTCTCCCCCTCCCCCCCCATCCCCCAAACCTTTTGTCCTGACTGAATCCTGACCGAAAATGGCGCCGCCGCCATTTTGTGGCTCAAACAACACGTGCGGCAAAACCGGGGACCGGCCTTCCACACACAGGAAAAAAAGGGGGCGAACCCGAGAGGTCGGCGGCTGCACTCCGGCGGGGCCTCGGCCATCCCCGTCCCCAACACCACCACCACCAACAACAACAACACAGAGCGGCGGCACTAAAACAGCAGCAGTAAATGCCGACAGTGAGGTTCTCGAACCTTCCCCGATGTCTCGGGACAGAAATAACGTTTTTTTCCTTTTCAAACTAAAAAAAAAACAGGAACTCCTGACGCCTCCCCCTCCCTCCCTCACACACACACACAGTCACAGCCTCCATCTTGCTTCACCAGGGGGTATCGTACCGTGTCCCAGGCAGAGGCTGCGGTCGTAGAGGAACCGAGAGAGAGACATCACCGCCGTCCTGACCGTTGGCGTCTTCCAGAGAGAGAGAGAGAAAGAGAGGACCGCGCGCAGGCTCCCAGCAACCCCCGCGCGAGGGGGCCGGGGGGCGGGACGAGAGGGAAAAGGGGGCGGGGCGAGAGGGAGAGGGGGTGTGGCGAGAGGGAGAAGGAGGCGGGGCGAGAGGGTGAGGGGGCGGGGCGAGAGGGGGCGGGGCTTGAAACCAGCGCAGTCACGTGACGCAGCTTGGATTGCCCACCGAGCCCTTGTGGCCAAGTGTCCAGAGATGGAACCGCAACGTCAACGGATTGCCCTCGGGCAGCGCTTCTTCACGTCGGGAGACGTCCCCAAGGCCCTGGACCGTCAGGGATTTGGACCCGAACCGGGGGTTGGGATCAGGTGGCGGGTGGTGGGACGGCAGGGAGGGTAAGGGGGATGTGGCCGAAGGCGCAGTCGAAGGAGAAATAATCCCTCCAAAACCAAAAACAATAATAAATTGGTCATTTTCAATCTACGACTGTTTGTGGGACATTGCTGTGCGCCATTGGCTGCCGCGTTCGCCCACAGATATACAGTCAATTCACTTTACAGTGTCTTCTGTCCTCTGTCCTCTGTCCTCTGTCCTCTGTCCTCGGTCCCCTCCTCTTCACCCTCTATATGCTCCCCCTCGGTGACATCATCCGCAAACATGGGGTTAACTTCCACGTGTATGCGGATGACACCCAACTCTACCTTTCCTCCTCTACTCTCAACTCCACGACCACCGATGTCCTGACAGCTGCCTGTCCGACATCGAGTCCTGGACGAGAGACAACTTTCTTCAGCTCAACGTGCGCAAAACTGAGGCCCTCCACATTGGCTCACGTCAGCGCCTCCGCACCTCAGGCGCTGACACCATCAGCATCCAAGGCTGCACTCTCCACCTCTCAAAGCCAGTCAGGAACCTCGGCGTTTTGTTCGACCCTGAGCTGTCCTTTCTCCCTCACATCCGCACCACAACTGGCACCGCCTTCCATCACCTCCGGAATATCGCCAGATTACGGCACTACCTCACCCCTCACGCTGCTGAAACCCTGGTTCACGCCTTTGTCACCTCAAGGCTGGACTATGGGAACTCTCTCCTCGCCGGCCTTACCGGCACCTCCCTCCACAAGCTGCAGGTCATTCAGAACTCTGCAGCTCGTGTACTGTCCCGCACCAGGCTTCGGGACCACATCACTCCCACCCTTGCTCGCCTCCACTGGCTCCCCATCCCCCAGAGGATTGATTTCAAGATCCTCATCCTCACCTACAAGGCCATTCACGGCCTCGCTCCCTCCTACCTCTCCAACCTACTATCCCCCTACCTACCTGCCCGTACCCTCCGTTCCTCTGGCTCCGGTCTGCTCCACGTCCCCCGCCCCAACCGCCCTACTATCGGTGGTCGGGCCTTCAGCCTCTCAGCCCCGAGGCTCTGGAACTCCATCCCCCAGTGCCTTCGCCTTGCTTCCTCCCTTTCCTCCTTCAAGGCCGGTCTCAAAACCTTTCTCTTTGACCGTGCCTTCAGCTCCCCTCTCGACTCTCTTCCTCCTCCTCCCTCCCTCCCTTCCCTCCCCTCACCCTGACCATTTCCCCCCTCCTCTCTCCCTCCCTTCCCTCCCCTCACCCTGACCATTTCCCCCCTGCTCGGTCATGACCCAACTGTGCAGCGCCTTGGGACGTCCTCCTGACGTGAAAGGCGCTCTATAAATGGAATCTTGTTGTTGTTGTTGTTCTGTGAAGCGCTTTGGGACGTCCTCCCGACGTGAAAAGCGCTATATCAAATGCAAGGATTATTATTATTATTATTATAAGGTCTTGAGATGTGCCTTGAAGGAGACAAGGGCGGGGGGGGGGGGGGAGTTCCAATGGGTGGAACTGGATATACTGTAAAACGGATTGACTGTATTTTGTGGGCAAAACACGAGAGGCAGTTGAACACAGCAATGTCCCATAAAGCCATGGAGTGAATGACTAATTTTATTTGGGGATTGTTGGCCAGAACGCTGGGGGAAATAGTGCCATGCGTTGACTGCCATGGGTCAATCATATAACCTATCACTTTACATAAAACAAAACTATTGAATACCGAGAAAACCAAGCTCATGGTGACAGGTGCTGCTGTTATGACATGTTTTATTAAAGAAACCTTTATATAGTGATGTGCATGTACAGAAAGACCATTTACAGTGTCTTGATTGTCTCCTTCCCTCCAGAGGCTGTTTCAACTTTAGGTTAGTTAGTGACTGATACTTATACCCCTAAACAAACATGTCAAATTCTATCCTTAACCATTAACTCATGCTACTCTTCCCTAAAGAGAACAAAGACTTCAAACAGCTCACACTGGTCATCCTCCTTGCTACTGCAGTCTGTTTGTCAAACGTTTGAGACTAGTTCAACATATTCCCACATCTGGATGCCAAAGCCCCTCTATTTACACGTCTCTTTTGTACATAACTACGCAAGGACATGAGGTAAAGGGAAAACAGACACTGTTGATTCGTATCAAGGTTTCAGTTACAAAGATATAGCAGTACAAATATTAAATAACTTCCATTAAAATGAAATACAAAATAGAAGAGCATAAAAGTCAGTGTAACAGAATCAAACGGTTTACAATGTTCAAGCGATTACAAATATGTTTCATATTGGCAAAATTTAACAATATATATATATTCCGATGATGCATGATTCTTATGTTAAGAACAACACACCCAGGATGCTTCACATGAGATCTTTAACATCCACCTTAACAAGCTGCCCCCTCCCTCCCCGCCTTCAAATCCCGCCGAAAGACCTTCCTTTTTGACCGTGCTTACGGTCACCCCTCCCTCTCCTCCTGGCTCGTTGTCAGACTCCGCCACTCTGAAGCATTCGGGGATGCGTGAAGGGCGCTATGTAAAGGCAAGTTTGTTGTAGTTGATAGGATCTCGTTTTAACATCACATCTGAAGGACAGCAACTCCAAAATACGGCAACATTCCCCCCTCCCCGGCACTGCACTGGAATGTCAGCCGAGACGATTCAGGTTCAAAGTCCCGATATGGGGCTTGAACCCACAATCTTCTGACAAAGAAGCAAGAGTTCTACCACTCTGTTTATTGCATTAGTAACAACATCCCCACATGCAAAGCTGATGTAAATACCAACTTATCATCATAGGCACAAACAACAATAATCATGATTATAATACCACAGCAATACTTTCAGGATTGAATTAGTTGGGTTCAATTTGATACACTTAAGAGTATTGCTTTCAACATTGCAACACGTGCTTGGAAAGACTAGCCATTACAATTTCCATGCCGGGAGCAATCATAAGCTTCTAACATTGGGTCTATAACCTGAATGATATAATGTAATATGTTGAATATATTAAAACCTATCAGTTTTCTGATCAGTCAGTAAAAAGCAGTTAATTTACTGACTGAATTACATTTTGTCCTTTCTCTTTTCACAGACGCCGATTCAGTTTTGAGGCATTCATCTTTGAGTGTCATCTGCAGTCTTTCTTTCTGGTTCTTTGGGAGTCATATACTCAGCAATCTATAGCTAACATGTTCACATACTTATGTTGTTACATTAATTAAGGTTTATGACTAATTAATTGTTTTCAAACTAAACTGTTAACTACTGTATTTCTTATTAGCATTAGAACAACAATAGAAACGGCTATTAATAGGGAACAGTAACTCAGTTAACTACAAAATTAATAATGAATAATTTCTAAGGGCTGATGTTGAGGAATTATTGTTGTTATCATTACATACTACATAATGCACATTGATTCTTAGCACAACCATGTTATATGATTTTTAAAACTACTACTTTATATAGTATCCTATATTGTCCCCTACAAATCCTTGAAAATCCTTGAAAATGGTGAATGGTTAGAAACAAACATGGGACGTTGATTTTTGAATTTACAAAAGCAGTTAGCATTCAACGATATGCAAACCATTCATTGTAACGTCTTGTCAAACAAATAAAATCACTTTATTCTGACTGTATGTCACACTATATTGTTTGCGTTTTCTGAAACAAATATCTTATGCTTTAATCTGGAACACATCTCAAGTTTCAAGTTGATTCTATGCATCACAGCGAGCTGTTTGGAAATAAAAATAAGGTTTGAAATTAATTTGAAGGCTTTCTAAGATATGTAACAAATGTATACATATGGCCTGATAACTAGCAAATGAAGGTAAATACAGATAAATGCAAGATACTGCATATAGGAAGCAACAGCAACTTTTATATAGTGCCCCTCATCTCAAAGTGCTTCACAATGACAAGAGATGCTGGGCAAGAGAAAGGAGAGAGGTGACTATAGTCACAGAAGAGGGACTATGTGTTTAAAAAGTGACAACTAAGTTTTAATCTGTGGGTGCTTGTGAAGTTAGTTGATGTCCATTTCTCATACATAGTATAATTGGTTGTATGCAAGTGTTTTACAGAAAATGTGCAATCAGTCCTCTTATGTTGCTTTTGCATTTCATCTTTACACCACGCTCTGCCTGAAGTGAGAACGCACATTTTTTCTTCCCAAAACTAGGAACACTGAAACCAGTGTAGAGCCCCCACTGCTGCACTGGCTGATTTCCGCTAACTCAACATAAACCAGGATTGAAAGTGGGTTATTCTTACAGCTCAGTTTCACAGTAGGCAGTGAATTTCTCTTATTCACCATCAACGGCAATAATGTGACTGTTTCACATATGAAGAATTCCACCCAATGTATTGTGACATTAATATTGTAAATATTTTAATATAATATGAATGACTTACGTGAAGTGATTTCTTTTGCTTTTTTATAGAAAAGAAGATAAGCAGTTCCAACACTAAAAAGAATGATAAGTGTTAAATAATGCACAGACTATTATGTTAATTTTATGGTTATCTAACTCAAAATCTACACTTAGCTAAACAGAGCTATTAGAAAAGTCAACAAGTGATGTTGTTACAGTTGTATAAAACGCTGGTTAGACCTCATTTAGTGAATTGTGTGTAGTTTTCGTTACCAAAACTAAGGAAGGATATATTGACCTAAGAGAGTATGAAGCATTAATTTACTAGAATGATTCCTGGTGTCAAGGGCCTAAATTATGATGATAGGACGGAAAAGCATTGTATTCTCTCAAATTCAGGAGGTTGAGGGTTAATCTGATCGGAAAGTGAATAAAATTATAAAATAATTTGAAAGGCTGAATGGTGAGCAACTGTTTCCTCTAGCAAGAGAATTGAGGACTTGAGGTCATAGTCTTAAATTTGAGGTTAAACGCTTAAAAGTGAAATAAGGAAACATTTTTTCACACAACGGGTGGTAGTGTGAAAGTGTGAAATTCACTCCTCCAAAGGCCAATGGAGAAGGCGGAATCTATTGAAAAATTTGAAAGGCAAATAGATAAATACTTGATAGATAGGGGTCTCAAAGGATATGGAGAGAAGGCAGGGAAGTGGAATTAAGTTGTGAATCAGACATGATCTTGGAAAATGGTGGTACAGGCTCGCTGGGCCGAATGGCATACTCTTGTTTCTATGTTCCTAACAAGAAGCTACCACTGGAACCACAAAGTGTAAAATTTCACGCACACACATCTTTGAAAAACGCCATATGTGAATATTTATGAATAACCAGAAATGGGGAGATGGAAACTACTTTGTATTTTCAATTGAATTTGACATTATTTGCCTCCAACAAAAAACTTACAGAGATTACAAAACAACAACAACAAATTACATTTGCATACGTACCAATCATCACCAAGATAGGAATGTTTGGATGATCCAAAAGATATTTCAATATCTTTCCATGAAGCCTGTTGGAATAGACATAAACAATGTATACATTGAAATTACAAGCATAATCTGTGAAAATACAGTTTTAACAAAATAACCATTACAGGAAAATGATGAGCAAGCCAATTGTCTGACCAGTTTCAACAAGAGAAAAGTAATTTGAACCCATCAATTTGATAGCCTTATTTTGTAAGTACAGTAAAACTCACATAAATCCTATCAGTCGGGACCATTACAATTAACATGACTTACTCACAATCCAAGTCGCAGGCAAACTGTATACATGTAACTGTACAAGAATAACTGATATGTCGTAGAAAATCCGATTTAATCAATAATCTACATAGCGCCTGCGTAATTCAATGCAACAAGTAACAGCCCATGTGGTAGTTCATTACTGCAGCCAGTAAGTGCCCATACCGGTTTGATTCTGGCATTCCATTGACAAATGTTACCTTAGAGCCAATTCAGCTCAGTGTCGGTAGTCTAGTTTTTGAGCCCAGCTGGTCCACAGTACTCAAGGGCACTGCTGATGACAGCACAGTCAGCCTGTTTAATTGGCAGAACTTGGTAGGGCAGATTAGTCAATGGTGGCAGAGACACTTCCCACTTGTTAACCATGCAAACCAACATCCTAACAGGTAGAGTGGTCCTAGCTGGACCACTCTACTTATTGGTACAGGGAAAATTTGCCAGGTCGTGCTCTCAATGGCAAGCTTTGTGGTTTTAGTTTGCGGTCAATGGACAGATGGTTTTAGCTTCTCAACTGAAGGATAGTAGCTCCAACAATGCAGCACAGCACTTGAACCCACAACCTCCTGACTTGGGAGGTGAGAGCTCTATCAAATGAGCCAGTCTATACTGTGTTTATAAAATAAGCACAAGAGAAACATTTAGCAACTGCTAAATTGGTATGATTACAATAGCATTTCATATCTTAGAAAATATACCAGCACTTACTTTTGTAACTATTTCATCATTGAAGTAATACCATTCTCTTTCTGGTAAATGCCTTATATAAGCATAATAATGACCAAAGTATGCAGTGCCTCTGTGCACAATCACAGAAAAAAGGTCATATATGGATTCATCCTGCAAATGAAAATGTAAAACTTAAAGTCATTGTAAAAATAACTCTTCTGTATAATACTCTCTTGGGTAAAGCAGGAGGTACTTTATTTTGCATCAATGCATGAGATCCATACCAAGCTAAATCTGGGTTAATGAATCCTAATATCTAGTTCAGAATCGATAAGTTTTATTTTCCAAGATGACTGTCACCTTAAGTATAACACATGGCCATTATTGTTTAAAAATAAGCTCAAAGTCTTTTGCATTAGAAATTGTATCCAAGTTCAGAGGAAAGAAAACGTACCTCTTGGCCACGATGCTTGTTAGAAATCTTACATCTCTCAGGAAACGTCATAGAATCGCTGATTTTGACTGATTTCCTCAAATTTGTAGAATAGCCAAAGCGTTTTAGCTGAAAACATAGCACTTTTGGAAAATAAGCCATTCTGCACTGCTATTAAAGAGAAACAGTCTTGGTTAAATGAGTGAGTAAGCAGTCCTGTTTTTCTGTGAAATGCAAATGAAATATATCAATATTGACAATGCTGGAAAGTGTTATCTGGCATATTGTTTACTCTTGTGACACATAAATGGCAGGATATGTTTTTTGTATAATAAAATAATATTTCCACTTTACATAGCATTGAAACATCTCAAAGTGCTTCACAGAGTTTTCTGTAAAGTGTAATGACTGTGTAGTTGTAGGTGAATGTGACAGTCATTTTGCACATGGAAATACTATATCCTACAAACAGCCATGAAGTGAAAGACCAAAGTGAAAGTGGGAAAATCTCCCTTCTTTTTTTGAAAAGTTGTCATTGGTTCTTTATCGTCCAGGCAAATTTGACCTCAGTAGCTACATAACTTTGGATATATATATATCACGACCACAACTCCAGGTAATCTATTCCAGTAGCTGTCATCCCAAATCTCTGAGCTTCCCCATTATTTAACCACATCAATTCATTTGAGGAGAGATAAGCTGCTGCTTAACTTCTAGGCTTCCAACTGGTGGAACCACCAATCAATGCATAGGGATATATAATAATAATACTATTAATAATAATGCATTTGATTTAGCGAAAGTTGGCTTTTCTCCAGGACTTGATATCTGACAGACAATCTGCCAGGACAGAAGTGGTCAAGGAGTCAAGGGTGAAAGCAGAAAATAGAATTGGTCATCATACATGTGGAAATTCACCCTATTTCTGTAAATGACATCACCAGACAAGGACAGAGCATGAAGGTGGAGATGAGAGGGGAGGCGGTGGAGACGAATAAGAAGTCAATCATATCGAAGACAGCAGAGAAATCAAGAAGAACGAGGAAATAGAGAGCCCTGGTCACAGTTGGACACAATGTAATTAGTAACTTTGACCAAGGCTGTTTCTGTGCTGTGGGCAACATGGAAACCAGATTGGAGAGGATCATACAGAGAATGGTAGGAGAGGAAAGTGTGAAGCTGGGAATCAATGCCTCATTTCAGGACTTTGGAGAGAAAAGGGGGTTTGGAAATGGGATTGTAGTTACAGAAAATGAATTGGTCAAAGAAAGGTTTTTTGAGGATGGGGGTAATAACGGCTGTTTTCAAGGGGTTGGGAATGGTGCCGGAAGAAAGAGGTTCACAATGTCACTATTCAGTGAAATTAAGCTTTAGAAATAAACCTGTCTACATGGGTCTGCATGCATGGTATGAAAAGAGTCAGTTAAACATAATGTTTTGACATAAGAACAGAATTCCTGGACTGATGCTGTAGTACCACACTCACCTGTTTTGTTTTTGTTTTCCATTCACATTTGTCACAGTAGAATGCGTTTTCTTGGTCTAACTGATGATAACTAAAGAAAGCTTCAAATGATTTCTCCTGTGCAGATGAAAAATTAAAGTGAAAACAAAATCTGACAATGTTTGGGAACACTGCTTTTTATGGGATGTCGCTGTCTGCAAATTGGCCGCCTTATTCGCCAATAAATACAATTACTGCACTTTATAGTACATCCTGTGTAGCACTTTGAGATGTTCTGGTAACATGAATGGTGGTAGATCAAATGCAAGGAAAAGCTTTGCTGTCAAGAAGCATTTTGGAGCAAATGGTAGTTTTCTACTTTCTTTCACACAACTGGAAAATCTAGGGAGTAATTTCAATCAAATTCAGTATTTGAATGTGTGTATATAATAGTTTAGAATTCAATTCTTTGGTGTTCTAGTTACCAAGCTGCCTCCCGAAAGAGTTATTTGGTTGATATTCTACTTTGTAAATTCACAAAGATTATAATCCTTGCATTTGATATAGAGCCTTATCAGTCTTCGAGGTGTCTCCAAGCGCTTCACAGAATATACTGTAAAGTGAATTGACTGTATATTTTCTGGGCAAAACTCAGCAGACAATTGCACACAGCAGTGTCCTACAAACAGTCTTGCGACCAAATAATTTTTATTTATTTTGAAGGAATTATTACCCCTGGAAAAGCGATCCGCTAATTGACTAACAACCAGGTTCCTACTTACTGCTGGGTAAACAAAGGCATGTGGAGAAAGGAAACTTGCCCAACATTTTGCCCTGCCAGGAATCGAACCCAGGGCCTCTCACTTGTGAGGTCTCAGCTACAGGACACCAGATTAAACAGAATAAAAATTACAAATGAAATTGGTTGCTATGAATCAAAATATGAATGGAAAAAAAACACGTACTATAGACTCATAAGGTGTATCACATGCAGGGTTATGAAGAGAAAGAGGGATATTCAACATTTCTTCTTTTTGAGTGAACTCCGATTCACATTCTGAACACACTGTATGCTCCTCAGTAGTAAAGCTAAAAATGTTAGTTTCTTCAACCTATAGAAAGATGAAATATAAAAGGTAAGCAAGTTTTTTTAATATCTGAATTGTATTATTTATACTAGATCCAAAATGATAAGTAGCCACTTTCTTCCCAATTTAATAATCATATTGTAGTTTGACCACATTTGGTTAAACTATTTTGGTTAGACTACACTTGGGATACTGTGTGCAGTTCTGGTCCCCACATTATAGTACACATTATTGTATGTGGAAGTATAAAACAAACATAGTTAGAATCATCAGTTCAAATGGGACACTTAATAAGACTATTCAGAAATGGCTTGACAAAATACCTGAGGAACAAAATATCAAGTTCTTGATATCAAAATGTAGGTATTTTAGGAAGCTCAGATGTACTAAGAAAAAGTAACATCCATTCATGGGTAACATGGCTGTGTTATTTGTCGGGCTGTCCCATCACTGAAAACTATTTAGAAATTGTCGCTACAGAATGATTTGAACTGTAATAACATAATAATAATAATAAATAATAATAATCCTTGCTTTTGAAAAAGCACCTTTCATTAGGAGGATGTCCGAAAATGATTCACAGGAATTCCTATGAAGTGGAGTGACTGCATTTGTAGGAAAAATCGGCAGCCAATTACGCACATCGATGTCCCACAAAAAGTCATCAAAAGAATGAATAATTTTATTTTATTTATTCGTTGGCGAGGACACCAAGAGAAACTCCTTTCTCTTTTTGAATAGTGCCATGGGATCTGTAACGTCCAACTGAACAGACAGACTGGCCTTAGTTTAGCATCTCATCTGAAGGACGGCATCTCCAACAAAGCAACACCAACCCCCAACAGCTTCCTGGAGTGTCATCTTAGATTATGTGAGTCCAAGTCCTGATGTGGGGCTTTAACCCACAACCTTCTGACTCAGAGGCGAGAATGCTGCTAACTGAGCCAGGCTAACACAATTAACCAGCTAATTAGTGCTACCACCATTCATGCTCACAATATTTAGTTCACAAAGATTTACAAAAATGCACAGCACGGAACTCGCCACTTGACTCAACTAGTCTGTGTTGGTGTTTATATGCCACACAAGTCTCCACCCATTTCTTTACTCCCTCCCATACCTTTCCATTCGCCTTCCCTCACATCAGGATCTAGATCCAGCTTGAATCCTCCTGGTGTCTACACTATCTGATTCAATCACCGCTTCAGGCAGTGAGTTCCACAATCTCACTACCCTCTGCATGAAGTAGTTCCTCCTACGTTTCTCTTTTTGATCCCTTGGTCACTATCTTATTTTTTAGTCCCTGGTTATGGACTCCCCAACCAGAGGAAACAGCCTATTTATGTTAACCTTACCGAACCCTGTTATCATTTTAAAAAACGTATTTGAGGTCCCTCCTTAAACATGTCTTCTCTGGCAAAAAAAGGCCCAATTATCCAAGTATCATCTTCACAAACCTATCCTGTACGCTTTCCATCGCTGCTATATCCTTCCTACATTATGGATACCAGAATTGGACACAATACTTCAAATGTGGTCTAACCAAAGTTTTGTATAAATTCAACATCTCCTCACCTCAGTTTCTGCAGGACTTACAGATCTATTTATACACTTTTGCTCTTCCTGGATCATATGCATGAGTGAACGAAAGAGTTCTTCAACATCCATCTGGAATTCAACTTAAAATGAATGCAGACACTTAATAATATAATAATAATCCTTAAATTCGATACAGAGCTTTGTCATATCTTCTAGACATCTCAAAGCGCTTGACAGAATATAGTGATTTGACTGAAAACATTTTTTGTGGGTGAAACGCGGCAGCCATTGCGCACAGCAGAGTCCCACAAACAGCCATGAAGTGATTTGAAGGGATCATTACCACCGGAAAAGTGATCGGCCAATCGACGAACAATCGGGTTCCTAATTACTGCTGAGTAAACAGAGGAGTAAGGAAACTTGCCCAACGTTTCACCCTGCACAGGAATCGAACTCAAGTTCTCTCGCTTGCGAGGTGAGTGTTCTAACCACTAGACTCCCACTTTTATTAAAACAGCAATTAATCCAAAAAAAGGAAATCCTGTAAGAGTTTAATTCACAACAACAACTTGCATTTATCTAGTGCTCTTCATGTAAAACAACATCTTGAAACACTTCACATTGGTATGGCTGAAGTAAAAGAGAAATGGGGGGGGACCACATGAGCTATCAGATTTAGCAGATAATCTGGGAGTTTTAAACTTTATAAAGATTTATTTTAAAAGATAAAACAAATATATGAAACATTAGGCTTTTTATTATTCAGATTATTTTGACCTCTAATTCTCTCCCCTCCCCCCCTGAAAGATTTTGATTTGTTTTTCCTTCCACTTGACAGTGAATAGAAATTCCACCTCGTTCTAGATTTAGACTATTTTCTTAGCAATTCAGTGTAAAAATAGATTCATTCAGTCTTCATTTTCAGAATACCTCACTCCCAATTTAGCTGAAACCCTCGTCCACACTTTCGTCACCTCCTGCCTTGACTATTCCTCTTCGACCGTGCTTACGGTCACCTCCTCCTTCCCCCTGTCTCGGCGTCAAGCTCTGCCACTGTTAAGCTCTCCGAGATGCTACCCCGCCTGAAGGGCGCTATATAGATGCAAGTTGTTGTTGAAATACAGAAATCTGTTCCTACATTAAAGTTTCAGCTCTGAAATGTTAAGAAAATAGTCTAAATTTAGAGAAAGGCTTAACCACCTGCTCCAGGAACTGTATGATTTCAAATGTTCTGCAATACCAATATGACATTCAGTTGACAGTAAAATTGTTCATGAAGGTAAGGAGGGAAAACATGAGACAGCACATAGATGTATGAATCTAATGATCCAAGGGTCTCTTTCTACACTTTCTAAAAGCTATTTACAGAATGGAAGAAGATTGGTTTCAGAAACAGTCATGAGTGTGCCTTCATAACTGAGAAAGTAGTGTAGGGTTATAGATGGATTTAATGATGGATGCAAATATCCTTAAAGGATAAAACAAAATACTTTCTTTTCTTACTCATTGTTAGATAAGAAACTGGTTTACCCAGATTGTTTAAGGCTCATTGTTCAATAGGCAAGATCCAGCTATAAATAAGGTATCCATAGTTAGGTTTTTAGCATCAGTGTTCCAAGACGTTACCCTCGTGATATAAATGCATGCTGTTGTTGTATACTCACCATTGATGTGGTGTAACTTTAAACACTGAACAAACTCTTCGACTCTCACGACTTCCTTTTTGGAATTCAAATTTTGAAACACTTGATAGAGTTTGTACAAGACACTGTTATCCATTTCCTTCAGATTGCTTTTCCTTCCATACCTTTAACAACAAGGGTATAAAAGTTCTGAAATCCCATTTTATCAGACACACTGAAGTCCTATGCAATGCAGTGGATCAGAATGGGTAAATAAATAGATTTAATATTTTGGGTCGCATTTAACCTGAAGGAGTTACAAGTAAGTAATGCATGAAAGTTTTATCTAACGCTGTTATATTATTACCATTACTAATGGAGTTGCATTCCTGTTTTGGTACTTTAACAGATAAGAAACTGGTTTACCCAGATTGTTTAAGGCTCACCACCAGATCCCACCCAGCCCACACCACCCACTGCATCCAGTAGCAGTGAGGAAGAGCGGCATGAGGAACCACTTCAGAAAAGGAATCCATATCCACCACAAACACGTGAATCAAAAATATTGGATATTTTTGAAGGAATGACACATTAAGTTGCACCCCTTTATATATTAGATATTTGCAAAGGAAGTTAAAAACTATGGACTGAGGAATAGATTTGGTTGCTCAAAAACATTAGGTCAATAAAACTATAATTTACCTCATAATAATGTCTTTGTATTCTGGAATCATGTACAATGTCTGTAAAAGGACATTGACACTACAGTTTAGGCCTGTGTTGGTGAGTCCCACAAACTCTATGGAAAGAAATTGGACATCATTAACTTTGTTATAAAAGTTTTCACTACAGTACTTCCATCCTGTTGATTATATTAGCGAAAAGCTTATCAGTAGAAAATATGACCCCCCCCATCCCTACTATAACTGCTAAAAGTATCCTCAAACATAACTTTCAATTTGTTTATATGATAAATATTTAAAAGTCAGTCAGGCCATCAACTAACCAATAGTGCAATTTTCATTATAAATTCTCCCTAAAATATTTAGTCTTCAAGTAAATAAAAAAGGCAAAATATCATAAAAGATAAAATATTAGCAAGTATTTTCCTTACCCCCAATTTAATTAAGTGTCTCATACCCAACCCATTTACAACAGGAATCATTCTTGCTGTTCTTTACATCTTCTCTTTTGAATGGTAAGCTGACCAGAACTGAATGAATGATCCAATGAAATAATCAGTCTAAATGACATTGTTGCTAAACATTGCAATGTTGATTGCATCTTATATTACTTGATTGTGCTGATTACACATCACTACAAAATCATTGAAAGTAAAATAAATTGTGGAAATATCCTGGGTTTCTCTATGCTGCTTCAAAACCAACATGAATCCTCCTCCTATCCACCTCACACGCAGAATAATACTGAACATTTGAAGGAACAATTTCCTTTCCTCTCAGCTTCACCTCGAGGAGACACCAAAAAAGCAAATCAGAACAACTATAAATTTACCATTCAAGAGATAGCATTGTAATAACATGGCATTCAGTTCTGGTCATCTTGCGTTCAAAAACATATGAAGTGGGTACAGAGAAGAGCAACAACATAGATTCCTGGTGTAAATACATTGGACTATGAGACACAACAAGAGAAGTTACAATCTTGAGGAATTTTCTTGGTAGGCGATACCAACTGTTGTTAAGCTGTGTGGCAGATATTATTTGAGTACATTTCAAATGACCATTCATACACATATTATCATTTCATTTACCATCCTTTAGTGCAGGAGTGGAGTCTTGTTGTGAGGGTTTTTTCCATGGCTGAGAAATGAAATTGAAAACCGTTAGTCATTTGCAGCTTTTGAACCATTTCAAACAATCAGAGAAAACGTTCTGTGTCAGAAGAACATTATCACATCCACATGACGCTACGCTTATGCTTGATTATGAGAGTGGGATTGAGACTTGGCACTCAAAATAGACTGCAATATCAGGAAAAGCAGATTCACTATCACAGTACAAGGTTTAACAACATTATTTCCACACATATTTAGTATCCAGGTTCATAATTTTACCTGAGCAAGACTGAACTGGAAGACGATCGAGAGCTCAGTACAAGATTAGAGAGAGAGAAAAAGCAACATACACAGAGTTAGAGATGCATAGGGAAAGGCACACTCACTGAACTGTTAGAGAGAGGGAGACATAAACATGCAGAGATCTATCAAGTGCGTCACATACTCCCTCTCTGCTTTCAAATCTGACTTAAAACCTATCTTATTTACTCTGCTCTAAGTCACTTCCCTCCCTGTCACCCAGCTTAAGCTAACACTACATCTCTGTAAAGTGATTTGATACATTTTGCTTCATGAACGGTACTACAGCCTTGCAAGCCATCACAGGAAATATATACTTAATGATAATAATATTTTAAAAGATGAGACTTGGGTTTTACATAGATAATCTTAAAAGTGGGAGAGCAAGTTGAAAACCTGGAAAACAAATCTAATGGATCCAAGGTTTTGTACACACATCAAGACCCATATCAAGATTTTGAACTCGTATACTGTAAGCTGACACTCCAATGCAATGCTGGTGATGCGATCCAGAGCGGGGAGTATGTGTGTAACACTTTGTGTGAGCGTAATACAATGTATGTGTGCACAATACTGTGTGCGTGTGTGTGTGTGTGTGTGTGCATATATCCAAGTGCCCATCCACCCGAAGTTGATGCCTACACAAATTTCCATTCCTCACTCCACCACAGCATAGAGAACTCTTTCAGATAGCTAGACCTGGGCATCAATTGCCTTCTTCTGTACTGTAAAATTCTATGATTCTACAAAAGGATTTGTCCTGTAATGTTCTAAGAAGGCCTTCTAATATTAAACTTTTGTTGCATTCTCACAGTAGTTACGGAGTTTGAATTACGAGGACTACCACACTCCTGGGCAACCAGTTTGGTACCAAAGTCATCTTGTGTGGAATGGTCAGAGTCACAATCATCCTGCTGCTTCCGTGACCGAGGATTGAAAACTGTGAATAATTGATAACTGTAAATGGTTTTCAGATGTTGAAAGTGTGGATGAAAATGATGTCTGAAAATGGTTTTCAGATGTTGAAAGTGTGGATCAAAAGTATTCATTCCCTGGTGTCAGTTATGGGAACGATAACGCGGATCAAGCTGAAAAACAAATCACAGATAAAAGCTTTTTTCGTTGTGCAGTTTTGCAACCTTTTCTTTTAGAACAGTACAAGCCGAGTCCAATATTATTATTCAATCATAGTTTTAGATAATGCATCCATGGTTGCAAGGTAAAAGAGTTATGAAATCCAAAAAGATCACTCCATCTAAGATCTAATCCAGAAAATTACAAAATTAGAGAGTTAGAGATGCACCTAGAAAGATACAGAGTTTAAGACACTGAGAGAGATACCGAAACATACAAACACTTAGAGATCCATTATTCTCAATTTTCTTATCGGCAATGAGACACTCCCAATTCTTGTGTATATAGGACTTCATACCATCCCTCTGAGATATTGCAAGTTTGTCAGAAGGTTGTGGGTTCAAGCCCCACTTTGGAACTTTGAACTCACAGAGTCTAAGATGACACTCCAATGCAGTGCTGGGATTGTGAGCTGCAGCGAGAGGTATGTGTGTAACACGATGTGTGTGTGCAACATTCTGTGTGTGTGTGCTGCCCACCATAAGTTGATGTCCACCCAAATGTCCATTCCAAGCTACATCACTGCATAGAGCGCTTTCAGACAACTAGAACAACAACAACATAATTACATTTGTAAAGTGCCTTTCACGTCGGGAGGACGTCCCAAGGCGCTGAACAGTCAGGGATCAGGACCTGAGCGTGGGAGCAGGGTTGGGATGAGGGAGGGCAGAGGGGGTAGGAGGGCGGCTGAAGGCACACTCAAAAACAGGCACAATGGGCCTGAATAGCTCCTTCTCTATTGTAAAATGCTATGATTCTACAAAGGGATATATTTGATAGACATTTTTAAGAATACTGATTATCAAATAATGTAAAACAACACTGACGCATATTGTCCTGTAATGTTCTAATAAAGCATTCTAATATTAAACGTTTGATCCATTCTCACTGTACTTATTGAGTTTAGCATAAGGCCAGAGGCAAGTCTTACATTGCTGACCCTGTATGATCTACGAGAACTGCCATTGTTCTGGGCAACCAATCCTTTCATCGGGACTTTAAACTCATGCATTATTGGAGATGCCATCCTTCAAATGAAACATTAAACTGAGGTCCCATCGACCTGTTAGAAATCCCATGACACCAATCAAATAGAAAAGAGGCTTTTTCCCAGTATCCTGGCCGACAATCTCCCAGATAAAATTAATAATTGATTTCATGGCTGTTTGTAGGTCATTGATGCGCACAATTGGAATGTCTAGTTCACCTCCAAATCCAGTCACTCCACTTCACAGTGAATCCTGTGAAGCGCTTTGGGACATCCTTCTGACCTGAAAGGCACTATACCCAATGCGAGGATTATTAATTATTATTAATTTGTTGTTCGTTTAGATTGCACATTCACCTCAAAAATCAAAATGCATTGATGTTGCAATATTGTTTGAACATAAAACCACCAGAACATTAAGAAGCAAGATTTACCGTTTTTAGTACTTCCAAGCTGGATACATTCCTCCTAGCTTTCCTATTTTTCCCCAATTAATTCAGAATGGGTTAAGAATGGACCAAATTCTGGCTGATCTCACCATGAGATCTCTGGTAGAGAGAATGGACCTTAATTTAACATCCTAATCATTTTTTGGTATTCTGACCATTCGTCCTCAAAACACACAGTCTTCACACACATACTTTACAATATATCCTGAGATGAAAAGCACTATAATAAATATAAGAATTGTCATTGTCTGCAATTCTCATTCCTTTACTTAAATAGATAAATGGTGCATTTTCAATTAAAATGGCAAACTCCAATGAAGAAGGGAAACTGCAAACGAAGGTGAAATATTCCGAGAACTTTGCTGATGGGAGGATAACTTAAATTAGCACAAAACACGCAAAATTCACGGGAAAACGATTCAGAAATCCAACCAGCAAGAGCACAGGCATTCCCTCTCCTGGTCTCTACAGAAATCAATCCAAACGCTAATCTTTTAACAACAAAACGTATAACAAAGTGGAGAATTCTCACACAGGTTTAAGTTCAAAACATTTGTACCTGGGATGAATTTCGATTCCTGACAAATGCCTCGTGTAGTGTCAGATGATTGCACAGTGGAGTCTGTGATGTATCTTGAAACATGTTGTTGTGAATATTTCTTCTGTTTGACATATTTTGCAGAGAGACGTTTGTGTTCTTACTTCTTCAGTGAAGGCAATGTTAAGGAAATTGCTTTGCCAGCTTCAGCACATCTCGCCATTGTTTAAACTTGGATAATACAGAAAGTGAAACTCCACAAAGATTTCCCATGAAACATTTCAAACTACACAGCAAACAACCCACGCCCTGAAATTAGGAGATGCTCTTGTGAGGTAGAGAGTGAAATAAATGTTCAAGCAAAGTTTGGGCCACTTTCCTTTTAAACAGACATTAAATCTTACTTTCTTGAATTTGTATTTTTCCATTTTATAATTTAAAAAAATTACCAAATGGGTAACACCAATAAGTGCCAGCAGATGGCAATCGTTTAAACACTTTTTGGGGTCAGCCGGTTGCGGAAACCTAACACTCTGCTTAAGAGTATCCAAACCAAACAGAAAATTCCGGGCATGCCACTTACACATGGAAATACCAGAGATAGATTGTTGGAATGGATTGTGCACTCTCTCTCCCTGGAGGGATGCATCCTGCTTATCTAATTCCATAAAGTATTAGGCGCAGGTTGGCAAGAGCCAAGGCTTGGGGACTCCAGAGAGTGTGTTGGGGTAACTGCTGGAGTCTGACCAGCTAAAACTGCTTAGCTTGGCATTGATATCGTTGTCTGGCAAGCCTTCCCGCTGCTTGTCCAGCTAGGACCACCCTACCCATTAGGGCTTTGGCTTGCCGGGTTAACAGGAGCTGAGTGGGAATACTCCCTGCCCCCAGTAACTGGTCTGCCCTTACAGGTCCTGCCGATGAGGCTGTGTTGTCATCAGCAGTGTCAAAGGCTTAAATGTTATCTCTCTCTCTGTAATTTTCTTAAAATTTAAGCTTGTCCAGAATTGTGGAAGAATGTTAAATTCAACCTCAGTTTGGAAAAGGTTTTAAATTTTCCAAAATTCTGCAAAATCTTAAATTTGAAAATAAAATGACTGTCCTGGCTAAATCTCGTTGGAAGTTTAGGAATTGCAAACTAATCACAGAAAAAACAACTAATTAGCATTTGGGTGTCACACTAATAAGAAAGTTATTTAGAGTCATGTCCTATAGAGATTGGCCAGTAGAGGGATTTAAGTTTTGTTCTGATAATTGAAATAAAAGTGAAACTAAATATAATTTCTTTATGTCAGATTCTGAAGTCCATAATGTAACAGTGCCGGCTAACTGCAACTTCTTTAAAATCTCCTCAAGACACCACAATGGGGAAAATCTTCCAAGTAATCGTATTGGGTTTTAAAGGAGAAAAATTTGCAATTGATGTTGCAAAAGAAGAGAAGCATTTTAATGAAATGACTGTTCTGGAGTTCAAGAAGAAATTGATTTTGAAACTTCCAGGTCACTCAGGTATGTGAGTACTACACCAGCAGTGTACATCTGACGAGAATATTCACGGGTGTGTTCAGTTTAGTTTTGGTATGGATTTTTGTTAATGTATGTACTTGTTTTGAATGATTAGGTGATACTGATGAGCTGCGCTTGCTTTTTGCCAAAACTCAACTGGAAGATGCAGATAAATTCTCTGATCACCAGATTAAGGACAAGTCTACAATCATGATGGTTCTACGTCTACCAGGAGGACTGGAGTCTTACAAGATTGAGACAAACTAACATCTGAAGCAATTCCAGGAGAGAGTCCTAAAAAATGCATATAATTGCGTGCTAACGTCCAGTTCTCCTAATTTGTCATCTAACTATAGAAGTTGTCTTAGTGCGTAGTTGTACTCTTTTTTATTCTGCCTCGGGATATAGAGCAATAGATATAGATAATACAGTATTTATCACCCATCCATTGTTGCTTTGAAAGGGTGATGTTGGATTTTCTGGTTAAATGGCTTTGTGTTGACTGTGATCCCAAGATGTGGGGAGGGAATTTTCATAAGAATATAAATGTTAAACAATGTTTTAAAAATCTGTATGAATGTGCTCCGGAAAGCCCTTCTCATTTTATTCCTATTATATGCAAATTAAGTCTCCTCCATTGCGATTAATTCATATATATATTTGGGTAAATTATAAATATCCTCAAGTGCTCTTCGGGCTACACCAAAATAAAAACACATATAACATTGCCCTATATTTCAAACAACCTGTTTAAAATGTTACTTGGAATGTCTTCATTGTTTCAATCATGATCTAATAGAAACAAATGTGTTGTTTTCACCGTGATTAAAAGCCGATGTGAAACCTCCATTAAGAATAAAACATTTTTTTGTTTGTGATATGTCTGACATACGTGGAAACCCATAAACATGCTTAAGAGTGTATTCAAATTAAACTACTGAAAATTCCAAAATTCCAGCAGTCAATTGGCTGAAAAGGTCAGTGTATTTGTACGTTGTGTTGTGGGCTCATTCATTAAAATACAATATTTCCACTTACATCGCAAAGTGCCAGTCACAGTAACCCTGGAACATGCTAAGAGCTCTCTTAACTACATTGTTAGGCAATAGAATAAAGCTGCTCGACAATAGCTACCAGCAAAGGGGAGGCAGTATGGCATGGCTGGAACACAGATTCACTGATGGAAACCTTTAATCACACATTGCGCTTGGTACCACGCCTATGGATTTCATACACCCAGGTCAAAGCCACATGCAGCATATCCAATCTTCACTTACCCATGTTAATTTCTGTCAATAAAAAAAGCTTTTAATAAGTTAACACTCAAATGTGGGTAATTAAAGGCCAGGGACATAGACATGGTCCACCCAATTAGCCACCATCCCACCCTAACACTCTCTGCTCTCATATTTCCCATTCCGACTTTCTTCCCAAGCGATGTAGAATATCAACAATCACGTGCAATAGTGCTTCTACTGATATTGTTTTCCGAAGGGTTCCCTGTATGCACGTCCAACAAAGTGCAATCAGAAAAGATGGTGACTCCATATTCACCTGATTTGTGGCCTCACAGATATATTTATTTATGGATCTGTTGGAAAGACCATTACAACACTTAAAGAGACATTGCCCCCAATGTAAATTCTCTCCAAAGCGTTAGGTTTAGTCCATAATTGAGACGTTTCTAGTAGTTACGGAGTCCCGTAGCTTAGTGGTTAGCACGCTCACTTCGAAAGCGAGAGGCACCTGGTTTGATTCCTGGGAGGGGTGAAACCTTAGGCAAGTTTCCTTACTCCACACGAAAAATCTCGAAAAAACATGATGAGGTGCAAACAGGATGACCTAAAAATAGCTTCCTCCACTCCCTTTAGTTTGGAAATCTCCAAATTGGAGGGAGGGGGGAAACTAATTAAGAATAAATCACACGAGGATACGTATCCATTAGAAAAGTTACAGTACTCATGATAATAATCTTATATTAGGTGACTAGTGCACCTGGTATTGTATACATATATATATTATATATAATAACAAGTTTGTGTGTCAGCCTGACTCAGTCGGTAGCACTATTGCCTCTGAGTCAGAAGGTTGTAGGTTGAAATTCCACATCGGGATTTTGAACTCACATAGTCTAAGGTGAACTCCAATGCAGTGCTGAGGACGTGCTGTATTGTTGGAGATGCCATTCTTTGGCTCTGACGTTAACTCAAGGTTCCATCTGCCTGTTCAGGTGGATGTCAAAGATCCCATGTTACTATTGAAAAGAGAAGTATCCTCATCAACAATCCCCAAATAAAATTGATCACTCACTTCATGGCTATTTGTGGATATTACTGTGTGCAAACTAATTGCTGCCTTCACCGGCACGAAAAACACATAGCACTTTACAGTAAATCTTACGAAGTGTTTGGAGACATTTTGGCCACAAAATATAGTCACTACACTTTACAGTATACGCTGCAAAGCGCTTTGAGACATCTTGATGATGCGGTAAAAGCACTATATTAAATGCATATTAAACAAAACTCACCAACTGCTCCCTCGACCACATCCCGGATTGTGAGGGGAAGGTGGGGAGGGCACAGCAGGAGGAAGGGCAGAGGCAGCTGAGTGAATCCCCTCCCACCCAATCTGCTCCCAGTGTCTGGAACTCAATGCCAGAGTCTCTCTGCCTCTTCCCTCCCTCCATGTCTTCACAGCCCACCTGAGGGCAATACTTTTCTACTTTTCCATCTTCCCTCACCATCACCTTCTTCAGTCCACCTCGGATTTGAATAGAATTGGGCATTCGAACAGAAAATACACACAATCACATCACTTTACAGTATATTCCATGTAGCACTTTGAGATGTCAATTTCACTTACTTCATAGGTAGAGTGGGATAGGATTGTGGGGGGATTTGAAAATCAGTACAAGGAATCTCATTCCTCCGATGAAGATTGGTAGGGATTGGGGCAAATGGTGTGTCGAGCATTGTGCGAGAAAGAAATTGGAGAATTCTCGAGCTGTTTAAACTCTTAGAAAGTCAAAAAAAATCTGGATGCTTTTAAGCACGTGATGGGTTTCCACTTGGTCCAGCTGTCAAACAAAATCTGCAGAAAAAAGGCACATAAGGAATAGTACTGTACTTCTGTGATCAGGATTGGTGAGCACACCAGAGAACAGTTTGAAGATTTTGAGTCTTGTTTACTCGAGTTAATTAGAGGAAATGACTCTAAACAGAAAATTATAGTATCTGCCTGAACAAAGTGTGATTGATATTCACAAATAACATATCATCGAGTATGCAGGATTGTGACTGTAATCTGCACTATCATTTGATTGGCAGTGAAAACTCTATTAACTTCCTGGAGTATGACACAGGGGCTTTCCATGAGCTGTTGCTACTTAATTTTGTTCTGGTTTTCGATCGACAAGATGTCAACACAAGGGCAGCAAACAGAAAAACAATACGACCCAAATGATCAGACTCTGAAATTTGTGAAAGGGAAGGATGAAATTACAGGTAACTTTATTAGCCTCAAGAGCAGAAGTAGTTCTCTCGATTAAGTGCAGAATTGTTGTGTTTTAAGTAATCTGTAGAATAATATCCTATCATTTGCTTATCTGTATAGTTGCAAGAGAAACAATCATGGATACATCTACAAAGGATAGAAAAGTTCATTTAGATTGTTTGTGAGGACATTCGCAGTAGGCTTTTTGCATTACTATCACTTTTGATCTCCACTTATTTATCTACAAAATAGACTATGAGGCAAAATGCGCAACAATTTTCAAAGATAATGTTCACAACTTTGGCAACAATCTTGAAAGGAGACAAGGATAGCTATGACAACATCCAGTTCAGTCACAGCTTTTTGACTTAATTAGTTTTGCCTGTTTGTCAGGATTGCAATTAATACAGGAATCATTTTAGACATAGAAGCCAATGTTTAATAAAGCTCAGAAGCTCAAAGTCCCAGTAATTGACAAATACTTTTTCCCAGCACTGTTTGGAATCTGAAATGTGGCTCTTAATTTATTCTATTTTAGGAGATGACGACCCTAATATTTTAAGAGCAGAAATGTCCTGTGGACATGCAGTGGATCCAAATTCGCTCACTGCTTGGTGCCGAAGCCTTCTAGATCAGGTAAGCTATCTTAAAATATAATTGAATCATGTAAAATCAAAGGAGCTATATCAGTTATCTGAAAAAAAAATTGATTTTAATGCTAGAATGAAATCAGTTTTTGTGTTTATATGTGCTATCACAATACTGCATAAAGATAGGTTTCACCGCTTACGATTCTGTCATTATGTATTTGTGCAAATAAATGATATTGCATATTCATCAATAAAGGAGGTGCCCCCAAATTGTGCTAATGATACATTGAAAAAGTTAGTTTTTTTTAATGTATGTAGGATAATAATAATAATAATAATAATAATAATCCTTGCATTTGATATAGCGCTTTTCACGTCGGGAGGACGTCCCAAAGCGCTTCACAGAACACACTGTAAAGTGAATTGACTGTATATTTGTGGGCGAACGCGGCAGCCAATTGCGCACAGCAATGTCCCACAAACAGTCGTAGATTGAAAAAGACCAATTTTTATTATTGTTTTGGGTTTTGGAGGGATTATTATTAGGCTCTGTGTGGAGTAAGGAAACTTGCCCAAGGTTTCGCCCTCTGCCTGGAATTGAACTCAGTTCTCTCACTTGCAAAGCGAGTGCTCTAACCACTGAGCTACAGGATGGCATAGGACACTTCCGAAAACCAAAATTTGCACCATAGATTTAACAAAAAAAGGTGTATTTTAACAAGGAAGTTCTACCTCTATACATCCATCTTTTCCAGAGTCATCTTTCACACTCCCAATCCTCCACCTTTAAATTGGTGCTCAATTATTCCTTAATGGTGGTGCCCAGTTATCACGTCCAGCCTTTGTTAGCTCCCTTTACACGTAGGTTAATTGCCAAAAATTATAAAAGGCAGTGGCAAGTTTATTCCCCTGTCACAATGCAACGTACGTTGGGTTTTACCTGGAACCTTTTTTCCTGAAGGCTTATCAGTGAATCTTGCCATGTTATTTGGGGTTTAAACCCACAACTATGTAACCCAGAGGCAAGAGGCCTACCAGTTGCACCAGTTGATAGCATAGATCAGCTAACTCAGCTCAGAACCTCAGACTTTCTACGACTCTATGGTTTACTTTCACTGAACCAATACTTTATTAAATAAATTATCACATGTATTTTGTATTTATTCTTTGAACTGCAGGGTCAGTATAAGTTCTTCTGTCCAGCACTGAAGGATGGAATGACATCAAAATGTGGAGCAGAATGGTCATATCAAGAAGTTCGCAAATTGGCTGTACTGAGCTGTGAAGAACAATTATATTTTGAGGAAACAGTTGCTCAACTGGCTGCCGCTGAATATTGTGAATATAAATCAGTAGGTTTCATGGGGAGACTTTTGAACAGTAATATACAATAGATGCCAAAAATGAAAATAATAAGCATGTACATTAAGTAAGGGCCATAGATCATTCTTTTAAATTACTGTATTTGAGGTATTTAAAGAATTGATAATACAATACGCAATTCTACGTTACTTGTTTAAAGTGGTAATGTGGTCGCATCTATTAAGTTTCAAAGAACGACTAAGTATATAAAAAATCAAATGATCCTGAATGCTATTGCAAAATAAGGTACTGTTGAACATGAAATTCACTAAATACCTTTCTATTTTTCTTGTCAGTGCCCAGGATGTAAAACGTTTGTTAAACGCTGTGATCTGACAAATCTGAGTGTCAGATGCAGCATCTGTACCACAGAGAGAGGAAGTGTCTATGACTTCTGTTGGCAATGCATGAACACGTGGAAGGGACATGGCCCACGATCTGATCGGTGTGACAATGAAGGCTGCAACAACCAAGAACTCGAAATACTAAAGAATTGTCCGTTAATGAACTTACCAGAAACAGAAGTGAAACAATGCCCTTCCATTCGTGCTTGCCCAACCTGTGGCAAACTTATTGAACATAACCAAGTGGGATGTAAAAATATAACATGTTGCAGATGTTATGTTGAATTTTGCTTTGCCTGTCTGGAGGTTACCACTGAATGCCTGAAAAGCAGACCAAATTCATGGTTTGGTATCTGTGCCAAAGCGATTGCCCCAAGGCAAACATCAATTCCAACCTGGAATCGACATGGATGAAATACAATCTTACCCTTAAATATATTTCAAAATATGACATTTATATTAACAGTCAGGTTAATATATATATTAACAGATGGTGCAAAATCATCCTATACCAATTATATGAATTTGTATGTAAGGTATATTTGCCTGGGTACCCATACTATGGCCTCTCATATGGTGAGAATGGAAAAATGTGGAGGAAATAATTTCTCATGATGGCGTAAAATTATAAATCCCAAATAAACAATAAATATATTTGTTCAATGTTACTTCACTTGGCATTTGTCAAATAATTGGATTAACTTCTTTCAGTGCATGCTTTTATAGTATTTGAAAACAATAGTTGAATTTTAGTAACCGTACGACAGCAAATTTTCCTTTCTTGTCTAGATGGCCAGATAACTTAATACATTCATATCTCTGTGAAATATTTAGTACATAACCACAGTAATTATTCTGGCAACAATGTTCAAAATATTTTCTGAGATAAATGTTAACTTGAAAAAAAGAAAATATTGATTGCCATTTTTATATATTAACTGTTTATGCTGGAATTATTAATGCTTATTGTTTGTGTGATGTGCTGAATTCATTTATAGAAGCTTAAGGTATTGAATAGTGTTCTTTCCAATTCTACACATTCAGGAGGATTTAAATAGACTTGAAAGATTTGCTTTTAAGATATTCTTCAATTAATAATAAATGTTTCATTTGTTAGCTGGCTTTCATGTCCGGATAATATCTCAAAGCATTTCACAGGATTTATTGGAAAGTGTAGTCACTGTGTATATGGTCAATTACCAACAGAGTCAGAACAATCTCTGAACTGCCTTCACAAGTCAACAACTTAAAGAGATCCTGTGCTTTGTTGAGGTAATATTAGCCACACAAGATTTTGATTATATAGCTTTGTTATGATTAATCAGATCTACAATATTATTGTCAATTCATTATGATATACATAATATATTAGACTTGTTGACTAATATATCAGGTCTCAGTTCAAGTCTTTGAAATTTCACAATAAACTCCTACCAATGTGACTACACAGCTGAACTGATATCTGTAGCCATTTCACTTACTTCATAGGTAGAGTGGGATGGGATTGTGGGGGGATTTGAAAATCAGTACAGGGAATCTCATTCCTCCGATGAAGATTGGTAGGGATTGGGGCAAATGGTGTGTCGAGCATTGTGCGAGAAAGAAATTGGAGAATTCTCGAGCTGTTTAAACTTTTGGAGTGTTGGAGCTGGGGACAGTATTGAAGTTTATCCTAGCCATGATAAAGGCATAGAAAAGTGTTTAAGCAGGCATGGGGATGAAGAAAAGATAAAGGTAGCAAAGATCCAAAGGTGGAAGAAAGCAGCCGAGTTATAGACAGGATGTAGTATTTGAAACTCAGTTTGGGATAAAGCAGAATGTCAAACTTTGACACTACTTCCTTCAGCATCGGGTAATGCAGGAATATCCCATATTTAATAGAGAATTAAACAAGAATTCACCTCGCAAGTGAGAGACCTGGGTTTGATTCCCGGGCAGGGCAAAACGTTGGGCAAGTTTCCTTACTCCGCACACCTCTGTTTACCTAACAGTAAGTAGGAACCCGGTTGTTAGTCGATTGGTGGATCATTTTATTATTTATTATTATTATAAATTCCATTTGCTAACCACATAATACAATATACATTTATATCATGCCTTTTACGTCAGGGGGTCATCCCAAAGTGCACAACCGTCTGCAAAAATTGTCTTAACTTTTTGCCTTGTTCTTTTGGAAATTACCTCGAAGCTACATCATCTCATTATTCACACACTGACCAGTTCAAATAATTTCGCGCTGTTTGCTTCATGCAGATGTGGACATGTATTCAGAACTGACTGAAGGGAAGTAAGCAGAGGGTCTTTGTTAGGGGAGCTAGGTCAAAATGTAGTGTTTGAAACTCAGTTTAGGAATAACAAAGTTATATGGGTGGCTCAGAAGTCTGTCCTGTCCTAATCCTTCTGTTCCTTATGTATATGAATAACCTGGATTTGTAGACCCAGTGTAACTTAGATAATTTGCAGACCACACCAAGTTAGAGGAAACTATGCAATCAGAGGAAGTAGCAAATGTCTTGCAAGGAGAGCTTGGGGGCTACGATAAGCACATTGGGTTGATAACAGACAAATGAGGTTTAAACCTGATAAATGCAAGATACAACATATAGAAAGTAAAGAATAGGAAATCACATGTTTTCCATGAATGCGATAGAACTTGTCACAGGAGAAAATGAAAGAGATTTTAAGGGTGTGAAATGACTCATTACTCACTATATCAAAATAGTATTAGGCAGCAATAAACAAAGTAAACAGAATACTGAGTTATATCGTCACATCAGTTCAGATCCTCAGAAGTCTTAATCGCGCAGTCTGATTAGGACAAATCTAGAGTATTGCATACAGTTCTGCATACTGTGACATAAAAGTGTTTCCCAGGATATCGAGGCACAACAGAGGAATTGTTGACTGCAATGAGTCAATTGTGTATTTATTTCTATTTAATTTAAATTAAGTTGTTGCTGAAGCTCGATTCAATCTCAGCCAAATGAGGCCTGACCCAAGCTGGAGCCACTCCTGCATTAGCTGCTCTCATATTAGACCAAAGAGTGGACTGAAAATGTATGTATGTCTGCCTCTTCCATAAAGTGGGGAGCAGTAGAGAGTGATGGAATGGCTCACCATCCTGTAGATAAATGATTAGCCCATATGTATAACTGCTACTTGTAAACACAGGAAGAAAAAACCCCCGGAGGGAACACCTCGGTACCTCCACCGAAATGAAGGTACCCTCGGGTGGTCCATGAACCTATCAGCTCCATCCGTGTTTGGTTTCACTGGCTCCCCATCCTCCAGCGGATTGAATTCAGGATCATTGTCCTTGAATTCAAAGCACTCGATGACCTTGCCACACCATATCTCTGTGACTTCCTGTAACCCTATCACTCAAACCACTCCCTCAGTGAATATTGGCTTGCTTTATGTCTTCTGTCCAATCTGCCCCTGGTATCTGGAACTCAATCCCAGGGTCCCTCTGTCTCATCCCTCCCTCCCCATTTTTACAGCCGCCTGAGGGCATTACTTTTCCACTGTGCTTTTGGTAATCTTCTCCCCCTCCCCCCCTTCCTGGCCCAACTCAAGCTCCCAATCAGCTAAATAAATATAATTGTTGTTAATAGAGAAATATTTGTGGGTGAGCCTTCAATTCATGCAGGAACACTGCATTTTTTGAAAAGCAATTGCTTTACTTAGCAGACAGATCAAATGCTAAATGTGATAATTCCAAACTAAGACCAGAAAGTAATTAAGGTGTGTCTTATTATAATGGAAGTAACTTTCATTAACAAAAAAGCTATGCTGGAGAAGGTAGCAATCTTCTGTGAAACAACAACAATTTACATTTGTAAATCAGAAGGGGTTGAGGGCAGGGAAGGCAGGTACAGGATGATAACCGAAGGTGTAGTCGAAGAGGTGGGTCTTGAGATGTGTCTTCAAACAGGAAAGGGAAGGAACAAGGCGAAAGGACTGTGGATTGAAGCTGAAGGTCACTAACATGGTGGATAAGAGAACGTATATGGATGTTGTCTACATGGACTTCCAGAAGGCATTTGATGTGGTTCCGCACAAGAGTCTCTTAGCAAAACTAAAAGGGCATGGAAGTGGAGGTTACCTTGTAATGTGGCTTGGGAATTGGTTGGGAGGCAGGGATCAGAGACTAGTACTAAAAGGAACGTTCTCTGATTGGCCAAACATGATACACAGTGTTCCCCAGTGGTTTGTACTGGGGTCTCAGTTTTTCATCATATATACACACACACATTTATATATGTTATTGGATGAAGGAATAGAGAGTTTTATATCCAAATTTACAGATGACAAAGTGTTAGAAGGCACCATAAATTGTGTAGATGGGAGCAGGAAGATACAAAAGGACTTAGACAGATTCAGTGAGTGGGCAAAACTGTGGCAGATGGAATTCAATGTGGGATAGTGTGAGGTCATGCTTTATGGATCCAAAAATAGCCCAACAGAATATTTTCTAAATGGTGAGAAATTAAGAACTGTGGCAGACCAAAGGATTTGGGTGTCCACAACAACAACAACATTACATTTGTATAGCGCCTTTCACATCGGGAGGACGTCCCACATACACAAATCACTAAAAACAAGCTCACAAGTACAACAAGTTATCATCAAAAAGACTAATGGGATGTTGGCCTTTACTCAAGGGGGCTGGAATATAAAGGAGAGGAAATTATGCTTCAACTATATAGAGCATTGGTCAGACCCCATCTGGAGTACTGCATTCAGTTTTGGGTCAGCACCTGAGGAGGGATATATTGGCTCTGGAGGGGTGCTATGCAGATTCACCAGAATGATACCAGGGCTTCAAGGGCTAAATTATGAGGACAGGTTGCATAAATTTGGTCTCTATTCTCTTGAGTTTAGAAAGTTGAGGGATGATCCGATTGAGGTTTTTAAAATAACAAAGGAAATCGATAGGACAGATACAGAGAGGCTATTTCCTTTGATTGGGGAATCCAGAACAAGGGGGCATAATCTTAATATTAGATCTAGGCCATTTAGGAGTGAAATTAGGAGTCAGTTTTTCACCCAAAGGCTAGTGGAAATCTAGGACTCTCTCCCCCCAAAAGCTGTGGAAGCTGAATCTGTTCACATTTTCAAGACTGAGGTGAATAGCTATTTGTTAGGTCAGGGTATTAAGGGATTCAGGGCAAGGGCGGGTAATTGGACTTGAGGTACAGATCAGCCATGATCTTATACAATGAGTCTGCTGAATGGCCAACTCCTGTTTCTATGTTTCTATAATTAGGTAAGCAGGAAGCATCCCTTTAGGGAGAGGATGTGCATTCCATTCCAACAATCCATCTCTCGAATCTCCAGGTGTGTGGGATGCAGGGAGTTCTCAGTTTGGTTTGGATGCTTTTAAGCACGTGATGGGTTTCCACTTGGTCCAGCTGTCAAACAAAATCTGCAGAAAAAAGGCACATAAGGAATAGTACTGTACTTCTGTGATCAGGATTGGTGAGCACACCAGAGAACAGTTTGAAGATTTTGAGTCTTGTTTACTCGAGTCAATTAGAGGAAATGACTCTAAACAGCAAATTACAGTATCTGCCTGAACAAAGTGTGATTGATATTCACAATTAACGTATCAACTAGTATGCAGGATTGTGACTGTAATCTGCACTATCATTTGATTGGCAGTGAAAACTCTATTAACTTCCTGGAGTATGACACAGGGGCTTTCCATGAGCTGTTGCTACTTCATTTTGTTCTGGTTTTCGATCGACAAGATGTCAACACAAGGGCAGCAAACAGAAAAACAATACGACCCAAATGATCAGACTCTGAAATTTGTGAAAGGGAAGGATGAAATTACAGGTAACTTTATTAGCCTCAAGAGCAGAAGTAGTTCTCTCGATTAAGTGCAGAATGGTTATGTTTTAAGTAACCTTTAGAATAATATCCTATCATTTGCTTACCTTTATAGTTGCAAGAGAAACAATCATGGATACATATACAAAGATAGAAAAGTTAATTTAGATTGTTTGTAAGGACATTCGCAGTAGGCTTTTTGCATTACTATCACTTTTGATCTCCACTTATTTATCTATAAAATAGACTATGAGGCAAAATGCGCAACAATTTTCAAAGGTAATGGTCACAACTTTGGCAACAATCTTGAAAGGAGACAAGAATAGCTATGACAAAATCCAGTTCAGTCACAGCTTTTTGACTTAAATAGTTTTGCCTGTTTGTCAGGATTGCAATTAATACAGGAATCATTTTAGACATAGAAGTTAATGTTTAATAAAGCTCAGAAGCTCAAAGTCCCAGTAATTGACAAATATTTTTTCCCAGCACTGTTTGGAATCTGAAATGTGGCTCTTATTTTCCTCCATTTCAGGAGATGACGACCCTAATACTTTAAGAGCAGAAATGTCCTGTGGACATGCAGTGGATCCAAATTCGCTCACTGCTTGGTGCCGAAGCCTTCTAGATCGGGTAAGCATTTTTAAACAATAATTGACTCATGTAAAACTACAACAACAACAACTTGCATTCATATAGCGTCCTTCATGTGGGTAGTGTCCCGGAGCAGTTATAAGTGGCGGAGTCTGACACCGAGCCAGGGGGAGAGGGAGTGGGGAGGTGACCATACGCATGATAAAAAGGGAAAGTCTTTAGGCAGAATTTGAAAGTGGGGAGGGAGGGGGCAAAGCATAGGGATTGGGGGAGAGAGTTCCAGAGTTTCGGGATGTAGTGACTGTAAGCACGGCCGCAGTTGATGGAGCGGAGGGAGCGAGGGACGAACAGGAGGCCGGAGTCAAGCGAGCGGGGCAGTGGGTGGTGGAGCCTCGGGGGTGAGCAAGTCGGAAAGGTAGCGAGGTGCGAGGGCATGAAGGGAATATGAAAACAAGACAGAGGATCTTGAAGTCGATCCGTTTGGAAATTGGGAGCCAGTGCAACCTGGCAAGGCTGGTGTGATGGGGGTCCGGTATTTTGTGCGGGATACTATATGGGCGGCGGAGTTCTGAATTAACTGTATTTTATGTATGGTGGAACTTGGGACGCCAGCAAGGAGGCCATTTGAAAAGTCCAGCTGGTAACTGACAAAGGCATGGATGAGCGAGTTGACTACTGTGGGTACAGACAGAGGCAGGCAATGTGTCGGAATGCTCGATGGCTAGCATTAGATTTTATGCTAGATTGAGATCAGTTTTCTTGCTTATATGTGCTATCACAATACTGCAAGTAGGTTTCACCTCTTAAAATTCTGTCATTATGTATTTGTATTATCATTTATAAAGGAGGTGAATGGAGGCATTAAAATAGACACCGTTTCCCCAAAATTGTGCTAATGATACATTGAGAAAGTTAGTTTTTTTTAATGTATATAGGATGGCATAGGTCACTTCCAAAAACCAAAACTTGCACCATAGATTTAACAAAACAAGGTGTATTTTAACAAGAAAGTTCTACCTCTATTCATGCATCTTCTCCAGACTCATGTCTCACATTCCCAAGCCAATGCCTTTATATTGGTGCCCAATTGTCCCTTAGTGCTGGTGCCCAGTTATCACGTCCAGCCCAGGTTAGCTCCCTTTGCATGTAAGTTGATAAACATAAAATAATCATAAAAGGCAGTGACAGATTTATCCCCTTGTCACAATGTAACATAAGTTAGGTTTTACCTGGAACCTTTTCTGCTGAAGGCACTCTCTAGTCTGTCTCATATATTATTCCATTATTACATCCAAGTAGCCATTCTCCAAGTGCAGGTCTTCTCAGTGAATCTTGCCATGTTATTTGGGGCTTAAACCACAACTATGTAACCCAGAGGCAAGCGGCCTACCAGTTACACCAGTTGATATCATAGATCAGCTATCTCAGCCCAGAACATCAGACTTTCTATGATTTTATGGTTTACTTTCACTGAACCAATACTTTATTAAATAACTTATCACATGTAATAATAATAATGATAATAATCCTCGCTTGTTCTAGATGTCTCAACTCGCTTCACAGAATAGACTGTAAAGCGAATTGACTATATTTGTGGGCAAAAATGAATATTGCATTTATTCTTTGAACTGCAGGGTCAATATAAGTTCTTCTGTCCAGCACTGAAGAATGGAACTACATCAAAATGTGAGAAGAATGGCCATATCAGGAAGTTCGCAAATTGGCTGTACTGAGCTGTGAAGAACAATTATATTTTGAGGAAACAGTTGCTCAACTGGCTGCCGCTGAATATTGTGAATATAAATCAGTAGGTTTCAAGGGGAGACTTTTGAACAGTAATATACAATAGATGCCAAAAATGAAAATAATAAGCATGTACATTAAGTAAGGGCCAAGATCATTCTTTTAAAATACTGTATTTGAGGTATTTAAAGAACTGATAATACAATACCCAATTCTATGTTACTTGTTTAAAGTGGTAATGTGGTCGCATCTATTAAGTTTCAAAGAACGACTAAGTATATAAAAAATCAAATGATCCTCAATGCTATTGCAAAATAAGGTACTGTTGAACATGAAATTCACTAAATACCTTTCTATTTTTCTTGTCAGTGCCCAGGATGTAAAACGTTTGTCGAACGCTGTGATCTGACAAATCTGAATGTCAGATGCAGCATCTGTACCACAGAGAGAGGAAGTGTCTATGACTTCTGTTGGCAATGCATGAACACGTGGAAGGGACATGGCCCACGATCTGATCGGTGTGACAATGAAGGCTGCATCAACCAAGAACTCGAAATACTAAAGGACTGTCCGTTAATGAACTTACCAGAAACAGAAGTGAAACAATGCCCTTCCATTCGTGCTTGCCCAACCTGTGGCAAACTTATTGAACATAACCAAACTGGATGTAAAAATATAATATGTATCAGATGTCATGTTGAATTTTGCTTTGCCTGTCTAGAGGTTACCACTGAATGCCTGAAGAACAAACCAGATTCATGGTTTGATGTCTGTGCCAAGGCGATTGCACCAAGGCAAATATCAATTCCAACCTGGAATCGACATGGATGAAATATCAAACTTACCCTTAAATATATATGAAAATATGACAGTTATATTAACATTCAAGTTATATAAATGGTGCATATATTAACAGATGGTGAAAAATCATCCAAGCCCAATTATGTGAATTTATATATAAGGTATATTTGCCTGGGTACCATTACCATGGCCTCTCCTATGGCGAGAATGAAAAAATGTGGAGAAAATAATTTCTCATAATGGGGTAAAATTCAAAATTCAAGATAAACAACAAATATATTTGTTCAATGTTACTTCATTTGGCATTAGTCAAACAACAGGATTAACTTCTTTCAGTGCATGCTTTTATAGTAATTGAAAACAATAGTTGAATATTACTAACCGTATGACAGCTAACTTATGTGAATTAGGCAAATTTTCCTTTCTTGTCTAGATGGCCAGATAACTTAGTACATTCATATCTATGTGAAAGATTTAGTGCATAACCACAGTAATTATTCTAAACATCAATGTTGAAAATTTTCTGAGATAAATGTTAACTTGAAAACTAGAAATAAATGATTGACATTTTTATATATTAACTGCTTATGTTGGAATTATTGATTCTAATTGTCTGTGCTGAATTCATTTATAGAAGCGTTCTTTCCAATTCTACACATTCAGGAGGATTCCAACAGACTTGAAAGATTTGCTTTTAAGATATTCTTCAATTATTAATAAATGTTTCATTTGTTAGCTGGCTTTCATGTCCGGATAACATCTCAAAGCATTTCACAGGATTTATTAGAAAGTGTAGTCACTGTGTATATGGTCAATTACCAACAGAGTCAGAACAATCTCTGAACTGCCTTCACAAGTCAACAACTTAAAGAGATCCTGTGCTTTGTTGAGCTAATACTAGCCACACAAGATTTTGATTATATAGCTTTGTTATAATTAATCAGATCTACAATATTATTGTCAATTCATTATGATATACATAATAAAATGGACTTGTTGACTAATATATCAGGTCTCAGTTCAAGTCTTTGAAATTTCACAATAAACTCCTACCAATGTGACTACACAGCTGAACTGATATCTGTAGTCATTTCACTTACTTCATAGGTAGAGTGGGATAGGATTGTGGGGGGATTTGAAAATCAGTACAAGGAATCTCATTCCTCCGATAAAGATTGGTAGGGATTGGGGCAAATGGTGTGTCGAGCATTGTGCGAGAAAGAAATTGGAGAATTCTCGAGCTGTTTAAACCCTTGGAAAGTCAAAAAAAATCTGCAGAAAAAAGGTACATAAGGAATAGTACTGTACTTCTGTGATCAGGATTGGTGAGCACACCAGAGAACAGTTTGAAGATTTTGAGTCTTGTTTACTCGAGTCAATTAGAGGAAATGACTCTAAACAGCAAATTATAGTATCTGCCTGAACAAAGTGTGATTGATATTCACAAATAACATATCATCTAGTATGCAGGATTGTGACTGTAATCTGCACTATCATTTGATTGGCAGTGAAAACTCTATTAACTTCCTGGAGTATGACACAGGGGCTTTCCATGAGCTGTTGCTACTTCATTTTGTTCTGATTTTCGATCGACAAGATGTCAACACAAGGGCAGCAAACAGAAAAACAATACGACCCAAATGATCAGACTCTGAAATTTGTGAAAGGGAAGGATGAAATTACAGGTAACTTTATTAGCCTCAAGAGCAGAAGTAGTTCTCTCGATTAAGTGCAGAATTGTTGTGTTTTAAGTAACCTGTAGAATAATATCCTATCATTTGCTTATCTGTATAGTTGCAAGAGAAACAATCATCGATACATATACAAAGATAGAAAAGTTAATTTAGATTGTTTGTGAGGACATTCGCAGTAGGCTTTTTTCATTACTATCACTTTTGATCTCCACTTATTTATCTACAAAATAGACTATGAGGCAAAATGCGCAACAATTTTCAAAGATAATGTTCACAACTTTGGCAACAATCTTGAAAGGAGACAAGGATAGCTATGACAACATCCAGTTCAGTCACAGCTTTTTGACTTAATTAGTTTTGCCTGTTTGTCAGGATTGCAATTAATACAGGAATCATTTTAGACATAGAAGCCAATGTTTAATAAAGCTCAGAAGCTCAAAGTCCCAGTAATTGACAAATACTTTTTCCCAGCACTGTTTGGAATCTGAAATGTGGCTCTTAATTTATTCTATTTTAGGAGATGACGACCCTAATATTTTAAGAGCAGAAATGTCCTGTGGACATGCAGTGGATCCAAATTCGCTCACTGCTTGGTGCCGAAGTCTTCTAGATCAGGTAAGCTATCTTAAAATATAATTGAATCATGTAAAATCAAAGGAGCTATATCAGTTATCTGAAAAAAAAATTGATTTTAATGCTAGAATGAAATCAGTTTTTGTGTTTATATGTGCTATCACAATACTGCATAAAGATAGGTTTCACCGCTTACGATTCTGTCGTTATGTATTTGTGCAAATAAATGGTATTGCATATTCATCAATAAAGGAAGTGCCCCCAAATTGCACTAATGATACATTGAAAAAGTTAGNTTTTTTAATGTATGTAGGATGGCATAGGACACTTCCGAAAACCAAAACTTGCACCATAGATTTAACAAAAAAAGGTGTATTTTAACAAGGAAGTTCTACCTCTATACATCCATCTTTTCCAGACTCACCTTTCACACTCCCAATATACAATACACCTTTATATTGGTGCTCAATTATTCCTTAATGGTGGTGCCCAGTTATCACGTCCAGCCTTTGTTAGCTACCTTTACACGTAGGTTAATTGCCAAAAATCATAAAAGGCAGTGGCAAGTTTATTCCCCTGTCACAATGCAACGTACGTTGGGTTTTACCTGGAACCTTTTTTCCTGAAGGCTTATTAGTGAATCTTGCCATGTTATTTGGGGTTTAAACCCACAACTATATAACCCAGAGGCAAGAGGCCTACCAGTTGCACCAGTTGATATCATAGATCAGCTAACTCAGCTCAGAACCTCAGACATTCTACGACTCTATGGTTTACTTTCCCTGAACCAATACTTTATTAAATAAGTTATCACATGTATTTTGTATTTATTCTTTGAACCGCAGGGTCAGTATAAGTTCTTCTGTCCAGCAGCAGTGAAGGATGGAACGACATCAAAATGTGGAGCAGAATGGTCATATCAGGAAGTTCGCAAATTGGCTGTACTGACCTGTGAAGAACAATTATATTTTGAGGAAACAGTTGCTCAACTGGCTGCCGCTGAATATTGTGAATATAAATCAGTAGGTTTCAAGGGGAGACTTTTGAACAGTAATATACAATAGATGCCAAAAATGAAAATAATAAGCATGTACGTTAAGTAAGGGCCATAGATTATTCTTTTAAATTACTGTATTTGAGGTATTTAAAGAATTGATAATAAAATACGCAATTCTATGTTACTTGTTTAAAGTGGTAATGTGGTCGCATCTATTAAATTTCAAAGAACGACTAATTATATGAAAAATCAAATGATCCTCAATGCTATTGCAAAATAAGGTACTGTTGAACATGAAATTCACTAAATACCTTTCTATTTTTCTTGTCAGTGCCCAGGATGTAAAACGTTTGTCGAACGCTGTGATCTGACAAATCTGAGTGTCAGATGCAGCATCTGTACCACAGAGAGAGGAAGAGTCTATGACTTCTGTTGGCAATGCCTGAACACGTGGAAGGGACAAGCCCCACGATCTGATCGGTGTGACAATGAAGGCTGCATCAACCAAGAACTCGAAATACTAAAGTACTGTCTGTTAATGAACTTACCAGAAACAAAAGTGAAACAATGTCCTTCCACTCGTGCTTGCCCAACCTGTGGCAAACTTATTGAACATAGCCAAGTGGGATGTAAATATATGAACTGTACCAGGTGTCATGTTGAATTTTGCTTTGCCTGTCTGGAGCTTAAAATCGAATGCCAAAAAAGCAGACCAGCTTCATGGTTTGATGTCTGTGCTAAAGGGATTGCACCAAGGCAAACATCAATTCCAACCTGGAATCGACATGGATGAAATATCAAACTTACCCTTAAATATATATGAAAATATGACATTTATATTAACATTCAAGTTATATAAATGGTGCATATATTAACAGATGGTGCAAAATCATCCAAGACCAATTATGTGAATTTATATATAAGATATATTTGCCTGGGTACCATTACCATGGCCTCTCATATGGTGAGAATGAAAAAATGTGGAGAAAATAATTTCTCATAATGGGGTAAAATTCAAAATTCAAGATAAACAACACATATATTTGTTCAATGTTACTTCATTTGGCATTAGTCAAATAACAGGATTAACTTCTTTCAGTGCATGCTTTTATAGTAATTGAAAACAATAGTTGAATATTACTAACCGTATGACAGCTAACTTATGTGAATAAGGCAAATTTTCCTTTCTTGTCTAGATGGCCAGACAACTTAGTACATTCATATCTCTGTGAAAGATTTAGTGCATAACCACAATAATTATTCTAAACATCAATGTTGAAAATTTTCTGAGATAAATGTTAACTTGAAAACTAGAAATAAATGATTGACATTTTTATATATTAACTGTTTATGTTGGAATTATTGATTCTAATTGTCTGTGCTGAATTCATTTATAGAAGCGTTCTTTCCAATTCTACACATTCAGGAGGATTCCAACAGACTTGAAATATTTGCTTTTAAGATATTCTACAATTAATAATAATAAACATTGCATTTGTTAGCGCACTTTAATGCCAGGATAATATCTCAAAGCGCCTCACAGGATTTACTAGAAAGTGTAGTGACTGTGTATATTGTGGGCAAATGGGGTGTACTTGGCTTTTAAAGTGTCCAAGCTGGAAAATGTAAATACATTTTCAAAAGAATTAGGATGAAGGTTATTCAGCACATCATCATCCTTGGAAAGTTCCCAGAACAATTATACCAAATTGTAGTGTAGTCACTGTGTATATGGTCAATTACCAACAGAGTCAGAACAATCTCTGAACTGCCTTCACAAGTTAACAACTTAAAGAGGTACTGTACTTTGCTGCAGTAATACTAACCACAAATGATCTTGATTCTATAACTTTCTTCTGATTAATGATTTCTATAATATTATTGTAAAGACATTATGATATTTTGTACATAATAAATTGACTTGTTCATTAACGTATCCGGCGTCAGTTCAAGTCTTTGAAATTCTCAATTATTTTGCGGGTGAATCAGAGAAGGTGAACAGTAAGATTGTGAAAGATACAATCTGGCAGTGTGTGTGGAGGGCTGAAGACTAGGGTTTGCCAGTTTGCCCACAGCAACAGTAATGAAGTGAGTGACCAATATTTTATTTGGAGGGAATTGTTGGCCAGGACACAGGGAGTAGCAGGAAACCTCTGAATGTCTATAGTGAGGAGGTGTTATCAGACCAGGAGATGGAGATAGTCACTATAGAGTTCCACAATGAAGAGCTGAATAATATGGAGTTCTGGCTGAAGAGATATTGCTGGGTACTGGGACTGCTGATAAAAGTTACTGACCAGGACTCTGTAGGATGGAGCAAAGCAGTGGTGGGTCTGTTTGTTTCCAGATCGTCAGGTTCTGGGAGTGGTAAAACACTTGCCATACACAAGTTGAGACCAGAAAGCTGGACTTGTTTTAAAAGAAAAGCTCGACACTGTGAATGGGAATGGGAAGATGGTAGAATAAGGTATTCTGCTAGAGATACAATAAAATGGCTTCCTTCATTCAAACCTCTTGTGATCTTATGCACAGTGAAATGGACGTTTGGTTCAGATTGGGTCAATTGGAGAAGTTGTTTTGTTGAATTGCAGTTATAGTTAACATTCAGTTTTGTTTTCAGGCTCACAAGCCATTTACAGGAATCGCATGGGGGAGGGTGGAGCAGGAAAAACTGTGGTTTCTGCAGTTTCTGGTAAATTAAGATTGAACAAAATTTTTGAAAACAGTCTGGAATTAAGGCTTAATTTTGAAGCTGGTTTTCCATAGTTCTATTAGGGTTCTGCTAAAACCCAAGACCATTTCTAAGATTCTACACAAACTTTAAATCTTAAGACAATGGCTTTAACATTAAGAATACGAACAGACCAAACTTCTGTGTTCCTATTTCCTTTTTATCCCTACTCAAAACAAATTATTTCTCCAGTTTATGCCCCTGTGTTCTGTGTTAGCAATCTGATATATTTGTTATTTTGCTAAATTTTCAACCTCTGACGTGGTCAGGCCATCTGAGAATCTGCAGTGTTAATGCACTATGCTCGAAAACAATTAACCGAAACTGAAACTAAATTACATTTTTATTTGCTGCAGACGTGTGCAGAAGTTTGCTAAGAGAATGGCGATCGTTGAAAGGTTTTCTTTAAAAAATATTTGTGGTACTAAAAGGTTCGGCACCACCATGCTGTGGTTCAATGGTATTGTCGCTGTTGGATGCATATACTTTTTGTTTTGGCGGTGGAAAGGTGAGGCTAGAATCTACTTAAAAGTTACTGACTGGTAGGAACTCATTCAGTTTCCTTTCTATTAATGCTGGGAAATGTGATGACTGAATTGCTGAACATTTTTTAAATTCGTCCAGATATAGAAAGTTTCATTCTGAAACTCTTTGAAATGTGCTCCCGGTTAAATATACCACAAGTATTTGCTTGTGCAATTTGTGACCAGCTGCCTTCTTTAATCCACCTATGGCTGGAATCGAACATGTAACACCCTCTCTCTCTCTCTGGAGGGACATGTCCATAGAACAATAGAAACAACAACAAAAAATTTAGCTTATTGCCTTTTACCCTGGGAGGACGTCCCAAGGACTCGAGAGGGTTGGGGGCCAAGGGGGTGGGGATGAATAGGGGTCGGGAAGACCGAAGGCACGGTCAAAGAGGAAGGTCTTGAGATGGACCTTGAAGGAGGCAAGGGAATGGGCAAGGCAAAGGGATTAGTAATAATAGTAACAATCCCTGCATTTGATATAGCGCCTTAATACATCGTTGACACATCTCAAAGTGTTTCACATAATATGTTGCAAAGTGAATTGACTGTGTTTTACCCACAGTAATTCCGAAACATTGCCCGCTTTTGCCTTTACCTCTACTCTCAAGCCCCCGAGATACTCACCCATTTAAAACATCCATCCTTGATTATGTCAAAGTTCTGTTTGCCAGACTCCGCAGTTCTTCTCTATACAAGCTGTAAACTATCCAGAACTCTACAGCCCATGTCCTCTCCAGCACCAGGCTCCTGTCGCCCCCGTTCTAAATCTATTTTCACATATTTTACAGGAGCAATTAAACGAATGTGGATGAAAATAAAGGATAGGAATTCTTTCAAAATACAAACACCAGGTAATGTGGAAATAGCTTAATCATTTTGGTGTGCCATGTAAGCTTGAGGTTCTACTGAAACCTCATAGAAATAATGGAAATCCTCTTCATAAAAATGCCTGTTATTTGCCAATTTGTCATTCGGATGAAATATACTAAACCCCGGTTGGCTGGACCAATGGGCTGAGGTCCGGACCAGTGAGCTGGAATTTGCGGTATTTGTCGGTATTGTAATTGTTTGAATCCTGCGAGCTGAATCTGCAGGATTCAAACTGAGTCAGAGTGGATATCCCGTCCCACTAAGTAAGCACTGTGAGGCAGGGGCGCATGCTAATAGAGGCAAGCTGGGGAAATTTTTCTGTGAACATTTCTGGATCGGGCCCGGTCTGGCAAGCTATGAATTCTGGACACTAGGAGTCTGGTCAACTGGGGGTTTGCTGTAATTTAAAACTATTCACAAACATCCACATAATGTCTCCCAGGCAGGGCAAAACATTAGGCAAGTTTCCTTACTCCACACGCCTTTATACCAAGTAAGTAGGAACCTGGTTGTTAGTCGATTGGCGGATCGCTTTTCCTGGGGTTAATAATCCCTTAAAGAAAGGAAAACTTACAAAAATAATAATAATGTGGTCACTCAATCCACGACTGTTTGTGGGACACTGCTGTGAGCAATTGGCTGCCACGTTTCACCCACAAAATATACAGTTAATTCACTTTACAGTATATTCTGCGAAGCGCTTTGAGACGTCTCGAAGACGTGATAAGGCTGTATATCAAATGCAAGGATTATTATTATTATTATAGTGAGGAGCTAGCATCAACAAACACTTGTTGGGACAAATAGCTTAATTCCATCCTATATATTGTGATAATTACATTAACCCACTAAATATGAACAATGGTAACATTTCATCTTCATGCTTTGACTGTTAGATAGACCTATGCTTCATCCTGAATACCACAATAAATATTGGAAAAGAACAAGTATACTTCAGTAATATCAATGCAAATATTTGCAAATAATACAAACTAATAATAAATTATTCTACAGCTAGTTGAAAAAAAACTTCAAGCAATTAAATCCATGTTCTTATAATTATTGTGCCTAAATGTTACTGTATTCTTTATAACTTTCAACATGAATAGTAATCAATATGTTGCAGCATCACTGCAGATTTAACATGGCAAATGTATGCTGCCATAAGGCTTATTGGATCTCATCAAGACTTATTTTATTTATTTTTTAAAAACAGTTGGATTGATTAATCAAGGAGCCACTTGTTATTTGAACACACTGCTTCAAATATTATACATGACCCCAGAATTTAAAAATACCATTTGCAAGTAAGTAATAAAATTATTTCGCAGAATTAAAACAATATGATTTGTTGAATCTGTAACAACTTTATAGAATCATTAGGGTAGACTTTCTATTGGTTGCTAAAGTCTATAACAATGGGAGTACACGCTTGTTATGCAATGGTCTTTCCTCATTTTAATGTGTGCATGCCAACAACATGAGTAACTTTAAGTTCAGAAGAAATTATGTTGTAATTGGTTAGATTACTATATCTTTATCTCCAAAACTCGTGTTGGATTCCTATCCAAATTCTATTTTGAAAAGTGTGTTGGTGGAATTGTTGGTTTTGTCTCTGTGTGTGCATGTGCATTCATTGTGTGTGGCAATGAGTGGGTGTAGACTTGTACATTGTGTGTGCGCATGTGTGTGGACGTGTGCATTTGTGGGCTTGTGCATGAGTCAGTGGGGATGTGCTTGTGGATGCCTGGTGCATTTCCTCTCATCCCCTTAATACATCGAATAACTTACCAATGCTCACACTGCCTGAGTTCAAAAGTGAAGAATGGTCACCTGTGTGAGCTGTTTGGGAATCATGTCCAATGTGAGGCCTTTCCTTCAGGAAAGGAAGGGAGAAATCCCTCATATCAATATTTTCATAAAGCTTTCATTCAGATAAAGGGGTTCCTCATATGTGTTCTGATCCCCATCCGATCAGCTGCCACATATCACTGTGTGATCTTGCCAGGATTTCATGTTGTACACAGTGCTTTATGCTCCAGTGGGCAGACTTGGTCTTGGTCCTGTTTCCTTCCACCCCCACCCCATCCCATGAAGGCAAATAAACATTTTAGTTTGACTCTGCTGCATCACGACTTGAACGGCTAAGATGAGTGCCGCTTACAAATATACTGGACATACAGCTGTATTTTTCTCATGCTTGTTAAAGTTAACAAAGATTTTGCAGCATTTGGACCAGAACCCTTATTGCTTCAATTCCCCATTTCTGAAAGGACAAAGGTTTAGGGTTGCAATGAGGAATTTCAGGACAAACACAAGGAAATATTTCTTTATCAAGAAGCTAATTAATGAGTGTAACAGATTACCAGGAGCAGTAATTGAGACCAGCATACTGGACTCATTTTAAAAACAATCAATGCAGACAGTATTATGATGTTCTTAAATTGTAACCAGAATTATTATTCCTCAATGTTAATATTCTGTTTTTTATGTTCCCAGTTTAGAAACGGATAACCAGATTATATGTCAGTTAAAAATCATGTTTGAGAAATTGCAAAAGAGCAAAAAGGCTGTAGAAACACACAAACTGACCACAAGCTTACAACTGGATGGTAAGGAATAGGTGTATTTTGATATCATTATGATACAAGAAGATTTTTTTTAAAAAGGCAGTTCAACATCACAATGGTTGTTTTCATTTGTCATTTATGATTTAGCTTTGTGTAATTAACGAAATAACATTGTACCATTATCTTCATCATCAGTATTAAGACAACAAGATATAGCAGATTTTTTCCTATTTCTGATGCATGAAGTGAACACTTATATGGATCAGGATCAAACTATTTTGAAGGTAAATAAAATTAATAGAACAAAGGTAATGAGAAAGTCATATATTTTCACTCCAATACTTTGAGGGATAAGAAAACATACTGTATGAATGACTTGTAACAAAAATTTACAAAGAACGTACAGCATGGAAACAAGCTACTCAGCCCAAACAGTCCATGTCAGTGTTTATACTCAAACAATTTTCCACCTATTCCTTACTCCCTCCCATACCTTTCTTTCCCCCTCTCCTTCATGTGCAGGTCTAACTTCCTCTTGAATGCATCTATTAACTGATTGTTAACTACCACTTCAGGTAGCGAGTTCCACAGTCTTCCTATTCTCTACGTAAAGTAGTTATGCCTAAACCTAGATATCAGGTTTAATCCCCAGCTGTCCTTCCGATGCCTGACAAAGCAAAGTTTCCTCCATCTCTGTCACATTGCCCATGTCCGACCATACCTCACATCCAACGTAGCCGAAACTCTCATCCGCAGATTCCATTGAAATCTCTGGAATTTCCTTGTGTAGGTGGGATGCAAGGAACTCTGTTTGGTTTGGATACTCTTAAGCATGGTGGTGCTTGATTATATCTGATACATAAAGGGTTTCTGCATCCGGTGAACCAAAACAAAACCTGCAGCAATGTTTAATGGGTCAACAGCCTATATTGTAATCCATCCATGTGGAAGTTTTGCCTGTTTCTTATCTTGAAATGCCTAACGCATGTTCCTCTAACAATTTTTTTAATCCAAGCAGTAAATCTAGAGATTGAATGGCTCAGGTTACGAAATCCGGGAATCTAAAGATGCATAAAGGCAGCTCAATTAATAGTTGTTTATTTGTATAATGTTTTACAATACAAGTAGTAGCAGAAGAACACAGAAAAGAATAACAAAGGTTATTCTACACCCTCCGATGTAAGCATGCTACTTGGATGTTTGACTAATTACTGACTCCACTTCCGATGTTACAAATCATTCCATCAATACTAAACATCAACAGGCAGTTCGATTTTGAGACTGGGAACATCAAAGCTCAAAAGAAAGACCTTTCTGTGGTTTGTTCATGGTTCCAATAGGTTCTGCAGATGGGATCATAATACTGTCCTTATTTGCAATGTTTTAGAATAAAACTGTGTGATTATCATGGAAGATGCTGAAGATTTAACATTCTTGGATACAAATTGAGCATTCCACACACCATCTTTGGCAATGTCGGCTTCTAATTGGATTTCCCTTCATAATCAAGTAGCACCTTTATATCCCTCTTTGGTTTCGAAATTCAATAAAACATTCTTCAGCAGATCCGCTGTTTTAGAAATTCACTAATCATAAGAAATGACGTAATTTATACCCAACCATCTCTTACTTAATACTTAATCTCTTTTCTGTTGATACCTGAAAGAATGTTAAAACCGTAGCTTTAATGTTGAAGCCTGTATTGTATTTGTGTTTGGTGTGTATCTCCTTTCTCTTTTCACTAGTCTTCTCACCCTTCCCGGACAATAATAATCCAGTTGCATAATATACAATCTGGTGTCATGGTTAGGTGTACACTGAAGTGCAGCAGAGACGTTCCACTCAATGTTCCACTACCCCAGAAGTGGAATATTACTAACCTGTACTCGGTAAATGATCCCTCCCTTCCCCTTCCTAAACAATGTGGTTAACATTAGGAACTCAGCAAGGCTAAGCATCATGTTACTTGGATGTTTGACTAATTATTGATTCCGCTTCCAATGTTACAAATCGGCATTATATCAATATTAAACCATATATTCTACCATCCTGTGATGTTGCACATTTGTATGTTGCATAAAACTGCATTTTCTTCATTTTGCTGATTTCACTACATGCTTATTGTGTTCTCGCTGAAAAACATGGGGAATGACAATATTCTATCAACTATATTTTTAGTTGTTTGTACAGCTTAAATTTTTATCTTTGCTGGTTTCAATGCATTGTTGAACTCTTTTTTGTGTGATACCAGGTTTAGTTAACATTTATTTCTGTACAACTATGGCATGATAAGCAAATACCTTGAACCATATTTTATACACCACATGTGCACGCAATAGGATATTTTGATATGAAAAGCAGATCAATCATGAGTTGAAATCAAATGGTCAGTAACAAAAAAGCAACAATTTGATTGAATATTTTCAAACCTAATGGTAGGGTATTCTTTAAAACAGAGAAAACTGGAACTGCACAACAGGTTGATCAGATGGTTGGAATCTGATGAAGTACATACATTTTAATGATTTACTTTCTTAGAATTGTGCCAACTACTGATATACCATCTTTTCCAATTTGGATAGACTAAGGATAGTTTGTTCTTTTTAGTGTTTGACTTGCACATTCAGTCATTGAAAAAAGGTTCCTATATACACTCACCAATAAATGTCCTTCAGTTTTATCAGATCACAATTGGTCATGAAATGAAATGTCAAGAATGCAATGCTAATTATAAGAAGGAATATCCGTGGCTGACTATCCCTTTACCCATTTGTTCATCTTCTAATAAATTTAAACACTTGGTAAGTTTAAAAAAACAGGGTAAGTATAAATATTATATTCAAGTGACTTATTATCGTCACATAATATTGATAATAATAATGATAAAGGTCTCCTTCAGTGCGATGTCTGGTATAACTAATAATAATTGTTAATAATAATGATAACATTCATAATAATAATACTTTTTGCATTTAATATAATGCCTCATACCCATGGAATTCTTACATTGTTCCTAAGATTTGGTAATAATAGTAATTCAGTTTTAAATTAATTCAGATTCTACAATATTTACCGTTTAGGAACATCAGGTACTTTCAATTTTTTATTTGGTAACTGAGCCACTATACCTTTGGCTATTACATTTAAAAAAATCTTCTCCCAATTTAAAATCTGTTATGTACCTTTTTCACTCCCGCCGCCTCTGGAGTTCGAAGTTGTTGCTTCATGTCTCAGATTGTGAGCTCCCAGGTGAGGCTGTCGCTTTAGCAGGAGTGCTGCATTATTTTAGGTATTGTTCTTCAGAAGGGATGTTATTAACTCCTAGCAAATGATTTAAGGTTTTTTTTTGTAAATGACAATCTACTGAATCTACTGAAAAACTAAAAGATACAATGATAGGCATAGCTTGGCATTGAAAGCGCTGTCTGGCAAGTTTGTCCAGCGAGGAAAGACCAAATTGATTAATCCATAGGTAGCTACTTGTTTAGCATCATGCCATGGAACATTTCTATGGCATGTTACTGATTTTGTTACTTTCTCTCTCAAGGAAATTGCTTTAGATGAGTTTCTGAAATGGGACATTCTGAATGGTGACAATCAATGTTATTGTGACATTTGTAAAGAAGTGACTGATACATCCTCAGTAAGTATGGATTGCAATATTAGTAAAATATGTCGATAAATTTGTAAATCAAAGGCATATTTCATTTCAGTAAAATATACACAGAAATATTAAAGTATCTTGCAGTTCTCCCAGATCACAATATTTAGTACATATCCAGCCCCACTTGGAGGATTCCGTGTTGCTCTGCTATTCCTTCTACAATAGGGATTGGAGAGAGTATAATAAAAGTCCATCAAATTAATATTTTATATGGAATTAGATATCTGAATTATGAAAAGTGAATGCCAAACTAGGATTGTTTACACGGGAGGAAAAATGATAAATGAAAAATGATCTTTTTAAAGTTTTATAGACTCTAAAGTTTTGTAAAAACTGGCCTCCAAACAACAGTTTTGATGTACAAATTGAACATCTAGGATAAACTATTATATTCAGATATGGACAAAAGAAGCTTAGAGTTTTTCTGGAAGTTCAGGATAATCCTGGTGTAGAAGGACTATTTCACTGCAGAAACCAAAAATGTAACTCTTATCTGCCATTATTCCTTTGAAGGCTTTTTTCATCAACTTATTCTTGTATTTTGCAGAGATACCATATCAAAGAGCTGCCCCAAATTCTCACAGTGCAGCTACTAAGATTTCACTTTGACACAACAAACAGATGTTATCAAAAGTTTGATGACTGTATTGAGATCCCACTGACACTGATGTTTGAGGAATCGAGGGTAAGATATTTATTATGGTGTTTATTACACATTTTACTTCTACGTAATAGAAAAGCAAAATGCATAATGTTTGTTGATTTGTTAATAGATATTTAGAAAGGGAAAGAAAATCCTGAGATAGAACTTTCTGTTCAAAGTAGAAGAAATAAAGCTGATGGAGTTATAAAACTATTAACAAAAAATCCTTAGTTTTCTATGGAATATGAAGACGAAGATCAGGACCAATGAAGCAGATGGGTCTTGGAGTGGAAGGTTCATTTTAATGTAGATTTTCAATCAGTTTTGGAACAAGAAACATAAACAGAGTGAAGGGGCAGTAATTAGATATAGGGGTTTGTTAATTTGATTGCTTTACAGATATTTTTAATATTCATACAGGACAATCCCAATGAATGGTGTCTAAGTTCAAGAATCAATAAGGTAAGTTAGAATCCAGTACAGTAATTATCCAGTATTGGAGGCATCTCTGGGCAATGATGGGATGGAATATTTTGTTTTATTTGATTTCAATGCTACACATTTTACTTTTATAGGATCAATTGCATTGATTCCCATATGATGATTTGAGCTCACGTGCTAAGCCAACAGTGCATTACTTAGGCATTGCTGTCCTTTGATTGAGCCATTCAACTGAGGTCACATCTGCTTATCCTGGACTCTCATTTAAGCCTTTCATCTGGTTCCTTACCAAGGCTGTTTTTCTTTATTTCCTCCCCCTCTAACTCACTCCAATGCAACTGAAACCCTCGCCAGTGTTGTAGTCTACAACAACAATAACAACAACAACTTGGATTTATATAGCGCCCTCCATGCCGGACGGCGTCTCAGAGCGCTTCACAGTAACAGATCCTGGGGCCGAGCCGGGGGGGGGGGGGGGGGGGGGGGGGAGGAAAGTGACCAAAGGCACGGTCAAAAAGAAAGGTCTTCAGCAGAGACCTGAAAATAGGAAGCGAGGGGCGAGACGAAGGGAGTGAGGAAGGCAGTTCCAGAGCCTCGAGGCATAGTGGCTGACGGCACGGCCGCTGAGGGTGGAGCGGAGGACTTGGGGGACGAGGAGGAGGCCAGACCCGGAGAAACAAAGGCAACGGGCACTGTTTTGAGGTGAGATGAGGTCAGAGAGGTCGGGCGGTGCAGAGGAGTGCAGGGACTTGAATACAAGGGTGAGGATCTTGAAGTCGATCCTCTCTGGGATAGGCAGCCAGCGCAGTCTGGCAAGAACTGGGGTGATCGGGGAGCGGAGTTTGGTGCGGGTGAGAATGCGGGCGGCAGAGTTTTGAATAATCTGGATTTTATGGATGGCAGTGGAGGGGAGACCTAAATTCCAGTCTAAACTCTGGAGTTCATTTCTCTAATGCCTTCCTTACCGGCCTTCGTAAATCAACCCTCCAACAAGCTCCAGATCATCCAGAATTTTGTATTCTGTACCATGGCTCAGAGGCCCATCAACACCACCCTCACCAAGCTTCACTGGCTTCTTACTTGCAGCAGAATAACTATAGGATACTCATTTTATTTATTTCCACCCCACCCCCCCCCCCCCCCCCCCCCCAGGTCCTTGTTTCACTCTGCTTCTGATCTCCTGTGATCTGCTAATTCAAATCTGTTCCACATTTCCCATCCCGCTATTAGTGGTTTAAGCTTTCAGCCATTTTGACTCTGTTTTCTGGGTCTCTATTCCTAAACCTCCCTCCCCACTTTCAAAGCCTTTCTAAGAACCTACCATTTTCACTAGGTTTTCGGTTACCCTCCTCCTGCCTCCCCCCTTAACTCCCATCATACCCGCTGTAACGCCATCTCTGTGAAGGACGACAACATTTTTTACTATGTGAAAGGCATTGCATAAGTGCAAGTTTTTGTTGAACCAAATCCTGAAAAAGAACAAACTTCCTGGTGGGAAAAACATTTTAAAGCTACGGTTTTCAAATGTTGCTTACAACATCCCTTGTCCTCTACTCCATAATTGTCAGCAATTCTTTCAGTCAATATGCCCTGAATCTCTGCAACTCCTTGCCTCAATCCTTCTTTCTTGTCCCCTCTGCACATCTTCAAATCACACATGAAAACTTTCCTCTTCAGCCATGCCATCAGTCACCTTCTCCCCACCCGATCTCGCTGTCAAACCATGCACTGTTAAGCTCCCAGGCATTACTTACGTAAAGGGCACTATATAACTACAAGTTGTTGTTGAAGTGTCGTTTTTATTTCTGTTAAATTAAGAATGGAATTTTTTTTATGAGTCAAGAAACAGTCATAGTTAACATCCTTGAGGGGAAAAAAACACACTTGGGATAAAATTTACAAGGTTTGAAGACTTGAAAATAAATCTTAAACAAGAATGGTCCACACCTTCATATTATCAAATTAAAGTCAACTGAATTATTTCCGCAAATACCTCACCATCAAGTATTCTCTACTGTTTACTATTCTCCAGTGTTGCTTTCCTCTCCGATAAGAATTTCATTCTCCTGAGATCTCAAATAACAATTCCTTTACTCAACAACAGGAAAGCCCAGATGAGTCATTTTCCACCCTATTAGGAACAGTCCAACATCCCCATCAAGAATCAAAAGTAGAAGCAGCTGCTAAAGAAAAGCTGAAGTCGACAAAGGTACATTTGTTTTCATTTTCTTTTGGCCAGTGCTACGATTCCCAAAAGGCATCTGGCACCTCATCCAAATGCCCATTATTCGATGTTAGTATATTTAGTGAGTGTATGTGTCATCTGACTTGCCGACCATCACTGTTAGAGCTGATTCTATTCTTTTCACAGCCACCCATGCACGTTTTTCAGCAGGTGCCATTTAATAGCTATTAGGAAGCTGCAAACCCAGGCTGATGTTTTACCTCCATTGCCACATGGAAAACAATATATATATATTGTTATATATATTCAATCCATTGCATTTATTTAAAGGGTATAACATGTTGTTTTTAAACTTGAGCACAAAGTGTTTTTGTGGAAATTGATGTAATTAATTTTTCTATCTTGGTTAGTTTGACAAAATATACAGCAATCATTTGCCACTTCAAATGAATGCACATTAGAATATCACCAAAGCATTTTTAAAATGTGATTTGTATGCATTATAGTGTGAATCTCAATTGCATTACCAACTTAAAATTATGTAAAAAGAATCTTTGAATTAAGTTCAGAATTGATGATAACAGTAATTAAATATACAAAATGATTTAGCTGTTTTATTTCTCGCTTGCTTTTTAGGAGTTTGAACTATTTGCAGCATGCTATCACGAAGGAGTGTATGGATATGGTCACTATCATGCTGATATTAAATCAACTGCTGATGTCTGGTACAGTTTTAATGATCAAACTGTTGCTAAGGTACAATGAGAATTACCGCATGGCACCCAGCAGATGTGAAATGCTGAGTGCCTCCTCCCAAAGAAGGGATGAAAATCAAATAGGAAATCAGCCCGAACTGTTGTACTAATGCCCCCCCCTTTAGATGCACAACCTCAGACAAAACCATCGACTTGTCTTTTGTGTTAGGGATTATGTGTAATCGGATGCAAATTAGACAAAGCTATTTAAAAATAGTGGACAAATTTAAATTTGATTCAACAAAGGGAAGACAGCTGATGCATCATGATAGTGGATTTTATAAAGTATTTTAATTCTTTCAAATACCAGAATATGAGATTAACTTAACATAAGAACAGCTCGATGAAAAAAGGCCAAAGATCCATCTAGTTTGCCTTCCACCTTCCTGGTGGTCGCATGCACATATGTCCCAAACTACATATGCACTATATCCCAGAATGTTATTTCCTAAACGAAAACTATCTAATCTGTTTGAAAGAATCAACACTTCCTGCTTCAACCGTCTCCATAGGGAGCCTGTTCCACAGATTCACTATTTGTTCACTAAAATAGTGTTTGCATAGATTTGTTCTGAATTTACTCCCCTTCAATCGCAGGCTGTGTCTTCTGGTTTTACTATTCTGGGCAATTTGAAACAGCCTCTCATGATCTATATTTTCTAGCCCCTTTAGAATCTGAAAGACAGCAATCACAGCAATCATGTCGCCACTCAATCTTCTCTTTTTCAGTGTGAACATGCCCATTTACTTAGTCGCTCCTCACAGTCCAGTCCCTCCATTCCCTCAATCATTTTGGTTGACCTGCTCTGTAACTTCTCGATTTCTCCAATATCCTTTTTGTACTGCGGCGACCAGAACTGTACACTGTTTCACATGAACAGTTGAACAGGTTCACTCCTTCTGTGCTGAGGGATCCTGTGTTTCCAATAAGTGATGTTAATATCCCATGTAACTTATTTAATTGTAAATGTAAAAATCTGCTTGTAAATTTTGCAATTGTATGGGTGGCTAAGGGGCTGTGTGAATTTGGTATATTGGTATAGATTGTAAAAGAGGATAGGGTGGGAGTCTCGCAAATGTTTTTAGATAATCCACATTGGATGGAATTTGACTGGATTAATATGATTGTTCTTTAATACTCTTCTTCTCTTTCTTGTTAAGCTGAGCAATGTGCACCCAAACAGGTAAGCTTAAATTATTTAATACTTTGTTTTAATAGCAAGCAGATTTTTTTCCGGTTTACTCGACTATCTTTCCATTACAGCATCGAAAGAGAGAAATTGCATTTTATAGTATCTTACATCAAAATGTTTCCAAGTACTTTACAGATAATTGTTGTCAAGTGTGGTGTTTGTAAGCAAATCTGGCAGCCATTTTGCGCACCACAGTGTCCGGCAAATAGCCACAATTACATTTGTAATGGGTGAAAATATTAGGACATCTCAAAGTGCATCACAGGATTTATTGCAAGTGTAGTGAGTGCATATTTTATGAACAAACATAGCAACCCTGAAGTTGTGTCCTCTTGCTCTGCTGCCCCCTACACGGTTCCACTTGCGACATTCCTTTACAAGGCTGATTTGTCTAATTATTGTTCATAGCTTGTTCTTCCATCTTTGGGGACCTTCATCATTGCTGTCCTCTGCACTACCTCTAGAGCCCGAGCAGCCTCTTATCTGGTGGCAACCAGAATTGTACCTTTATACATTCGCTTCATTGTACACTGTACGTTTGTTTTGGTTTGTTTGAAATTTAAACTGCTGAAACATTCTTGAATTTTTTAGAAATAATTTTATTTTTATAGATTCAACAAGTCCTACCTGATAATGTACAGAAGGAAGAATGCAAACAAGTCAGGTAATTACAATGTGATTAGAGTGCAATTTCAATGTGTTCTATTTACGTTAGTGAATGATGAATGTATAAAGTATTTACACACATTGTGGGCCAAAAGTTGAGGTGTTCCTTCAGGTGTTCCTTGTGGTATTGAAGACTTAATTTTGGTTGCATAATTAACACCACCCTTTACCTTTCCTCATCACGTTACTTCCAGCCTCTGATTCCTTCATCTCTCCCTGTCAACTGGCTGTTGCCTGATCCCTGACTGTTCAGCACCTTGGGAATGTCCTCCCAATGTGAAAGGCACTTTACAAATTTAACTTTGATGTTGTTTTTGTTACAAAACTTTTTTTTTTAAAAATCGGCAAAGTGAGTAAAGGTAAATCCTTAGGAAGGAATTGATGGGTGTTCCTTAATTTATTCCTTGTGTTAAAGAACGGGTAGGTAATACTACTGATATGCCCTATTTTTCCTTAATTAATTTTAAATTCATTCATCTTTAAATGACATTGAAACTTTCCCTTACCATTCCGATCTATTTTGATTGCTATCCTCTCCATCCCTTTATTGGATTGCACGCAATTGGAAATGATCAATGCAACAGATGTGTTCTCAATCCTCCGCAATTTTATTAAAAACAGATACAGCACTTAAGAATTTGATACATTTTCCATTTTGTAGCATAATAACAACTAACACCTGAATAAGCAAACTGGAAAGATTGCTGAGACCGAGAAAGACAGAGAAATGAGTGCAATGTTTTATGGAGTAATAGCGAACATTAAATAAATCTTTGTTTGTAGTTATGCATGAATGAATTTGCCAGGTTTCTCTGTTCTGTAGCTTGTGGGCCTCACATGAAAAGGCTAGAGGGGTATTTGGAAATTAAATGGTGCCTCATTCAGAAAACAAGTTTTCTCTTTCTATTCTTAAGATACTGAACTGATCAAATTATAGGCACTAGAGCTTACTTGTTAAAAGCTCTTGTTAATCGTGGAGTTGTAATTGTTTAACCTTTTGTTTTGCAGGATATTCTTAAATCACGGTGGATTATAAGGTGTTATGCAAGTTATCATGCATGCAAGCTGTCAAGCAAAGAAAAGCAAATGTTTGACCCAGATCCATAGCATCCACTGATTAGATTATACTGCTTTGTTAACCTCCCTTAAGAAATGGTTTATTGCTCATACAAACATAGCTATACTAATGTATGTACATGGTGTTGAATATTAATGTACTTTGGTATTAAATATTTTTTAAAGAGATTACCCCATTGCCTAAAGGAGATTTTTCCCCTTCTGCCAGAGAACTTTATTGAGTTCCTCTCTACGACATCCTCTCTACCTGTGACCAGGGCTCCCTCTGTCTCCTTGTCCTCCTGGACCTCTCTGCCGCTTTCGACACGGTGGATCACGCCATCCTCCTTCACCGCCTTTCCTCCGTCATTCACCTCAGTGGGACCGGACTCACCTGGTTCGAGTCCTACTTCACAAACCACCAGCAGTACATCTCCACAAATGGCTTTTCCTCCCGCTCTCACCCGGTTACCTGCAGAGGAGCCCAAGGATCCATCCTTGGCCCCCTCCTCTTCCTAATCTATATGCTCTCTCTTGGGGATGTCATCCGCAGACATGAGTTATACTTCCACATGTATGCGGATGACACTCAACTCTATTTTTCCACCTCACTTTGCGACCCCCAGTCCCCTGATGTTCTGTCAGCCTGCCTGCCAGACATCAGGAGCTGGATGAGCACGAATTTCCTTCAGCTAAATGTTGACAAGACAGAAGCCATACTCTTTGGCTCTCGCCAACGTCTTAAATCGCACAGTTCTCATCTCCTACACCTTTCAGCGCTTTGGGACGTCCTCCCGACGTGAAAGGCACTCTATAAATGGAATCTTGTTGTTGTTGTTGTACCCGATCTCCCACTAAAACTCTCCGAACCCGTACGAAACCTAAGCATCAGGTTCGACCCCCAATTATCCTTCCTCCCCCACATCCGGTCTCTCACCAGCACCGCTTTCTTCCACCTCCGATCCATCCATGGCCCGTCTCCACCAATATCTCACCCCAAAAGCCGCTGAAACCCTGGTCCTTGGCTGGACTATTCAAATGCCCTCCTTGCTGGTCTCCCCTCAACTACCATTCATAAAATCCAGGTCATCCAGAACTCTGCCGCCCGCATTCTTACCCGAACCAAACTCCGGTCCCTGATTACCCCAGTCCTTGCCAGGCTCCACTGGCTGCCTGTCCCAGAGAGGATCGACTTCAAGATCCTCACTCTTGTCTTCAAATCCCTCCACTCCTCTGAACCCCCCGACCTCTCTGACCTCCTCTCTCCTCACAACAGTGCCTGCTGCCTTCGCTCCACCGGGTCTGGCCTCCTCCTTGTCCCCCAAATCCTCCACTCTACCATCGGCGGCCGTGCTTTCAGCCACTATGCCCGAGGCTCTGAAGCTCTCTTCCTATTTTCAGGTCTCGGCTAAAGACCTTTCTTTCGACCGTGCCTTTGGTCACCTTCTTCCTCCTCCCCCTGCCTTGGCCTCAGGATCCGTTACTGTGAAGCGCTCTGAGATGCCGTCCAGCATGGAGGGCGTTGTATAAATCCAAATTGTTGTTGAGATCATCTGAAATTTGTCTGTAGCATCCAAAATTCTGTATGTAAGTTAGATGTCCAACACATTAGTATTAGTGGGTTAATTATTTTAGGGATGTATTTCATAGTAACCTTGTCTTTCACCAACCTGTGTCTATTACTCTACAGCATAAGGTAAGCAGATGTATCCCCCCAAGAAGAGTGTGCATACTCCATTTCCAGACACAGGAAAATTTCCATGTGCAGTGGGCATACATATACGGAAATCTCGATTTCTGAACAGGCAGATGGAACCTTGGTTTAACATGATTTGAAAAAGAGTTGAAAGGTACTCCCAAAAAAGGAGGTGATGGACTTTTTTAGGTCCAAAATGGAGCAGATTTTCACAGCTGCCACTGACTCTGCCAACCTCGTCCTACCACTTTTTATTTGCACTCTTCTACAATTGATCTCTGAAATGACTTCTCTGAAGTCTGAAAAGGCCTAGCTTTTTGAAGACTTTGTTGTTCCCAAGAATGTTATGTAAATATATGTCTTGAAATCTTGATTCACATCACTAATGTTCAGTATGTAATTTCTACTTCATTATTCCTACAATATAAAGTAATGAAGTTTCCCGAAGGCAAACTGCGTGCACTTAAATAAACAAAATAGAGTTGCAGCCAACATCAGTTTGCAGAATATTTCTGCCATTCCCAGAATGTGTGCAACCAGACTGAGAAGTGTGAGAGCTGGTGCATTTTTTAAAAATAAAATATCCTTTGTCCTGAAATTTTACATTTTAAATGTTTCCTGAGTGATGTATGGGGACGTTCCTGGCAGCTGTTTGGATTTCATTTTAAAATATCATGTCCTAAAGCCATCCTTCATCAGAATATTTTGCAGGTGTGGTGCATTTCCAGTAAATGGTAACTATTCCATGAAACCAAAGCTTTGCTATTTGAAGAGAGATATAAATCTTTTGAGATTTCACAAAAATAAAGTAAATGGAAACTGAAACTTCAACAATGCTCCTCCTATATCTATTGAAATACCGGCATTTTAATGATCTGCAACACAGATACAAGAAGAAAGATAAAATGGTCTGTTAATCAAAAGGAAAATATGAGAGATGATGTATTAGAAATGCACAGTGTGCAGTGAATGCCTGATAATATTTAGAAACAGAATTATTATCTGGATAGAATGGACAAGCAATGGGAAATTTGGCAAACAGTGGCAAGCTTTGCTAGTTAAACCAGTTAAACCAGTAGTACCTCAATGTATATGCATGAGTCCCAAGCCTTGGAATTTGCCAACCTACACTTATAATAATAATCCTTGCATTTGATATAACGCTTTTCAGTCTTCTAGACGTCTCAAAACGCTTCGCAGAATATACTGTAAAGTGAATTGACTATATTTGTGAGTGAAACGCAGCAGCCAATTGCGCACAGCGGTGTCCCACAAACAGTCATGGATTAAGTGACCAAATTATTATTGTTTTTTTTGAGGGATTATTTTCCCCGGAAAAGTGATTCGCTAATCGACTAACAACTGGGTTCCTACTTACTGCTAGATAAACAGAGGCGTGTGGAATAGGGAAATGTGCCAATATTTCGCCCTGCTTAGAATCGAACCCAGGTCTCTCATTTAATAATCCCTCCAAAACAAAACAATAATAAATTGGTCATTTTCAATCCACGACTGTTTGTGGACACTGCTGTGTGCAATTGGCTGCCGCGTTTCACTCACAAATGCACAGTGTGGGGGCTAGAGGAGAAACCATTTGTGGAGGTGAAGTGGAGGCAATGTGAGAGGTACAATCTGAACCATTCAAGGACAGAACTATGAAAGTTGAGGTGAGAGGAGAGACGGTGGATGAGGATAGAGTGGTCAACAGTATTGAAGGTAGTAGAGGGGTCAAGGAGGGTGAGGAGGCAGAGGAGTCCTGGTTGCAGATGGACAGAATGACATTTGTCACTTGACCAGGGTGGCACAGAAACCTGATTGGAGGGGTTCGTGAAGGGAGTGGTGAAAGAAGGAGTGAAGCAACGACTCAATCCAGGACCATGAGAGGAAAGGGAGGTTGGAGATGGGGCGGTAGTTTGAGAGCAGAAATGGGTCCAGGGAGGATTTTTTAAGGATAGGAGTGATGACGGCCATTGTTAAAGGGGGGTAATGGTTCCATTGGACAGGGAGAGGTTTGTGATGTCTGTGAGTAGTGGGGAAAGATGACCAAAAGTGCATTCAAAGAGTTTCGTTTTCAGATGCGTCTTGAATGCATGAAGCAAGCGAGCGAGGCAGAGGGACTCAGGATGGAGTTCCAACGACGACAACAACTTGCACTTATATAGCGCCTTCCATGCAGGGTAGCACCTCAGAGCACTTAACAGTGGCGGAGCCTGACTCCGAGCAGGGGGAGAACAACAACAATAAGATTACATTTGCATAGTGCCTTTCACGTGGGGAGGACATCCAAAGGCACTGGACAGAGTATAGCATTTCAGACCCGAGCTGGGGTCGGGAGAGGAAGGGAGGAGAGGGGAAGGCATGGTAGAAGAGGAGGTTCTTAAGGCGGGACTTGAAGGAGGCTAAGGAGGGGGCAAAGGGGAGTAATTGGGGGAAAGAATTCCAGAAGTTGGGGGCAGAGTGGCTGAAGGCTCTCCCGATATGGTGGGGCGGGTGGGTCAGGGGACGAGGAGCAGGCCAGAGCCGGCTGAGCGGAGGGAAAGGGCAGGTTGGTAGGGGGTTAGGAGGTCGCAGAGGTAGGGTGGGGCGAGGCCATGGAGGGCTTTGTATATGAGGACCAGGATCTTGAACTGGATCCTCTGAAGGAAAGGGAGCCAGTGGAGTGGGGCGAGAATGGGGGAGATGGGGTCACGGAGTTTGGTGCAGGAGAGGACACTCTGGATTATCTGCAGCCTGTGGAGGGAGGAGTTGGGAAGGCCGACAAGCAGGGCGTTTGCATAGTCGAGCCTGGAGGTGATGAAGGCATGAACAAGAGTTTCAGCGGCCTGAGGGGTGAGGTAGTGGCAGAGTCGGGCGATGTTACGGAGGTGAGGGAAGGCAGAGCGGGTCATGGCTTCAATGTGGGGAAGAAAAGACAGTTGAGGGTCAAAGAAGACACCTCGGTTCCTGACTGGCTGGTGAGTTGACGTGTGCAACCATGGAGGTTGATGCTGCCAGAGCCTGAGGTGCTGAGGCGCTGGCGCGCGCCGATCAGGAGGGCCTCAGTCTTGTTCACGTTCAACTGTAGGAAATCTGCCCTCATCCAGGACTTGATGTCCGACACGCAGTCTGTCAGGACAGCAGTGGTCCTGGAGCTGAGGGCGGAGGCAGAAAGATAGAGTTGGGTGTCATCCGCATACATGAGGAAGTTGACCCAAAACCAATAGAACAAGTGCAGAAAGCCTGCGTGCGGATGGTGGGCCGGGTGGGATGGGGCACATGAAGCAGTCCAGTGTTCACCCAGTGAAGGGAGTGGCCAAGTTGGTTTGGCCTTCAATATTTGGAATCTAGATTGACACATTTTTGATAATTAATAAATGTTTTACATTTTATTGAAGGCAAAGCAACATTTACAATATTAACCTAATTGAAAAATGAAAACAAATCGCTCCATTTTCTGTTTGGTATGTTCGAAGTTTCGAAATTGACTTTGTTTAAATGCACTAAGGTTATTTTCCAGATTGCTGTGAAGGCAACATTAGCTTCCGCTCTAAGTTGCTGGAAATATTTTAACCCGTCCAGAAGTATATACACTAGTTTAAGGCTGTTTAATTAGGTTTTATTCAGATTATTATAGGTTAGCAAATGTCTAATTAAATCCAAAAAGTATAAAACACTGCAAAACATACTAAAGTACTGTTGAGTTTATAAGTAAGCAGTTACAAGTACATATAATAATAATAATCCTTGCATTTGATAAGCAGTTTCTTAGCTAAACTTATTCATATTATCACAGTAAGCAAATGATTTATTTCTTAAAAAAGCATTGGCAGGTACATTATATTTTTTACATGTCTAGACCTGATCTACAAGCTGTGGCCACGAGCTGGAGGTTTCTTAATTCAATATTTCTTGATTTAATCAAAAGAAAATGTTTTGTTTTGGCTCACCGTAAAGATTCGTCCCTACTGGTCTAAGCTATAAATTTATTCTTCTTCAGCACTCCTCCCAATACAAGACCACTTATGAGATTTTTTAGGGAGCTTTTCTTTTTTAGAGGACTTTTGGGGAGAAAAAACTTCCTTATCCTTGCCTTTCTCTGACTTTAATTCTTCTGTCAAACTCTCAATACTATTACTCTTATTAAAACCTTTTTTAGGGGACTTTTGTTTTTTAGAGAATATTTTTAAAATTCTACTTTTAAATGTCTTTTTCGTGGCTTTCCTTGATTTTAATTCTTCTGCTTTTTTTCTTTTTGCTGCTTTGGCGTTTGCTTTTTTCTTTGTGGTATCTTGTTTTTCTGCAATTTGCTGATGTTGCATCAGGGAGAGAGTGGGGGAGTGGGAATGATTGGATAGCTCTTCCAAACCGCCTGCATGATGGGCTGAATCATATTCTATGATTCTATGTTCCTCAACTAAATCATTTGCATTTTTCCTAATGTTGACTTGATTTTTCCTTTGCTTCAACTTCTCTTTACTCCGTTTCTTCTGTCTTTCTAGACATTGTGATCCCACAGTTTCTTCCTGTTCCATTCCGCAAGTTTGTTCCACCTTCACCTGTTCTTGTTTTGTCCCTCTTTTTCTTTGAGATATTCCTCTTTTGTCTACTGTCCTTTCTTTATGATCTGTCTCTTCTGATTTTATACCTTGGCTTTCCTCTCCTGTTGCCTTTTTTCCTTTAATATTCTTGTTTCCTACACTGTTTCCTATTCTGGATTCATCTATGTTTGACATATTCTTCTTTGCTATACTTTGTTCTTGTTTGTCTTTTCTGTTTTTCTCACCCACATCTTTTACATTTTGTTTTTCTTCCAATATGTCAGGATTCCCCTCATGATAATCTCTTCCCTCATTGCATTGTATAAAATCCGCTTTTTCTTCAACTCTTCCTGCCTGACCTTGTTCTTCTGGTGCTTTCTGAATCTCTATTATGACTTGTGTTTCAGTAATGTTTTCCTCCTCTTGTTTAGGGAGCTTCACTTTCACCAACATCTTCTCATTCACAGATGAATTGTCTTTCTTCGACAGAGTCTCTTTTGTAGAGAGATTCTGTTTTATATGATGAGAGTTAATACATATACACACTTGTTCATTTTTGTCAAATGCAGCCACTTTTGCTGCCTTATCCTTGATGTCCTCTGAGTTTAATTCTTTCCATCCTTTTGTTTTATTCTTTGTGGTATCTTTTTTACGGGCAGTCTGCTGATGTTCCTCATCTGAATCATTTTCATTTTTCCTGATGTTGATTTGTTCTTTCCTTGCTTCCAGCTGGTTATTTTCGGGACTCCATTTCTCCTGTGTTTTTAGACTTTTTGTTCCCGCAATTTCTTCCTGTTCCATTCCGCAAGTGTGTTCCTTTTCATCTGTTCTTGTTTTGTCCTTCCTTCCTTTTGAGATAGTTGTCTTTCCTCTGCCCTTTCTTTTTGATCTGTCTCTTCTGATTTTACATCTTGGCTTTCCTCTCCTGTTGCCTTTTTTCCTTTAATATTTTTGTTTCCTGCATTGTTTTCCACTCGCTCTTCCATTGGGCTCTGATTGTTTCCCATTCCAGATTCATCCATGTTTGACATATTCTTCTTTGCTATACTTTGTTCTTGTTTGTCTTTTCTGTTTTTCTCACCCACATCTTTTACATTTTGTTTTTCTTCCAATATGTCAGGATTCCCCTCATGATAATCTCTTCCCTCATTGCATTGTATAAAATCCGCTTTTTCCTTAACACTCCCTGCCTGACCTTGTTCTTCTTGTGCTTTCTGAATCTCTATTATGGCTTGTGTTTCAGTAATGTTCGGCAATTCCTCATCCACCATAATATTTTCCTCTCCTTTTGTCTTCGGATTATTTTCCTCTTCATTTATTTCTATCTTATCATCAGTACTTTCAGAGGAAAGTCGCTGCTTTTGTTCAAAGCGTTCTGCAAAAAATAACAACCAGTAATTTAATACAGTATTTTAAATTTGTAACATACAAAGTTAAACAATGTTTTTTCAGGACCTATCTCAAATGTTTTTATTCGGTCAGTCGGGTATCTGAACTACGCAGACAATGTTTGCCATCTTAAGAGTTTTCCAAACCTTACCACTGAGAGTTGCATATATGTATGGTTTGAGACTTCAGTCCTGCAGTCCCAAATTTAGAAAATTAATCAATGAAACACTGTGTTCATTAAAATGTGTTTTTCAGAGAAGAAGCATTCTACTACCAAATTATCTGAGTCAGAAGTAATTCTGTTTACCTTGATTGCTGTTTGGTTCTACATTCCTGTACATCAATAGGTATTCTGTTCCTGAACTATATATAATATAGATATTAAAGATTAGCATTTACATAAGAACATAAGAACATAAGAACATAAGAATTAGGAGCAGGAGTAAGCCATTCGGCCCCTCAAGCCTGCCCCACCATTTGATATGGTCATGGCTGATCTTCTGACCTAACTCTAATTACCTGCCCTATCCCCATATCCCCTAATCCCTCTATTTTTTAAAAATCTATCAGTCTCAGCCTTGAAGATGTTCAAAGACTGAGCATCTGCAGCCTTCTGGGCTGAATTCCATAAATTCACTACCCTCTGAGTGAAGAAATGTTTCCTCAACTCTGTTCTAAAAAGCTGACCCTTAATTTTAAGACTGACCACTGGTTATAGATTCTCCTACCGGGGAAACAGACCCTCAGTGTCTACTTTATCAGCCCTTTAAGAATCTTATATGTTTCAATAAGATCTCCCCTAATTATTCTGTACTCTAGAGAATAAAGCCCTCATTTATTCAGCCTATTCTCATAGGTCAGTCCCCACATCCCAGGAACTAACCGAGTGAATCTACGCTGCATCCCCTCTAGGGCAAGTATGTCCTTTTTTAAATAAGGAGACCCAATGCACACAATACTCTAGGTGCGGTCTCACCAAGGCCCTATACAGTTGCAGCAAGACTTCCCTACTCTTGTACTCTAAACCTTTTGCAATGAACGCTAACATGCCATTCGCCTTCTTAGTTGCTGCTGCACCTGCAAATTAACCATTTGAGACTGGTGTACAAGGACACCCAAATCCCTCTGAACACTAACACTATCTAATCTCTTCTCCTCTAGAAAATAATCTGTTTTTCTATTTTTTCTACCTAGGTGTATAACTTCACACTTCCCCACATTAAATTCCATCTGCCACCCACTCCCCGAGCCTATCTATATCCCTTCATATTATGTATTCTTATAATATCTTTAGAGGTAATTTAACAGGGTTTCATTGACAAACCAAGAGTAGTCAATGTATAAAGGTTACAAATACTGTAGTTATTTGAACATTACCATTTATGAAATGTTGTTGATTTTCTATTCCTGCTGCATTGAGATTTTTCATGAGACTCATCTTCACTTATCTAGAAAAATAATAATTGTAGTTGAAATTGGTTTCCGGCAAGATAAAAGATGTAAACGTGATTGAGTTACAAAAATACAATTGATTACTGATATACTACAAATGCACTGTCTAATGGAAAAGATTGAATAGTCACAGAATTGAATTTTATTTGTGGAATTTCATTTATCTAATAAAATAATTGATTTTCTCCTTTACAAAGTTTGTAGAAAATTGGATGAAAAGCTATTAATCAAGTTAAAATTACTAATTGCACTCAAAATTACTTAATTGCAAAATTTCTTAAATGCATTTGTTTTAATAAAAATATTTTAATGCTGATGATTTTAACACTTTTCTCAATTAATAATATTTACCTTGCTAACCGATGAATCATTGAATAGGTACCACTTATTAGTGTGCGATTTGATTTGAGCAACATAATGACCACTGCCATATCCTCCAATATGGTCACAGATGGCAAACAGCTCATAGTTCATGCATTTCTATAGGAAATCAAAACATAGGCTAAGAAATTGGATAGTATGTAATATTAGACTTAAAGATCCTGTCTTCAGGCTCTGGAACTCCATCCCTCAGTGCCTTCGCCTTGTTTCCTCCATTTCCTCCTTCAAGGCCGGTCTCAAGACCTTTCTCTTCAATTGTGCTCCCCTCTCGACTCTTTACCCCCTCCTCGCTCCCTCCCTTCCCTCCCCTCACCCTGACCATTTCTCCCCTGCTCGGGTCCCGACCCAACTGTCCAGCGCCTTGCGACGTCCTCCCGACGTGAAAGGCGCTCTATTAATGCAATCTTGTTGTTGTTGTTGTTCAGTCAGTTAAATAAATATTCCACGATAAGGTTCTACAATTCACAAGATCATAAGATAAACAAACAAAGATAAAGATAAGCAAGGAACAAAGTCTATCTGATCTCTCCCTTCTAAAAACCCATCCTGTAATCCTCTCATCACAATCTCAAACTTTTTTTTTAATGAGTCCAGACCTCAACCACCCTTCCTGAAATCATGTTCTACTCATTACTTACCCACTTTGATAAAGAAGTATTTCCTTGTATCTGTCTTGAAATTGCCCTTTCCAACTCTAAACCTATGTACTCCTGCTCTGCTGCCTCAGTGAATCGCGGCAGCCAGAACTGTCGATGAACTTTCCTTACTGACCATCAGCTCATGTGTCTACTCTATCAAGCTCTTGTTGTAAGACTACTTATGATGGATGCTACTTATCACTTCATAATACGTCTATTCTGCCTAGAGCATTTTGCTAGGGGAAAAACAGTTTAGTTCAGTGTCAGATTTTTATCTAACTAATTCCTCCAAAAACTGATGTCATGTGTTTGAAAAAAGTGAAAAGCTCCAAATACTGCAAGTCCGCAGAATCACTATTTTTAAAGAGAAAAATAGGTCAAATGTTTAGGGTCTGACTCTCCTCACAACGCTTCTGTGACTTTCTGCTGTGAGTCTATCCCGGCAAAGATGATTTCAATCAATGCAGAAAACTATGGAGATGTGGTAGCATCAATGAAACAATGCACTTTTCCAGTAAATGCCAACGCTGATCCTGTTGTCAGACCTCTCCGGCAATGTATGATCAGCACACATATATTAATGATGATAGTGACTGTTCTCATGTGTTATATGCACTGCAGCAACTCTTCATTTGTGTAATCTCCAAATCTGCCACTAACAGAAGGTCTTTCAGGTTCTCTCAACCCCACCTCCAACTTCTTCTACCAATCCCGCCAGATACAACATTCACCATCTATCTTTAGCGTCAGATGGGTCACATACTGTTATCTCTGAATGCACGGTATCTGAGGTGGGTCTTGCTGCTTGTGTGAGCGGCGGTGCCTCTGCCTGTGGTAATGGTCTTGGCAGAGGCTCACCATGCTGGTCACTGTCTGCAAACACAACCACAAACACAAGTTGCCAACAGGGTATGAATGTTGCCAGAAACATTAGCAACATTCATGCCCACTGCAGGGAGGCTGGGCCCATTCTAAAATGAATCCAATCACATTCTGTGAATCTCATTTGATCGCTGTCTTAGGTACGAGATTCTGGGGAAAAAATATCAGTTAACAGTTAATACATACCATTGCCACTACTGCTACCATTAAATTCAGTGCCTGTTTCACCATTCACTTCGCGAGTTTCATCTTGGCTTTCTTCACTCTGACAAGTTTTGAGCTTTTTTGATGGATGTTCCTCTGGATTGTCAATTAACCTACGTTTTGCTGAAGGAGTCCTTTCTGCTTCAGTGGTGACCTAAAAATAAATTCAACTCTGTAAATTATTTCTATAAATTACGGTCGCATTTTAATCTACTTCACTTAATCAGTGACATTTAGTGTTGTAATGCAATTTTTCCCAACATCATCAAACAAACATGTTGTATAGTTTTACAACTTGGAGGGTAAAGTACAACAATTTACATTGATATAGAACCTATCAACAACAACAGCTTGCATTTATACAGCATCCTTCACTCTGGGTAGTGTCTTGTGGTGTTTAACAGTGGTGGAGCCTGATCTAGCCACGGAGAGAGGGGAGACACAGTTGATAAGCAAGATTTCAGGCGTGATCTGAAGATGGGCAAATTGAGGATAGGCCAAAGGGAGTGAGTTCCAGGGCACCGGAGTTGAAGGCACGGTCTCTGATAGTATGGCAGACGGAATGAGGGATGTACAGGGAGATGGAGCCAGATGAGTGAATGGGTTGACCAGAAGATGTAAGTAGATCGGAGAGGTAGAGAGGTACCAGGGCATGAAGTCATTTGTCCATGAGTGTGAGAATCTCAAAATGGATCCATTCTGCAATAGTAATCTCAGGAAGAACATCTCAAAGCACAAAGAGAATTCCAGAGAGCGGGAGCACAGTGGCTGCAGGTTCATTTGATGATGGTGCTGAAGCATTAACTAATGCAGAGCACAGGAAGTAACTAGGAAAGTAGGATCACATGGAGGCACAATTGAAATTTTGCACTATCATTAAAAGCGTTTGAAACTGAAGATAAAATCTAGCAAACGTACCTGTGATGCCCGGGGCATCAAACACCATTGTACATTCTTAGTTTCCTCATTCTGTATGCAAGAAATGTAAAGTTGGTATTTTCTTATAAATATAACCTCTCCTTCATTCATCCACGTCATTATAAAAGATTTGTGACAACAAACTTAATTATTTTAAATGCAGTATTTTTACTCATTAGATCATATTAATGACTCTAAAATAGAGCTGGACTGCCTACTGCCTAATTCTGAACCACAATAAAAGAATGCTTTGGATATGTTTGTGGTTAATGTCACTTGCAATTGCCTAAATAGGAAATAGGCAGTAGTGTGCTATCATGCAAGGTAATGTACAGAAGAGGATTGTAGACTACGAATTAGATTGGTTAGACAGAAGAGGATTGTAGACTACGAATTAGATTGGTGATCACTATGGTCTGTGTGGTTTATTTGACTTTATGGTGCAAAACAATAAAGGTGTCAGGAGTGCGTGTGGCAGGGCAAGTATATGGGAAGAAATTGTAAATTTCTAAAAGAACTGTAATTTATGGAAGTCCATTAAGAGATAAGATGATGAAAACAAATCATTTCAACAATTTAGAAATAAAACTAAACATGTGTACCTTCATTTCTTCAAATTTTAAAGTCAGTGGGATCTTTATCTGATCGTCAAGCTTTACATAACCCATACGGCCATAGTCAAAGTCAAATCTTTTCAGTTGCAGAATCAGTATCTGTGGCAAGCATTCAAAGTAATACATCTGTAAAGAAAACAATTGCTTTGTCAGTATATCTGTGCTCTTCATATTGTTTTTCTGACATTTCTAAAATAGAACTTGCTGTTACATTTACAATTTGTGATCTAATTACAATTGTGCTTCTTGCATGTACCACAACAACTTGCACTTATATTGTGCCCTTCACGTGGTTAGCATCTCGGAGCACTTTGACACAACAGTGAGCAACACCTAAACCAGTGTTGTGTGTGGAATTTCACGCTGTCCTAACTGAATGTATAGAAAAATGCACAATAAATGCTTTCCATTAAAGTAATTGAAAGTGAGCTCACTGTCTTTGTCTTGGTCTTTCCGTCACATTTTTCACAGTAGCACATATTGTCATCATCCAAGATTTCAGATTTCAAAAAATCTTGAAAAGATTCCATCTGGAAATCAACAGCAGAGAATGTGGAAAACATTTTAAGATTTATGATGTTCATTAATGAAGACATCTTTAAAACAAATGGATAATGGTCATTCCATTTAAGCAAATAATATTTTTACTGACTCCTATTATGATTGTTTTATTCCAAGTTTCTTCCCAACTGCCATTTTAACAGCATTGTGGTACCATAATTCTATCACCATTTTCATTTTACTGAAATAAACAAAATGAAATGATCTTTTTCATTGGGTTAAGAGATCATTTCCAGAGTTCATATTCAATACAAATAAAGTAAAGGATAGCTAGGGTTGTAAAAACTAGAGAAGTAAAGGAGAAGAGAATTGAAGGTGTGCACCTTAACTGTAAGGGCTTTGGCTGGAAGAGAGCAGTGAATTGAATAACTTATTGCATACTACACAACTGGGTAAAAATCTAGACAGTCTACACCAAAAGCCAGAAGATTACAATATAGTGTGGATCCCTAAACCTACCTACACTATAAATTCACTTGTGCTATAATTAGGCATGTTATAACTGGGTTGCACTGAATTATAAGCTTTAAAAACCCAAACATACATATTTTTAGGCACAGGGGACAGTAATTTACTATTTGGAAATATACACTGTGGACCTGGTTGGAATCACATTCAAAAGCCTTTATAAGGACTAAAAAGCTTTATTGGCTTGCTACTTACCACATCCTTGAAAATGATAGAATCAAAAGAGCGAATAGGCAAAGGAATATCTAAAAGAATACTTTTTTCTTTGTATTCACTTTCGCATTCCAAGCATGTCAGTGAATTTATCATTTCACTCTGGTAGATCTGTAGAAAAATATTAATCATACTTGTGACTAAGTGCTTTCCACATCAATATACCTGGCAAAGATGAATATAAAAGCATGTGGATCCTCAATATCACTGGTACATTCGTATTTATTTAATAGGGCTCATCTGAAACTATATTTACCTGCAATATTTTTTGGGATTCCTCACTTTCTTCAGCAACTTTGTTCATTAAGATTCGGAAGTATTCTTCTATATCTTGTTGATCATCTTAAAATTAAACAATTGTCTATTTTTATTATGAACAGTCAAATATTATGGTAGATAAAGGAACATTTGTGTGATGAGTTATTTATTGCAGTCACAGTAACAATGGAGTATTGGTGTAAACGTACAACACCAAAAATGTGTACATTGCTCTTGCTGGAAACACTGTAAAACTCATATAAGTCTTATCTTTATAATTGCCTAAGTCATACATAATAATAGTATTCCTTGCATTTGATATAGAGCCTTATTATGTCTTCGAGACATTTCAAAGCGCTTCACAGGATATATTGTAAAGTGAATTGACTGTATATTTTGTGAGCGAAATGTGGATTGGTTGACCACTTTATTCACTCGAGTCTCATTCAGTTTCCTACCAAACCACTTGGAGTTCTTTGCACTAGTCGTATTTATTACCTCCTAATTCAAAACCCCGTTCCATACCTGCACTTACCAGCTGCATTGAATCACGGGAAATGACATCTTAACCCATTGATGCTGTGCACTTACCGGCTGCACTGAATTACACATGGTAGATTATTGATGAAATCGATTTTATACTATTTTTATAGTTTGCCTGCAACTCAGATTGTGCACGAGTCATATTACATGTTATGGTCGCGACTGATATGACTTATGTGAGTTTTACTGAATATCATTTGAAGCGTAATTTCCACAATAAACTTAAACATTTCTTGACATGTCCTGCATCTTGTTTCTTACTAGTTTGTTCGTGTGTCAATAAAGTTCTGATAATCCCATCTGTGTTCACAGGTATTATTTTGCGATCCAGTTCTTCAAAAAGCTTTTTAAGTTGGTAGCAAATGCTCTTGTCTTTATCCTTTGCCACAGGAAAGCTACAAAAAAAGAACAATATATTCAGCAATATCAGTCATTTGTTCTAAAATGTGGTGAATGATATCACATCTACTGGAAACCCAATTTTCAACCATAGGCATTTTAGCCCTTTTGGTGGCTAATCATAATTGGCAGATAATTAATTTTTGATGCATTGCTCTCACTCTCTCTCTCTCTCACCCAAATACCAAAACAATAACACAATATCACTTCCCAAATAGCTTTCATGCATTTTTTTTAAACATCGGAGAGAGAACGAATGTTGATGAACTAATGTGAGCTTCCCAGCCCTTCCTTTCACACCAATTCCTTGAACCAACACTACAGAGTGTAGTTATTTGGTGTGGCAGGAGGAGAGTTGAAATAATTGTGGAAGGTGGAGAGCGGGGAAGGGGGGGAAGGAAAGTGACCAAAGGCACGGTCGACGAGGAGGATCTTGAGACGGGTCCTAAGGAGCAAAGGGAGGGGTCAAGTTAGAGGGATTGCGGGATGGAGTTCGAGGGTTGGGCAGAATGGCTGAAGCCCTGAACGCCAATGGTGATACACACAAGTCATACATATTTATCAGGTGTTCTAATTGCACAAACCAATTTATATTTTGCCGAACTTCAGGAGTCATGTAGAGAGTTTGCAGTATTGTGTTCAAGTAGCATGTGGCTCCTCGGTTAACTAGTCCAACAAATTCTAAACAAAAATCAAAAGGTTTTAAAACTTAATACATTGATCTATTTAAACCTTTGAACTAACTGAAGGTGCACAGAAATTCTAGTTTCTATGGCCTGCTCACTTTATTTTATTTTCAAAACATATATTACTGAGATAAATATTAATATTACAAGAGTAAAGTCTGTTAATTATAATATAATTATAATTACAGTATTTCATAATCAGTAGAAAACATAATAATACTTGCATTTGATATAGCGCCTTATCGTGTATTTGAGACGTCTCAAAGTGCTTCACAGAATATACCGTAATGTAAATTGACTGTATATTTTGTGGGCGAAACGTAACAGCCAATTACGCACAGCAGTGTCCCACAAACAGTCGTGGATTCAGTGACCAAATTATTATTATTATTTTAAATTGAAGGGATTATGACAGCTTGGCTCTTACCTTCCTTGATTCCATGACATTGTTTCGATTTTTGTTTTGCCATTTTTTAAATTCCTTTTGTCTTTTAATTCTCTTCTGAATCTAAAAACAAAAGATGCCTTGTTTATCAGGGAATTGCTTATTTTCTATCATTTATCAATTTACCATCCATGATTTTTTACTTTCTCTTTAGAAACTGAACTGAGTCCTGTAGTTGCAGATCACTTGAACAATTCTTGAATTTGGATCCTTCTTCAGATTCTAAGAGCACAACAGCCGCAAACTTAATCTTTGCACCAGATAATTTATTCTCTAGTTTGCTTTTCACTTCCTCATGGTGTTTAAAATAAGCAAATGAACAGTTTCAGTTTCAGTTTTAAACGATCATGAAAAATAGCTGTAGGATGAATTATTAACTGAAGTAACTTGAAAGTGTCAGTTGTATATTTGGGATAAACTAAATGGTTTAGGTGGGGAAGTGCTTGTAATCACTTGGAAGACCACAATTTCCAAAAACAGTACCTCAATATCTTCTCATATCTTGTCTATTTTATTTCTAAGTATTTTATTTCTGCTTAACCCACCATTGAGGTATGATGACACAATTGGTCTGCAATTCTGTGTCTTAACCGTCCTGCCCTTTGGAAGGGTGAAACATGTACCGCTTTCCAGTCCAATATTTTGTTTCTGCTGAACAAATATTTTGTTTTTCTTCTGTTTCTACGGAGGAAAGTGAAAGTTGAATTGAAGGAGAACCAGCAGATAATATGGATCAGCATTTACAGGAGCTAAATAATAATACAAATTGTTGTATTGATCTAGAGTCTAAAATGTCCAAACATCTAACATAACATAACATGTAGGAGCAGGAGTAGGCCATTCAGCCCTTCGAGCCTGCCCCGCCATTCAATCATGGCTGATCTTCTAATCTAACTCCAGCTAATAACCTAACCCTGCCTTATCCCCATATCCCTTAATCCCCTTTGCAATAAGAAATATATTGATCTCAGTCTTGAATATGTTCAAGGACTGAGCGTCAACAGCCCTTTGGGATAGCGAGTTCCATACATTCACCACTCTTTGAGTGAAGAAGTTCTTCCTCAACTCAGTGCGAAAGGGCTGCCTCTGATTTTAAGGTTGTGACCCCTGGTTTTAGTTTCTCCAACCGGGGGAAACAATCTCCCACTATCTACTCTATCATGCCCTTTGATGATCTTGTAGGTTTCTATAAGATCCCCTCTAATTCTTCTATTTTCTAGAGAATATAGGCCCAAATTGGTCAGCCTATCCTCATAACTCATCCCCTTCATCCCTGGTACTAACCTAGTACTACGCTGCACCCCCTCCAAGGGAAGTACATCCTTTCTTAAGTAAGGAGACCAAAACTGCACACAGTATTCCAGGTGTGGTCTCACCAGGACCCCATACAGTTGCAGCAAGACTTCCCTACTCTTATACTCTAATACTCAAAGCACTTCACAGGTAATTACTAAATATTACAAGGAAAACAATATGAAACGAGTCAGTAGGACTTAAAGTTAAAACCAAAGTTACCAGGCATGATTAGTATACACTCCTAGTATACATTGAAGGAGTTTGGGGAGGAAATGATAAATACATTGGCTACAATCTTCCAGAACTTTTTGCCATCCTTGGAAACAGGAGAATGGCATCTTGTTCACAATGCAAGAAAAAAAATCCAGAAAATGGTGGCCTAATTAATACTATCTTGGTTTTAGAAGCCAAAATCCAGGGAAGTCAAATCAATTTTATTCATTCTTATATTATTTGTTTTGAAAATGTCTAAAAAATAAGTGTCCTTTTATTTTTTACAATGAAGACTAGATATTGTCCTTAGCGTAGTGATTAGCGAGCTCGCCTTGTGATCTGGGTTTGATTCCCGGGAGGGTGGAAACCTGAGGTAAGTTTCCTTACGCCTCATGCTTCTGTTTACCTAGCAATAACCCAGTTGTTCCGATTGGCTTTTCCAGGGGTAATAATGCCTCAAAAAAAACATTTGGTCATTCAATCCACGACTATTTGTCTGACACTGCACCACTGGCTGCCACGTTTCACCCACAAAATACACATTCATTTCACTTTACACTATATTATGTGAAGTGCTTTGAGACGTCTCAACAATGTAATAAGGCACTATAATAATAATTGTAATAATAATAATCCTTGGATTTAATGTAGCGCCTTTACATGTCTTTGAAGCGTCTCAAAGCACTGTCACAGAATATACTGTAAAGTGAATTGACTATATTTTGTGGGTGAAATGCGGCAGCCAATTTCCACAAACAGTTGTGGATTGAGTGACCAATTTTTACATTGTTTAAAGGAAATGTTACCCAAGAAAAGCGATCCATCAATCGACTAACAACCAGGTTCCTACTTACTGCTAGGTAAACAGAGGCGTGTGGAATAAGGAAACTTGCCCAGTGTTTCGCCCAAATCTCTCACTAGCGAGGCGAGTGCTCTAACCACTGAGTTACAGGACTCCGAAATTTAAGGATTATTATTATTATTATCTGGAATGCAATACCTGAAAGGGTAGTGGAAGCAGGTTCAGTAATAATTTTCAAAAGGAATTGGATATTTACTCGAAAAGAAAAAAATTAAAAGGCTATGGGGAAAGAGGGGGGAGTGAGATGAATTGGATAGCTCTTTCAAAGAGGCAGCATAGACATGATGGGTTAACTGCCTCCTTCTGTGCTGTAGTATTCTATGATTCCACAATTCTATTATTAATAAATGATTGGCGTGATATAAGCTCTTGGATGAAACTATGGCGGTCTAAACATATCAAAAATCTATTCAAGCGTTTTTTCTCCAAGTGTCACTGAAACGCTTCTTCCTATGTCTTCAATGAAGGTGTGGCGATTCTCTTTAACAAGTGCATGATCGCCATCTCCTGACAGTCTATGAGAATTAGATTTTACAAGCAACAATTCCTCTTTATACACTATTTTACTGCATCATTTCCTCAACAATCTGCAGACTAATATTTTGAACAGTTTAAAAAGCTCACCCACTTTGCTAGACATCTTACAAAATAATTTTCTGTCTTCTCCATCGCACTGCACGGTTGGGATAATATTCTTGAGATGTCCTGTTACATTACATCCCAAATTGACTGTGGGAAGTCATATGACTTAGAGTAAACCCTCAGCTCCTGGTATTCAAAATTCATATGTAGTTGGACTGAGCCCAAAATCTAAACATGTTCATAAAAATTCTGTGAGCCCCAAATTTCCACAGGCCTGCATTTAGACTCCCGCCAGCCCACAATCTGAATTTGCTTATGGAGTTTAAAGTAAGCAGATAAACAGTCTCAGTTTGAAACGATCATGCAAAAAGGCTGTAGGGCGAATTATTATTGACTGAAGGAGCTTGAAAAGGGCAGGTGTATATTTGGGGTAAGCAAAATGGTGTGGAGGTGCTTTTAGTCACTCGGAAGACATCAATTTTAACTGATGTTAAAGATTTTACATTAGAATACATTAGAATATACAGCACAAAAACAGGCCATTCGGCCCAACTGGTCTATGCCGGTGTTTATGCTCCACATGAGCCTCCTCCTGCCCTTCCTCAACTAAGCCTTCAAGCATAACCTTCTATTCCTTTCTCCCTCATGTACCTACCTAGTTTTCCCTTAAATACATCTAATGAACCCCAATGCCTGGTTTGCTTTTTTTATGGCCTTATTAACCTGCGTTGCTACTTTTAGTGAATTGTGTATGTGTACCCCAGGTCCCTTTGCTCCTCTACTCCATTTAGGTTTTTATTTTCCAGGATGTATGTGACTTCCTTATTCCTTCTACCAAAATGTACCACCTCACACTTTTCTACATTGAAATGCATTTGCCATTTAAATGCCCATTTAGCAAGTTTATTAATGTCTTGCTGTAATTTGTTGCAGTCCTGGTGTACGTATCCTGCACGCTGAGTACTGTCAGACGTGTAGAACGTGTTTCCAACCGACACACACACNAAAAAAATTGCTCAAAATCGCATGCCGATTGGTTTGATTTAATTTCCATGACAAGCATTCATTCATATGTGAAACCAAGCAAAAATGGGTTAGCACTCACTTTTGTAGGGTTACACCGCAATCATTGACACGCACAAGTTTTGCAAAAAACGTTCATTTCTATAGGGAGTGAGTTGCTGCAATCACAATATACCTATTATAGACTTTTTTTGGGGGTGGGGGGGAGGGAGGATGAAAGGATGTGGTTCATCAGCAATTTGCATTTTACAACAGTTGATGACCCTTTTTTAAAAATAAAGTGGCAGGTTTGAGGTCAGAATTTATTCTGTGCAAGGCTGAAGTTGGACAGGAATTGAAAGTTTCAAATCCATCCACGTTAAATCATGAGACCTGTTAACTCAGAGTAAAGAATAGTGGTCTTGTAATGACCAGTATTAGAAAATAAAATCAGCCAAATCTGTAAGGAAACAACGCTAATTCCTTTAACCAGATATCTGACTGTTTTATTATTATTCGTTCGTTATTCCCCAATATCTCGATGGGTCAGACCAAAGGCCGATACAATCAACAGATCTTATAACAGAATAACACCACTATAGATATCTCGAGTTCAAGAGTTCAACACTGTGTCTTTCCAGCACACAAGCTTGATTCTTCATGCTTTCAGTCTTCTTGCTTACAGCTTTCAATCTTCCATCTGATATCCTCAGTCTTAGTGTTTCCAGCACTCAGTCTTCCATCTCCGTACCCTTGTCTCCGCGACCCGGGATGGCCCCATCTCCCGTATCCTTGTCTCCGCGACGGCCCCGTACACAAAGTTAACGGAACTCTTATACCAATGTTCATCCAATCATGGTGCGGACATTAGATCACCCGGTCGAAATCATGCTGGGTTCACGTGAACACCTCATGGGGTGTACGTGCCTCAACACACATACACATTGTCCTTAAGACCCCTGTTATCTGATTTAATTATCTAAGATAGAGGATTGATCAGTTTAGGGCTGTATCTGGTGCTCATTATTTTGTGGTGTGGGATCATTAGTACATTCCTTTTAAGTGACTGGTTATTCCTTATCAGTATCCCAGGATGGTACCGAGGCCCTCTAGTTTAAGCAACTTGTTCATTAATTGCTATTCTTGAGGGTTGCCTTCTGTCGCTTGGCGGGCCCTGTCAGGATCTAGCGACTTATTGCTCAGTCGAGATCCTGTGTCGACTGGTACCTTGGACCGTTACCTCTGTGGCTTGTTGTTATTTACTGATAAGGTGACCCCCTGCCCGTTATTCTTTCAAAAACAGAGAAAACCAGATGAGTCCTATCCCATGACTGTCAGTCCAGTTGTCCCCCACATTTAACTTAAAAGTTAACCCATTCACAACATCTATTATGATTCTTGCAGTATACAAAAAGTGTATATTCTAACACCAGGATATCCTGATATTTAAGTAAACTCTTCAACTTAACTTTAGGTAGAGCAGGAGGGAAGCTTTTGACCACAGATCATAAATGTCAAAAACTAAAAGAAATGAACAAAATGATTTTCACAGGAAATGTGTTCTTATTTGCAACAGTTGGACAGAGGAGACAATGCGTCTGTCAAATACCACACATCACATAGCTTTCTAATAATGATACCGAGCGATTCCCTTAACATCTGTCACATGAATAAGAAACGTACTTAAATTTTAACAGATGCAAACCACCAAGATCTTCAGAGGGAGTGGCCTGTGCTGAAGACAGTTATGAATAAGGAAGTCTTATAGTTACTTTGTCAGTTACCAGTAGGCTGGAAAAATGAATCAAACTGAATGCCTTGGGTCTATGAATCAAACAGGTAATGGCCATGGACATTCAAAATACCTATTGTTAAATGTTTGCTTATTTGCTTGTTACAAGAAATGTTTCATGTTTACTCTTTGTTTTTTTTCTCTTTTAGAAATACTTCATTTTGTGTATTTATTCCAAATCATAGTCTATGTGCCAATATTTATTGTGGGATTAATTCTCAATTCAGTCGTGTTGTGGGTGTTGGCTTTCAAAATAAGAAAACTGACGGAATCTACCATCTACATGACCAACCTGATTGTGGCAGATTTCTTTCTGCTCGTCACCATTCCTTTCAAAATATATGCCTACATGGATAAAGTGACAATGAATACATGGGGCTGTAGATTTTTGGAATCGTTGTATTTTGTGAACATCCACGCAAGTATCCTGATCACAACAGCAGTCTGTGTGGATCGTTACATTGCAATAAAGCGTATTTTTGATACCAAAAAACTCAGGTCTCAAAAGAAAGCTGCCATCACCTGTGGTGCCATCTGGATTACTGTCTGGCTAGCAACTCTACACATTTACCTTAACAGTGGATACGACAAATGCGATAGAAACGTCACATGTTTTCATAACGTTCCAGACAAATTTTGGAATTTAGGAATAATTGTCCCTGTGGAAGTAATATTTCTAATCTGTACGGCCATCGTGAGTTTCTGCTCCCTCCAGATTATCAGAACTTTACAAAGTAGCCTCACAGAGTCTGAGACCAAATTGAAGAAGAAAGCGATTAAGATTGTACTTTCATCTCTGGTAGTCTTTCTCATCTGTTTTATTCCTCATCATATAAGCGTGTTACTGTTCACTTTGAATGTAAATAACTTGATGGAACAGTACTCCAGGGAGGATTTGGGTGCCATTTTGCAAATCAGTCTATGTGTGGCAAATGTAAACTGTTGTCTGGATGCAGTCTATTACTATTTTGCCATTAAAGAAATGCAAAAGCAGAACGAGAGAGGGGAGGAAAGCCTAACTGTATGCACCAAGCTGCAGGGGACCATTGGGGCAGCAGTGGATTGCCCTGACATTCAGTTAAATTAGTTCACAGCCAAATGTCACTTTCTTTATCAAAAGTTTCCTCTCTGGGGAATAGTTAAGGGGGAATCTCCCGGAAGCTGAACTGGCTCCAAGGTGACATGCTCAGACAGCCCTCTGTGGCGGTCTCTAGTCCAATTCCTGAGCCGGTCGGACCACAGTATTCCAGAGCACTGCGGATGACAGCACAGCAACCCTGGCTCATGGGCATGATCTGGAAGGGCAGACTAGTCACTAGCTCCTGTTAACCCTGAAAGCCACAGCCCTAATGGGTATTGTGGTCCTGTCCATCGGGAAAGTTTGCTGGAGAGCAATATCAATGGCAAGCTATGTGGTTTTAGCTGGTTAGACTGCAGCAGTATCGCAAAGCACACTCTGGGGTCCCCAAGCTTTGGCTTTTGTCAACCTGCTCCTAATACTTTCTGGAATTAGGTAGGCAGGAGGCGTCCCTCTAGGGAGAGAGTGTGCAATCCATTCCATCAATCTATCTCTGGGATTTCCATGTGTAGGTGGATGCATGGAATTTTCAGTTTGGTTTGGATACTATTAAACACGGTGTTGGGTTTCCCCACGTTTCAGACACTTGGCTGACCAAAAGAAAAATCAAAGGTATTGACTTATATTTAATTCTGTCTAAAATAGACCTAGCCACTGATGTCTAAGCTATTATTGTACTATTGCAGAAAAATGGAAATGTACTTGGAACATCACTTTAGTGGAACTGATGTTGTTTAAAAGAAAAGCTTTGCAAATTACTGTAAAGAACGAAATATATGTTTTTTTTCAGATTTCCAGCATCTGTAGTATTTTGCATTTCAAATATATGTTTATCTTGCCCAGGGTACAAGTGATTTTTCTCAGAGCAATAAAGCTTTGAACAATTATTGTATGTATTAAACTGCAATGCTAGATGGGTCTGCTAATAACAGATTAGTAAATTTAGCTTATCCACAGGACATTTTTAAAACAAATTTTAAATGCAAAAGAGTCTTTTAAAGTTCAAAACTTTGCTGGGCTTTTTCTTTTAAGAAACACACTTCTGCAATATAATATTATCAGATGTGATTTATCTGTATAGATTAGTGAAACCCTAAATTTAGATAAATTAAAAGTGACTCCAGTTTGTACTGCATTATTTTATGCAGAAACCATTATAAAGTTAATTAAACATGGAAAACTTAGCGTAGTTCTGATATTTGACCTAATAATCAATAATCAATATTGAGATAAATAACATAGCACTCGGATAACTGTTCATTGGAAAACATGTCCATTGACATATAGTGTTCATTGACAAATGTCCAATTTAGATACGTTTTGCCCACAAACTACAGTCAATTCACTGCGCAGTATATTCTGTGAAGTGCTTTGAGACGTCTCGAAGACATGATAAGGAGCTATATCAAATGCAAGGATTATTATTATTAAGTTCTATTATTTTTTTGAAAAAATTACAATGATAAGTATATGCTGGGAATTCTCTATTCGCAAATCTGATACTGATGTAACACATTCTGAAAATTAACCCAAATTGGGTCATTTTATTAAGATGTCAAAAAAAGTTGCTGTACATCGTAAAATCAACCACATTTCAAAAAGCTTCCGATTTAAATTAGGGAAATGTTAGTACAGTGGTACCAAAAATGTTTTGGTATTATTTTCCTCTGTTCCTCTGTATTTTGTTCATTAAAAGAGTATTTCTCAACCTATTGCAACAGTTAACTTCTACAAGCACAGTAGCACGTAAATGGAACTATAATAGGAAGCCACACAGGTAATTCACTTCAGTTCAAGTTCAGAGCACGCACTTCTTTTAAGATGTTTTGCAGTTTGCACTAATTAAAACAGTGATAATTAAAATAAGGAAACTCAATTGTCTCCAGTTTATCACCCAGAGCTTTTCTCTTTTTTTTTTACACACACGTTCTTTGTTGTACCATCTTTTGCTCAGGATATGGATTTTATGGTCTCCTCGTTGGTGTGGAAAAACCAAATTAAAAAAGAAGTTGTAAAATCAACCAGATTTCAAAAAACTGCCTATTTAATTTATGAAGATATTAGTGTAGTGGTATCCAAACTTTGGGGTATTATTTTCCTCTGTTTCTCAGTATTTTGTTCATTGAAATGGAGGCATACTCAATATTGCTCAGTCTATTGCAACAATTAAATTCTATGAGCCCAGTTTGGGTAATTTGCATGTTTGACAGAAGTGTTTTCGATGTCTTGAGTGACCAAATAAAACTTTGCATTGTTTGTAGCATACACATGAATCCATGTAAGACTTCGAAGCTGTGGGTGCCATCTCATGGTCGATCGGAAAATCCTGACCCTATTTAAGTCCCAGGAAAACTTGGTAAAGCGTTAACATCATGACATTCGGCACCCAATAAGTTAAACTCAAATCCATATGTAAAAGAGTAAAACATATTGGGGGTAATATAGTGCCTAAATATATAGAAAATCATCAGGAAAATATTATGTAAAATCCCCTAAAGAACTCGCACAGTCTGGTGGGTGACGTGCCATTTGTATAATTTGAGAAAGAAAACCGTTGTAACAAAGTTTTATACAAGAGAAACACAACAATAAGATATTCTTAATACTTGTATTTGTGTCAAAAACCGGGCCAGAGAAGGACTGGAATCAGGTATAGAAAGTCACTTACTGTTACAGTTCATGTCACACCACTAATAACAATCTACCTCTGGGATTTCCATGTGTAGATGGGATGCATGGAAATTTCAGCTTGGTTTGGTTCATCTTAAGCACGGTGATGTGTCATACACTCAGCTGACCAAAAAAAAACATTAGTAAAACTGCTGTGCTGATCAAAAGGCCAATTCTATCACCTTACCAAGTAAATGAACATAAAGAACTGAAGCGTTGGCCCTGTTGGAAGCAATAAAGCTCACAGAGGCAGGAGAAAAACAATCATAGTGACAGATTCATTCATATTTTGAGCCAAAACAGCTGCGTAGAGTTATGGAAAGTACGGTAACTCAGGCAGGTAGGCAGGCCAGACATTCAAGCGAAAGGACATCACTGAGGTATTTTGAGCAGCAGAACAATCGTGAGAATTCAGTCAATTATAATAATGCGATCCTTATTTTACAATAAAATTCTGATGAAAACCTTATTGATAGTGATTGTTTATTTGCAATGTCTACGGTAAGCTATTGAAAAACCAACATGGATCCATTACAGCACAGGGAGGTGAAATCTCCAAACAAGTTTGATTCACCGTAGGGATAAAGCCAGAAAATGGAGAACACCACAAGAGGGCATCATCATACCTTCCCGTAGGGAAGTAGAGGGATAAGTGTATACCACTACCAACCCGGCAAAGTTCACAACTTCACAAAAGAGGTTCATATGAAGAAGACCCTACCGTCCACATTCATTGATTACAAAATTAAACGCTTTCTTAAATGAGTCCTGAAAAACCTTCTAGCCAACCAGTTCCAGGACTTAATTATCCTCTGTCTATATAATTAATATTTCCTGTCAATCACCTTGATGTTCCTTTACAATCCTAAACCTGTACTCTTCTGTTCTGCTGCATTCGGGTATCTGAAATAAGGAACATTAAGATAAAAGCCTGAGTAATTTCCAGTGCCTATTTTTGTGTCCAAAAGAGGAGGAAACCAAATCAATGGGAAAAAGTGACACCACAAAGTCGACAGTTAGATCTTCTTTAACCAGAATAACAAAGAATACTTGGGGTTCCCCCATATGACAAACAGAAGATGCTAATGATAAACTGTACTCCACAATGATGCAAAACCGAGTAGATATAGATGTTCACAACCACTGCCAAAGATAATGCAATAATAATAATCCTTGCAATTGATATAGCACTTTTCATGTTTCTAGACGTCTCAAAGCGCTTCACAGAATATACTGTAAAGTGAATTGATTGTATATTTGTGGGCAAAATGCGGCAGCCAAATTGCGCACAGAAGTGTCCCACAAATAGTCGTGGAGTGAAGTGGCAATTTATTATTGTTTTTTTTTCTTGAGGGATTATTATTATGCCTTTATACAAGTGATGAATTACTTTTGCCCACAAATATACAGTCAATTCACTTTATTGTATATTCTGGGAAGCGCCTTGAGATGTCTAGAAGACGTGAAAAGTGCTATATCAAATACAACAATTAATATTTTTTAAATTATGGTTGAATTAAAACTTAAAGTGAGCAGGTCACATGGACAGAGTTAGAAAGAAGGACTGAAACTTCAGGGACACAAAGTCAGGTGGTTTAGTCAGGCTAGATAAGGTGGAATAGGAGGAGTATTGTTCTTTTGCAGAAGATACTACCAGCTGGTACAAGGAGAAACAACTTGAAGGTAGGGAAAGAATACCTGGGAAAAGTGAGAAAGAAGTCTTGGGAAAAAGAGTTAGAACACGGATGGTTGGTGAAAAGGGGTATAAAAATCAATAGACAATAGTAGAAAAAAACAATCTTGAGAGAAGAGCCTCAGGAAGTGCCTCGAGAGGAGACTTGGAAGAGCCTCGGTGGCAGTCTCTGGAGAGTCTCTGAGGAGCCTCTGTGGAACCTCTGAGGAGGAAGGGAACGAACCTCTACGGAGAGGAAGAAGAGTGCCTTTGAGGGAAAGAGGACAAGTCCAGTTCTCACCGGAGTGGACCGCAAAGAGAACAAGTTCAGCCCTTGCCGGAGTGGACCAGCAAACGATGTTTGCAGGGAGAAGCAGCCAGAAGCACTCCAGAGACCGTGTTTAACTTTTGTGCCAGCCTTAGAACTTCGTTACGATTTCCTGCCTGCTTGGTAATATCTCTCCTACTTACTAAAACACGCACCCAACATACATACAAAACAGTTAAGAGATTATTTAGGCACATTTCATATATCACTTAATTTTTTTATACATGTTTAAAATTTTAGTATTGAGTGTATTTTGTTAAGATAGTGCTTTAGTAGTCATTTAAGAGGGACAAGTAATGATAATGTGTCGGGTGTAATGTGATGTTTATGCGGTTTTATAATTGCTAATAGAACATCTTAATAATATCCTTGGTGTGGTTTCTGACAAACGCTTGATCCCAATTTCACACAATATCTTAAAAGAAGCTTTGTCTTCACCTTCTGACACTAATCATTGCAAACAATAGTTAGTAAAGAATCCTCACTAGTTTCTGTTTTTGAAGGTCATCGTCTAAAAAGTCAAGTGACTATGAAATCCTTTTGCTTTTTCTGCACACACAGGATGTCTGGGGGGTTATTTTGGGTCATAAGGTGTCTGACGGCTGTGGAAACTTTGCATAAATCTTGCGGGTATCAAAATGAAACGTGGAGTGTTTTCACATTTCCATGACATTTGCATGAACATTTTTGTATCTGGAATGGAATGACTATTCTCTCACCGGAGTGATACACACTGCTTACCTAATTCCGAGGAGGTTTTGGTGCTAGTTGACGAGACTCAAGGCTTGCAGACCCTGGAGTGTGTGTTGAGGTACAAGCTTCAGTTACATCAACTGAAACAGTTTACCGTTGAGAGTACGTTCTACAAGTTTGTGGTGAACGCTATCTACAAGTTTCAGACAGAGCGGCTGGGAAAGTTCACACCACAATGGCTGCTGGTTAGTGGAATTGTAGCTCTTTGTTATGTTGAAAATATACAGTTGTAGTTTTAAATGCAAGTTCTCATGAAGTGATCATGCAGTAGACTCCTGATAACTCGTCACTCCAAAGGAAAAGGGCTCAGTGAGGAGTGGCATTTTAGGCATATGTATTGATTCATAAATAAATGCAGTGGATATTGACAGCATGATGACTTAAATATTAGTGACAAGTTAAGACAGGGTCAAGCTATCAGGAGCTTACTGTATATATAAAGGAACTGAGAGTGGAAGAAAATAAGACAGACAGAATAGTTACTGTTCTATTTTAAAATATGACATAATGACCGATTTCTATTTTGTTTCAGCAGAAATGGGGAATTCAACGAACACGAGCCTGGGTGTGAATATATTTCAGCTTGTAGTATGTACACCAACATTTGTTCTTGGTTTGATAATCAATTTGGTCGCATTGTGGATTTTGTGTTTTAAAGTAATGAAATGCACGGAACCCATGATCTACATGGCCAACCTGATCATTTCGGATGTCTTTCTGCTTTTCTCACTGCCTTTTAAAATGGATGGCTTGTGGAATAAAGACCAATGGACTTTGGGCGGCCCATTCTGCAAGTTTGTTGAATCCCTGTATTTCGTGAACACTTACGGATCTATTTTATTGATAACATTTATAGCAATCGATCGCTACATAGCATTAAAGCAACCTTTTATGGCAAGGACCTGCAGATCCCCAAGGAAAGCTGCAATAATCTGCATTGCCCTTTGGACCTTTGTGTGGTCAGCCAGCATCCCAAATTACTTCGTTAATATGGATACGAATAACTGTTTTATTCATTTTGATGAGTTTTGGGAACGGGGTGTAATTCCCATGACCATGGAAGCAATATTTGTAATATGCACAGTTACTATGACGTTTTGTTCAATCCAAGCAATCAGAACACTGAGAAAAAGTATTTCCGCAGTGGATGGCAATGCAAACAGAATTATACCAGTGAGGATTATCTTTTCAAACTGGATAATTTACATTCTCTGTTTTGCACCTTATCACATTGCCATGCTGCTGTACTTCTTACTAAAACAACAGCTGATTTCACAAGACTACTTGATAACTCTACGCAGCATTCTTCAAATTTGTCAGTGTTTGAGTAACATCAACTGCTGCCTCGATGCGATCTACTATTATTTGGCCATTAAGGAGTTCATGAAACCAAAGCTTAAGAGCACAGAGGAAACATGTTCCACACATATCAGCCAACTTCCAAAATGCCTCTATGTACTATCCGCTAAATTGAACAGAAAATAATGGATATTGGAGTGACGACGAAAAAGTAATCGTATTGAGGGGTTTGAATGATTTAAACTAAACAACTGCTTCTATGTTGCTGCACTTGATTTTCAATGCCTGTGGAATATTGCATTGCGAGAGCTGGATAAACTCATTTTGGTGGAGCTCAACTGATCCATGATATTGATGTTATATCATGTTTTGTGTTTGTGGAGGGCTAAACTGAAGAACATTTGATCTGTCTGGTCTAATAATGAAACAGTGTTTAAGTGGCCAGTCTCTGGATTGTCACCTTATTATCCTCTAAAGCTCGTTATGCACCTAATTTGTGAGATGTGTGCTCCAGTAATGAAGGGCGGATGCAGTTTAGGACCTAAGAGTTCAAACACAAAGTAATTAAAAACAGGCAAAAAAAGAGTTCAATAGATATTAAAGGCAAAAAAGGCACAAACATTGTAAAATATTTCAATAGTATGACATTAACATCACAGTGATAAATGCTAATTTCTAATATCCAAATAGTAATATAAGATTCCTGAGCATCACGTTTTGTGGAATTTTAAAAACACGGCGACAGAACACAGCGAATACAGAATTCTCTGGAGATACTGAGACTAACATCCAGTTTATGCTGTGCTTTTTGTTACGAAGCCCCCATTATAAAGCAGAGTGGTTTTGGAGCCTGTCTGCTGCTGAAACTACCTTGATTTCTGGAGCACCTCCATGGCAATTACAATGTGCTATCAACGCATGCGGCTGACACGAGTACATTCAGGCGTCACTGAGAAATAATCGGTGAAAAGGTTTTGATATCACACAAAATTATTTTATCCTTTTATTTTAAGCTTATTTTTCAGGCGGCGCGACCGTTATTGCATGGAAAATAAACTGAGTGCGTGGCATACCACACAAGAACATCACAGAGTGAGTCATAAACAGCATCACAAAGTGGTTGATTTATGGAAAATTCCATCTCTTATCATTTACTGTACTCTACACAAGTAGCGTACAGTAAATGTAAGTCACTTTTTGTAAAGCAAAATGAAGTACACGCCACCACAGCAATGGTTTTATCATAAATATGAAGTGAAATCTGCATGGCTTACAAGAATTTAAACAACTTCCGCCTGATAACTTGGAATCAGGGATGATCAAACTATAGCAGGGTGACCACAACTCAAACAGGATTTGCCTGTGCTGTCAATTTCTATGATTCTATTAAAGTAGCTGTAAGGATGATGAGACTTTCACCCAAGTATTTCTTCTCTAATGCAAGATCTGATTACAGCTGCTTTATAAACGACAGTGTTTGCAACAGGGAACTTTAGTTCCATTTATTCGGGGCTCACGTAAATGTTCTTGAGTCAGGGGCTGTAATGGCAAATAATTGCTGCAATGGTCAGAGAAGTTGCTAAGAGTCTTACAGTGCCTGAGTCAATATCTTACTGAATATTTAAGATAAGTTCTGTCACCCATTTATCATTTCTAGTTGAAAAACTATTTATGTTTGGATAATTAATCCATTCAGCTAATTGGTTTTAGACAGTAGTCATATTTTGCTTCCTCACACATGGAATATCAGCAAATCATGTTTGCTTTGGACATACTAATGTCTCAAAACCCTCTTTTAAAGTTAAGTATTGCTTAAATGCTATATTGCTATCAGCGCCTTGGGACGTCCTCCCGACATGAAAGATGATATACAAATGTAATCTTGTTGTTGTTGCTGTTATTGCAATGCCTTTGTGTAAATTACTTGGTAAAAGCTCATTTTGCAATTATTTTGCAAATTGATATTTAACGTACTATATATTATGTTGTACAAGCTGTTGTACTACTGAGTGAATAAATATACCTTTGTGCTAATAATGGCTTCTGTCATTTAATAAATGATGCTGAAAAGATGTAATATTCACATTTATAGATATTATTTTATAAATAAGTATCACTGTTTATCACTGCATGGGGGGGTTTGAGGGGCGTGGGGGCAGGGAGTGCTCAGGTATTTGGATGGTGGTTGTAGATGTTTAGAGTGTTTGCCCATTACTGACATATCATGTTTCTGGCTCTGGGCTCCCCTTAAGTCTTATAACACACATAATAGCCCAGTGAAGTGGTCTCCACTGCAGTTCCTAACACTTTTCTCCAAAACAGTTTGCTCTGAGAGCAAAAGAGTAAAGGGACAGAGAATTAATTGAGGAAGAGCCGAGGTAAACGTCACAAACTAGTGCTGGTATTCTTGATGCCCTACTTTCAGACCTAAATTGGCACATTGGGCTTCATACAATGTACTACATTTAGAATAGCACCTACTTTTGGTTTTGTGGCTCCAAGCACATACACCAAGAGCAGCGTTTGAGAATTATCTGGCAGAACAGTGGTCACCCACGCACAGAAAGAATATCGTGTCTCTGATCATACGCTGTAGGATATGGGAAATTGCTCGCAACAAATGCGGTTACATTTTGTGATGTGTCATACATATTCAAAATAAAATGCATACTATGAAGAAGCACTATGAAACTCCATGCCTCGATCTTTCCATCTTGCCCACTCTCTGCCCATTGCAAATCACACCTGAAGATTTTCCTCTTTGACCGTGGCCTTCTGATATCTCCCCTCCCTTTCCAGCTTAACGTCAAACCACACTCAAGTACTTTGAGATGTTACTTGTGTAAAGGGCGCCATGCAAATCTGAGTTCTTGTTGCTGTGAAGTGCTACTATTATGAAGATGTCAATGTTTTTAAAAACACACTATCTTAGGCAACAATCAGTGGAAGAAATGAATGATTCAGCCAATTGCTCAATGATTTGTAACTTTTGGTTGTGCAATAGTGACCACTAGATTGCAACAGTTCGCTCAGTCATGGAGCACTGCATGATTGATAAGCGAAGGTGTACCTGAATACATCCAGAGAGAGGGCTGCCACAAAGCGAGCAGCATTGAACCAGAAATGACTGTTTTTCTCATTTCCCTCTTTCTATAAAGAAATGACGAGGCTCCATATGGCACCCTTACTCCAGTTACCCAACAGACGGGGAGGAAACATTGAGTACAGCTTCCCTCCACCGCCACACTGTAAATGACAAGGAGATCATTGACATTTGCTGAGTGTGGTTGCTGCGATGTTTCAGGGGTCAACAGCACTGTCATTCTAATCTTCCAGCAGTTTACAGTCTCGTTTACAGCAAATAGATTCAACTGATTCCTATCAAGTCGAAACATCAGGAAATATTTGGTGCACTTTAATTATAAAAAATTTTAAAAAAGAAATGCCTGACTGAAATTTCTAGGTTTTATTATAATAGCACTCTGCAAGTTCTTTCACATGAAATAACAGGGGAGGAGGTGGAATGTCAACTTAAAATTTTGATACCGTGACATGTAGTATTGTTTAGCTCCTATAATATTTTACATATCATGTAAAGTCATTTAAAATTGAGATTTTACAAGTATTTACATCATCATTTTCAAATGACTTGAGACTTAGAAACTGAGCTCTGCATTATTTTCTCTACAATGTGCTTGACTGGAAATGTACCGGTTCCCGTTATACTTCACAAAGAGACTGTATTTCAATCTAAACTCACTTCCCCAATGTTAAACCAAATATGCACCCCCAAATGCTTGCACGCTAACTTTCAGCGTGCTTTAATCATAACTTGATCAAGCCTTAAGGGGAAACAATATATACCTTTAAAAAAAATTAAGTTCTATTTTGCAAAGCAATTTTTCAATCAGCATAAAGTGAATGCAAACTGTTTCAAATAAGAAATTGTGGTTGCATCTTCTGAAACAGGCATGTAACTTTGCAACAAAATACATCCCTGCAGTTGAGACAAAACTACACACAGTCCATATTACTGTGCACAGTGAACATTTTGCTTTCTGGTTGAAAAAGAAATACTTAAAAAAAATTGTTTGGTTCCTCAAACCACGACTATTTATGGGACACTCCTGTTCGCAATTGACTGCTGCAGTTCACCCACAAAATGAAGTTAATTCACCTTTTTGTATATTCTGTGAAGCGCTTTGAAACAACAACAACTTGGATTTATATAGCGCCCTCCACGCCGGACGGTGTCTCAGAACACTTCAGAGTAACGGATCCCAGGGCCGAGCCAGTGGGAGGGGGAGGGGGAGGAAGGTGGCCAAAGGCGCGGTCGAAAGGAAAGATCTTCAGCAGAGACCTGAAACTAGTAAGAGGGAGAGGGTGAAGTGAAGGGAGTGAGGAAGGCAGTTCCAGAAACGTCTCAACGACATGATAAGGCGCTATATCAAATGCAAGGATTATTGTTATTTATAACCAGTCAAATATAATGCACCCATTTCTACAGTATAATAATTATACTAATTTTTTCTACATATTTGCCACATGCATCAACTTTTGAGTCAATTCTACACAAAATTCACACACGATTAAACTTGATTATGCCTGTAACTAAACTCTGCTGTGCATCTTTATTTTTGTGTAGTTGAAAGTTACATCCACCTATAAATGTGGTTGGTGTCAGCGAGGCTCAGTTGTTTGTATTCTTGCCTCAGAGTCAGAAGGTTGTGGGCATAAGACACATGTTGTGACTTTGATCCCCACAGTTCAAAGCCTGAAATTTCAGAGTGGCTCCATTATCTTCACAAAAGATATTCGACTCCAGGCCTGTCTGCCTATTCAAGTAGAGATTAAAGATCCCACAAGACTATTTGAAAAGAGAAGAGAGTTTCTCCTGGTGTCCTGGCCAACAATCCTCTGGAAAAAATTGGTCATTCACTTTATGGCTGTTCGTGGGACATTGCTGTGCGCAAATTGGTTACCGTATCTACCTACAAAATACAGTCATTACACTTCACAGTAAATCCTGCGATGCACTTTGAGATGTCCCTGAACATGAAAGGTGCTACAGCAAATGTAAGGAATATTATTTATTTTTAAGCTAAGTATCCATATGTATTTTATGGGTTCTCTGATCAACACGGTGTGTATATGGCTGAACGTGGCTGTAAACGTATGCACAGTAAGTAAGGGTCTGTGTCATACTTATGCAGTCTCACCTCAGGCAATCAGGCCGTGTTGCGCGCAAGAGCAAAGCAAAAAGAAAACTTGCAGCCTGTTTCTGGTTGATCCACTTTATTCTATATGAACATACTCATTCGCTGTTTTTTTTTGCCAGGTTTACAAACCTAGATTTACCAATTTTTCATTTTGGTTAAAATAGCAATTTCCTCTGTCCGTTCAACTGAAACTTTGCTGCTGAAAAATATACTCACAATTCAAATGTTCAACCAATTATCATGCAGAGTGGGGGCAGGGGGAGATTGTCATTTATTTGCTCATAAGCACAGTACTGCAAAAGCAACTGCCACAACATTAAAATGTTACAGTAACCATGTAGAAGCACTATAATGAAATAACTCTTGTACAGACTAAACACAGGAAACACCAAGAATGCCAAAAACTAGTGCAATGTTGCCTTTGAGTTGTAATAATAATCACAAGCAATTGTGACTCGCTCATCGCAGGAACTGTATCACCTCATTCTTGTTCACAGATGAACGTTTCTGTCACAAATGTGTTTTCCAAGTGTCTTATATGGCGGCAACTCTTGAGGCTTCGCTTCTGAATGGCTGAAATGGAATTTGGACATCATTACCGACAGGCCATTTAAATGGGGCGTCCAATACAATGTTTATTTTAAAAGGCAAGATGATTAGAAACTGAATGGGATTTATAAATCAGTATGAGGATCAAGTATCTTAATACGCGACTGCCAGGAAGGTGGAAAGCAAACTAGATAGACTTTGGTCTTTTTTCGTCCAGCATTTCTTATGAGCTTAAAACGCATTCCGCTAATTTAGTTATTTCGTTCATTTATTGTTTCCAACGATTAGCAAAGCTAATCAAGTGAGGATGCTTGAAACATACAAAGTTTGACCCTAAACAATTTACCGAAAAAGCACCTGTCTCTCTCCCACTATAGGCCTCTCTCTGGGTGCATGTTAAATTGAGTCATGATGAGTTTGCTCTGGATTTGCCAGCTGGACTTTCAATGAGCTCCTTCCGTTTCCAGCAATATTCAGGGACTATTCAATGGCAGTTATCATCTTGTCCTTTCTCCCTCATATCCACGCCACAAATGGCACTGCCTTCCATCACCTCCGGAATATCGCCAGACTACGGCATTACCTCACCCCTCACGCTGCTGAAACTCTGGTCCAAGCCTTTATCACCTCAAGGCTGGACTATGGGAACTCTCTCCTCGCCGGCCTTCCCGGCACTTCCCTCCACAAGCTGCAGGTCATTCAGAACTCTGCAGCTCGTGTACTGTCCCGCACCAGGCTTCGCGACCACATCACTCCCACCTTCGCTCCCCTCCACTGGCTCCCCATCCCCCAGAGGATCGATTTCAAGATCCTCACCCTCACCTACAAGGCCATTCACGGCCTCGCTCCCTCCTACCTCTCTGACCTACTGTCCCCCTACCTACCCGCCCGTACCCTCCGTTCCTCTGGCTCCGGTCTGCTCCACATCCCCCGCCCCAACCGCCCTACCATCGGTGGCCGGGCCTTCAGCCTCTCAGCCCCGAGGCTCTGGAACTCTATCCCCCAGTGCCTTCGCCGCCTCCTCCCTTTCCTCCTTCAAGGCCGGTCTCAAGACCTTTCTCTTTGACTGAGCCTTCGGCTCCCCTCTCGATTCTCTACCCCCTCCTCGCTCCCTCCTCACCCTGACCATTTCCCCCCTCCTCGGGTCCTGACCCAACTGTACAGCGCCTTGGGACGTCCTCCTGACGTGAAAGGCGCTCTATAAATGGAATCTTGTTGTTGTGGTAGTCACTTAGATACAAACTTAGATACATTACTGCACCTCAAAGCAAGCTCATCTGCTGCCAGCAGAGACGACATTATCAGTAGTCAACCTGAAGTAGAGAATTCTGCTTTTCATTCCTGTCCTTCTCATTGAGGTGAGAGTTCAGGCAGAGGGGAGAACGTGTGAAGCTACAATTAACTTCTTACTTCTCTTAATATTCCTGCGCTTCAGCCTGTAGGTCTCTTTCCCATTGCACAGTCTGTTGATGAAGCCACCCATCTGATAGAAGTTGCGGACTTGTTCTGTGACGACCATTTCCTCCTGCATGATGTATGTCTGTGGCAAATAGGTTCCTTCTGTGAAGAAAACAATCTGATTATTTATTTTCAAATGGGGAACTGAGATAAATTGCATATTTTGTACATGGTGTTAATTTACATTTGAGTTGGTGCCGATCTTTATGTTGGAGAGAAGGGGTGGGAGGGAGGGAGGGAGGGAGGAATTGGACTTGTGTACTGACATTTAGAACATCTGTTTTCCTTTCCGTTTCATCCCCCACCAGACCCAATGGAAGGAAACCTCATTCCAAACTAACCAACAACCCTGTGCTGGAAGGGATTAAACAGCTATGAACAAATTACCTCCATCTCCAATATACCTTTATCCATCGCCAAACATTTCTCATCCTTGCAGTATTCACCTGAAACGCTTAACGAGACACGGACGGTTTACCTTAACATTCGCAAGCAGTTCCCAGAGGTTGCGAGGTGGCATGACAATGGTGGTGTTGAGTTCGATAACGTAGCATTTATCCAGAGACAGGTCATGGTAAGCAGTCAGCCTCTGTGAAGTATAAATCTAGATTAAAAATCTAATTTTTGGAGGGGCAGGAGGTAAAGGTATTTTCCCCTTTATCTAATTGTGTTTCTGTGCACAATCTCTCACCTTGGTAAATTCTGTGAAGCACTTTGAGATGGCTCAAATACGTGATAAAGCACTATATCAAATGCAAGGATAATTACCCTCTCTGAAACTGGAAGTTGGATAGAGCACAGGAGTGGCTCAGCAGTAATATCTATCTAATTCTTGCCTTCCTCCCATTTCATATCAATAAGGCCGTCACATCCCAATGGTAGTGGGATATTAAGCACTGGATGCTACATTTGAGCTGAACAGCAAGACATGTTGTGTCACTCATTTAGCAGCATTGTAAGAATGACACAAGCCTCTTAAATTTGTAATGATAATATACGATTCAAATAATAATATTCACTCCTCCAAAACTAAAGCATTGTGGAAATGTCGCTGCTGAGATCACACAGAGCTTACTTTTAGTGAATGTTTTTTTGTTCCTTTCAATTGGATTCCTTGTGTTCTTTTCTATTTGTTTCCCGCTATTTGCATCGTGCTCATTGCTTACCCTCTGGAAGTCGTGAATAATATCAGCAGGGTCCCCACCGCTAAACTGTGGTACTGGGACATTGATCATCTCAACCTCATCCTCCAAGTAAATTTCAACATCCTCGTCAAGTTGCATCTGGCTCTTGAAAGGTGCATAGACAGAATCCTCATCATACAGTACCCTGCAGTGAAACAAGTTGTCCTGAGGGAGCTATTTAAAGAGCAGAAAAGATTAAAGTCAAAACATTTTCAGTAACGGTTAACATTTAAAAAATACAGAAGGTACAATTAGCGGGAAACAAACTTATAAATATTCACCTTAAAATACCCACCGTTCACTTTGTTCGATGGGCACCTATTACAAACTTAAGCCGCAGTCATTTCATGAGCTGCACGATTGCGCTGAAAATAATCCAGTTCAAACGGCAACGTGCTACAAAGCAGTCCTTTCATTTGCCAGATCAAACAATGTAGGGGTTACCAGTTATAGATTATTCGAAAATACACAAAATTACTCACTGCCAATGATTGCACAGATAATGGTTATTTGTACAAAATAATGGTTGGTGGATGGCCCCTGTGGATCTACACCCCAATAGAAGGAAAAGGTCAACTTCGGGAGGAGAGAAGAGTGTGATCATAAAAAATTATAAGATTGATATAGAAGGAAATGTGTTTCATTATATTGAATGCTGGCAGGTTAATCAACCTCTATGAGAATTTCATTCACAATTCATTTTACAATGTATTCTGTGAAGTGCTTTGAGATGTCTCAAAGGCACAATAAGGCACTATATCAAATGCAAGAATTATTATTATTATTATTATTTACAGCCAACCCCAACAGTGGTCTCCTTTACCATCTACGCATACAGCAGTTCTGGTGCTAGTCCAAGATCAAACCAATAGCTTTCTGCTACGAATCGAGTACAAAAATCCACAAAATATTCACTATTAATCAGTTAATATCGCTACTTTAATCCTTATTAAATTTTGGCATTTAATATACGATTTCAAAGTATAAAATAAATATTTATTTTAATTAGAAATGAATAAATAAATACCGACTGGTCAATATTATATGTGTTCTGTACCTGAACAGCGAAATGGTACTTGTAGACGTAGATGGAACTCAGGATCAGTCCAGAGAGGAGAACAATCAATCCAAAGGCCAGGCAGCAAAAGCCATTCACTGAAGGCTTACGCACCCCTGTTGGGACAGTCTGCTCTTCCTGTTTTGAAAGAAAAGCCATATTAATAGAAATGATAGAGATGATGCTTATATCCGACATGGAGTTCTGCACAACTGTGTACAAATGCCTATGTTTTGATTTCCACGTAAGCCTCGGATCACAATTATCACATCTTCAGGTTGTTACAAATAGTAAATAAGAAAAGAATAAATCAGATGAACCTGCAAATATAAAGACCAAAAGATGATCGCTGTAAATCAGGTGTTTGTGAATCATACCAAAAAGAAAGGAGGAACCTAAGAAGATGTTTTGTATATTTATTCAAGAGGGATTCGTGCAGTAGCTGAGGACAGACACTAGCCAGGTGACAGTGATAGGTAGCATTACAGCTATATAGGCAAACAAAGTGGAAAAATTAAAGGATAGCAGATACACTTAACCCTTCCTCGTTTGCAGGTAAACTGCAGTCAACGCATAATATTTGCATTGCAAGGCTATCGCGTGAAGATAACATCATTGAAATCAGTAATGCTAATGTTGCACGGTTTTGATTGGCGCAGTGAAAATGATTGGGCCACATTGACATTAAATGTGCAGTACAACTGGCAAATTTAATACAGGACAACCACAAATACAGTCACTGCACTTTACAATATATATTGTGTGAAACGCTTTGAAACATCCTCCCTATGTAAAAGGCGCTACAAACGTAAGGATTGTTATTATTAATAATAAATAAACATAATAAAATACATATTGGTAAAGCCAAAGTGTGTTTTCATTAGTACAAGGAAGAAAAGAAAAATTTCGGTAGGATTATTATGTTAGTTTTTCCAAACTATCCAGTGAGTGTGAGACTTTTATCAATAGGACTAATAAAGTATTGAAATACATCTCGCGAATATTTGATTTCTGGTTGAAGAGGTTATTTTAACCTTATATAATTCATTAGTAAGACCAAATTTAGAATATTCTGTGCTGTTTTCATCAGCGTCGAATCTTCAAAAGACATTGATGCATTGAAGAAAGTTAAGAAAAGAACTGGTCTGACTCCAAGACTTAGGGCTCTAAATTATGTAGAGACTCAAAGAAGTCAAATTGTTATCACTGAGGAAAAAAGATTGATAGAGGACATGGCTGAGTGCTTTGATAAAATGAGACACATAGTTGACGTAGATGTAAGCAGATGATGGAATGTACATTGGTACATGCATTAAAACTAAAGGAAATCAACAATTTTTACCTCAGTTTCCAGCAAATTGCATATTTTTACTGTGCCTAATCTATTCGCCGATTTATACTAAAAACATAAACCCGTTCAACCGTTCTGAGTACACCATTTGTTTTTTTTGCACTGTGATCAGTCAATGCCGAGGATTTGCAATGGAATAATTATTTTGAATCTGCGCCAGTACGAAGATTCCCACTGCATCTCACTAAAGAAAACCTAAGGCCCCAAATGCACATTAACTTGTTCAAGTTCACTGTTAGCTGAACAGCGGCTTAAAAGGACAAAAAGCAAAATTGAATGGTGGCCTGGAATGGGAAATGCTTCTTCAGTGTTGTGAAGTATATGAGGTCAATAGGCTTTTCTATCAGATCTGATTACCATCTGTTCAAGCATGCTGTCAGCCAGTGGAGTCTTAGCAGCAAGGGATGAGAAACACAGCCAATTTCCAGACTCCACTTATAAATAGTGCATTGGGCACAATTGTACTTTATTTTGAGTAACGCACAAATAAATCTGAGGCCCCTTCCAATTGATTGGACCTGTTACTTTCTAAGGTTTAAAAGGCATATTTAAAGAGCAGTGATTGATATACATAAATGATGTCCAGTTTCCAAGGTGATTCTCAGATTCCAAGTTTTAGTGCGAGATTCCAACAGTCGAGTAAATAAATCATTTATTTGTTAGTTATGTAGTGGAATGATTCCTATACGCAGTACATTAAGACACTTATGTCCTATGCTAGAATCTCTCTCAACTCTTTCAAAACGTATTTGAGTGAATATTGTGCCCATCACAGTGTGCAGTGTTAGGCTGGAGAATTAAACATTTCCCATTTTGAGCAGCATTAAGGATTCCACATCAGGTGTTACAGTTAGAAAAGGAGAATACAGAGCCTTCTACTACCCTAGCCATATTCTTGAGCACTAACCTCAGAAGAGGTGTGACTTTTAACAAAAGTCAACACATTTCATAGCTTGAATGGCGATCCTTTTTTCCCCCCACTCATAAAAGAGTCAACAGAACCTGAAATTACAATGTTTCCTTGAACATATTCAAGACTGAGATAGATAGATTTCTTATTGCAAAAGGGATTAAGGGATTTGGGGATAAGGCAGGGTTAGGTTATTAGCTGGAGTTAGATTAGAAGATCAGCCGTGATTGAATGGTGGGGCAGGCTCGAAGGGCCGAATGGCCTACTCCTGTTCCTACACGTTATGTTATATTACCTCACCCACCCACCCCAATGAAAAGAAACATCTTTTTGCTGGAATATTATATTTTACCGGATTGCACTCCCATATCTAATTGGCATGACTACCATGGGTGAGGTGGGGGCTGGGTAGGCTTATGTTCCAAGCAACTGTACGGATATTTTATTCAGGGGCTCGTTGGCATACACAAAAATAGGGGTCAACTCTAATGAGCGCTTGAATTTAGTGAATAGTTGTGGTATTGAAATTCCTACCCACAAATGGGAAATCTGAATGGATGAGTAAAACAAATCAGCAGCTTTATTATCCTGGCCTGGGCACAACTAACCCTCTCTGGGAACCTTCACTGAAGTGTCAGCCTGAGTAGCATAAGTAACAGAAACTAAAACTGGATTTGCATGCATCGATTACGCTGCTTTGCATCACAGTGAAAAGTTCATTACAGGCGCCGAGTCTCTCAAGTGCCGCTATTACTGGTGCCAGGGTTGCTATGGACAACACTAAGCCAATTAAAACTATATTTAAAAAATATACGTTTCAAGGTTGCAACTCCACTAAGACTATCAATATGAACGAGAGAGGAGACAAACAGACAATTAGGCTGAACTCCCAACTAAACTGGTTTCCAAAGCCAGTCAATCTCAAGCGTCCAGCAGGATTAATAGTATGATAGGCAAAAAGATAGATAAGTAGAAGTACAAATAACAATTAAGCACCACGATTCAAGCCTGTGGCACCCTAAGACAACCTTTTACCAGACTTAGCAATAGCTTCTGAGTTTTTAATTCTCACGTCTCCAGTAATCTCTATGTTTACTGCAATTTCACAGGTTATCCCTCCTGGGGGTAAGTCGCTCCACTGGCTCCAAGGTGACATGCCTGGCAGCGAAATGTCGGAATCGAGCCAGCCTTCTGTAGCAGTCTTGGTAGCCAGTTCCTGAGCCAGGCGGGTCTGCAGTGGCTCATCAGCAGGACTTGGAAGGGCAGACCAGTCACTGGGGGCAGAGACTCTTCCCACTCAGCTCCGGTTAATCCTGAAATCCAAACGGGTAGGGTAGCCATGGAAAAGCTTGCCAGGCAGTGGCAATGGGAAACTGTGGGGTTTTAGCTGGTTAATCTCCAGCAGCACCCCATTGCACACTCTAGAGTCCCCAAGCCTTGGCTCTTGCCAATCTGCACTTAATATTTTCTGGAGTTAGGTAAGCAGGATATGTGCTTCCAGGGAGAGAGAGTGCACATTCCATTCCAGCAATCTACCTCTGGGATTTCCACGTATAGGTGGGAAGCATGGAACTCCCAGCTTGGTTTGGATGCTCTTAAGCTTGGTTTCTGCATATGTCAGACACCCAGCTGACTAAAAGAAATTCGCAGCTTACATGTTAATGCATCTTTCATTGGTCCAACCACTTAATGGATCTCAACTCGAATCAATCATCAATTGTAGTTACCTCATAAAACCTGTGGTAAGTCTACTGTGAATTATATGCCCAGGATGTGACTCCTGACTGTCGTTTTGAAACTACTTATATGTCACACAAAGGTACTCAGTTCTAAAGATCCATTAAAAATTTATGGAAAAAATCCCTGAGGCAAGAGCACTAGAACTCACAATGGCTGTGATTTATGCTGATTTCAGCACCAGATATTATAAAAGGATGTGCTCAGTAGTTGAAAGGATTTACTCTGGGTGGCAGAACATTTTGTACCACACAATATTGTAAAAATGTCATTTATTAGTTGATTGGGATTGATTTAAGCATTTCTAAGAGAAGCTATTTGTATAGACCAGCAGAATAAGGGAGCTTTGCTTACAGACACACACAACCACCAACAAAGGAGGCACTTGGTCATATTTCTCCAGGCAAGCAGATCTCGCTAATTACAAACTCACAACACACCATGTAAATCAAACCACTTCGATACGTCTATTAACTTGTGCCTTTAAACAGCTGGTAATGTGGGTAGGAGATAAACCTATTAAGAATTGACAGATAGACTTGGATAAACCTATAAACCACAGAGAAACCTGTGCAGCATCAGCATGGAATGCTAAATTTGAGATTCATTTCTCTCACTTTAGGCACATCTGTAGAGAATCCTACATTCTGGACGGGCTCTGGAAATTCCTTTGACACTTGATTGAGAGGACATTGACTTTATTGTGGATGGGCTCATGTGACTTCAATTCTCTTAGCTGTCAATTTGGAGTGTGCGCTGGCTCCACTTAAAAACAGGAAAATATAGAGAGTTTGACATTATCAGAGATGCTGATTGACATTCTCTTAAAATACTCGATGTTTTAGAGCCAGTGATTCACCTTGGGAATTTAATATAGGCTGGTTGATTGAAGGACAAAGGCACAGATCAACTCACCCAAACATTCAGTTCCCTGGTACAAATAACCATGCGTGCATCACAGATTAAAGGCGCATCACAGATTAAAGAAAGACTGGGGTTGCGTGGCATGCTTTAAAGAATAATTTCCACTTTATCTGAAAGGCTAACCTTCACTACTGGCTGTTGTTTACTGCCAAAAAAACAAGGGAAGATTAGGCCTTTGCACTCTAGCCTATGAACCTGTTATTCATTATTTTCAGT